AGCTTTTGCACAGTCGAGAACAGCAGTGTCTTTGTTTTTCGGCAAGGGAGCAGATATGTCAAGTTTATTGAGATTGTTCGCTAGGCTATCGACCTCGGCTAACGAGCAAGACGAAGACGCCGGACCCATCAGATCTGTTATGCGATCAAGGGTGCACAAGTCGTTGCTCTGTTCAGCAGGTCAGCACATGTTATATCGATATTTTAATAACTGACGCACCCGCTTTGCCAAACTTGTCCATGTCTCACAGAGCAGGATAAATGACTTTCCCTCCATAAACGATGGTTTGGACTGTGCGATCAGTACGACCTCACCAAGGGACTCTGACACGAGCGTTGCGACGGAAAGTTCGTGCGCGTCTGATACGGGAAAAGAAGATCTGACATACGCTGTGCACGACTTCTGTATTTGATCCCAGAATGTGTTCGGCTGAACGGTTCCAGGGCTCGTGCATAGAAGGCACTTGAGTGCATACATGCGGATGAGGAAGGTCGAGCGCGAGTTTGCAGACATCGAAGAGCATGACTTTGTCAGCACAGTGTATGCCCGTATGAGCGTAGTGTCTATGTGCTTGCGGGGTAAAGATACACAATAAGGTATCCATGTCAAGAGCGTGCCGGATTCTACCAGAACTGTGGAGAACGAGTCCGGAATAGTAGTAGTCGATGACGAGGAGGACGTTGCGATATGTGTAAAGGAAATGATTGCGTGCATTAGATACGTTGAGATAAGCGTGAGAAGCGCAACGTCCGCTTGGGGCGGTATCGTTGGCAGCGGGAGGGAAAGCAGGCGAACTGGAAACTTTGAAGTAGAGACAGAGTGGGCTGATACTTCGGAGTCAGGCGCCCTAAGCAAAGCGAGTAGACGAGCATGCATGCCACCAAGGAAAGGAAGGGTAGTATTGTGCTACTTCACGTTTGAGTTGAACTCGCAGGAGAATTCATTTACCACGCACCACCTCCAGAACAAGCAGCTTGCTCATCATGCTGGATGCGGCGCGCTCTACGTCAAGGTCATCCGGACATAGAACACGCAGGCATGACAAAGCTTCATTTGCACGAGAGATAGCAGCTGACACCTTGCTGAGTGCGCTCGACTTTGTTCTCCCCTCTTCCAAATTTGCCTTCCAACCGGATTGTGCCATTAATGACATTGTCTGCAAAGATGCGTTTACGTCAAGCATTGCAGAAATCTTTCGTTGCTCCGGAGACTCGTCTTTCGCCTTCTGCTTTCCTTTCGCTTTGAAGGTTGTTCGCTCGTCCCCGGGCTTTTCAACAAGTTCATCGGAAGATGGGACAGCAGTCTTAGGCTTCGAGCTTCTTGAGGCTACCGTTTCCTTGCGAGAGGAAGCCATTAGAGGCATAACGTTGAGCAACGACGAGCCGCAGCGCGTCGTAATGGAGTGCAACAAAGATGTTTCAAATTTCTGAGTGGGTCGCGTCATGCACGTGACCGACGCGTGATTTTTGACACGATCATCAGACACACCGCCTCGGCCGGGGTTATATGCGCTAGCGGGAGATCACGCCCACGCTCTTAGGACATCAGTACAGGAAGAAAAGACGCGGGTATGTACTGGTCAATAACGATTAATATGCCATGAGTGATCATGACTCGGATGAGCGGGAATGTCGTGCATATAAACATTATATTTCAACTCTATGTTATACGCGACTACCAGAAAATTAGCATGATACGCGTTGCTCTACTGTGCTCCTCATTCCCCAGTGGCACTCGCGTGGTCGCCCCAGTCAATACCAAAGCCAAATATTACCCACGCTATGAGGACTATGGTAAACCCGGCCCCGAGCGCTACCCTGCGTGCATACAATGACACAGAACTTGACAAGGGTCTTTTCAACGCTTCATCCTTCTGCCTCGGAGTCAGGTTCTCGTCCCTCGGGTCTTCTTCCGCAACCGTATGTGGACGTAGTTCCCAAAGCCTCTCCACCTCCCTCTCTACATATTTCGGGCGCACTTGCGAGAGCCGCACGGCAGGCAGATAGCGATGTCCCAACGACGTGTGACAGGCACCCAGGAGCCCACCTGATATGAGCACGGAGACAAACGCGTACGCAAGCCAGACTGTCACAGCACCCTCGAGGGAGTTGGTGGAGGATCGGTCTTGGATCTTCCCCGTTGCTGTCACGATGATGATTACGGAGCCCTGAATAATCGACTCTGTAATACACAAAGGTGAGTATTCTTCCAATTTCAAGGAGAACTATGCATACTCTTGATTGCGAAGCTGAAAATTGTGTCAAAAAGGGAAGCACGATAGATTTGTCGAGCGACTCACGCTGTCGCATAGTAATGAGGATCAGGTATGATGCTGCGTATGATCTCTACTTGCGGAGCTGAGGTAATGCTCTGCAAGATAATGTTAGAGTCCTGAAATATTTCAAGGGCATCTCGATACACCCACCCCAGCAAGCGCATAAAATACATATCCACAGACTAGGTCGAGTTTAGTACGTCATCTGCCTGAATCATTCTGACTCACTGAATGTGGGTACTGTCTGCGAAAATCTTAACAGGAGCATGGAGATGAGGAACATACATGCCGAAAGAAACACTGGCCTTGTGATCAGCTCCTGCATTACTCAAATGATATAATGCTCACAAATCGTTACACGACGCCCGTATGCATCAATGAACATGCCCAAGAAAGGAGTAAGTCCAATAGGAAGGATCAAGTAAAAACTCGACACCCATCCGCCAACTACGGCTCCTTTCTGGAGCCTTTGCTGTGCAAATTGCCTGCACAAAATTCAACACTTATCACGTGATTGCAAAGCCAATAACTCACGTAGCTACCGTTATGAACGACGCCATACCAGCGTTTTGGAAGGTTGCAAAAAGAACCACAAACCAGAACGTAAGGGGCATTTGGCGCACAATCGACCAATTAAATATTCCACCTTTGACGCTGCCCGCACTTGGCTGGCCAGACTGTTCGCAGCGATCGACGACCTCGTAATATAAACGAAGGTATTTGTCGAGGACGAAGACGGAAACAGCGCATAGAAACGAGAAAAAGCCTATGATGGCGCCTGTCCACAGTGGCCAGGAATATGAGCCAAGATTTTGAGACATGACGTTTGCGGTGCTCTGTCCGACATATTGAGCCACATTTGCCATCGACCTGAAAGGTGGACGTATACATGAGATGTAAAAATGTAATCACAAAACCTACCATATGAAACCTTGAAAAAAAACATTGGACAAAAATGAGATCAAGCGCTGACAACTACCACTCGACGAGGCACCGCACTCACCTATGGACATTGCGAAACCACTCCCCGGTGCAAAATACGTGGTGAATATTTTGTGCTGTGCGTTGTCGAGGGATCCGCCCCCGATGGCAGCAATGATCTTGCCCACCATGAGGATGTGGTAACTATTGAGTCCGTCTGTCGTCGCGCCAGCCTCTACTACAGCACCTGCAAGACAAAATGCGGCGAGTATGGCAGATAGCAGTGGGCCTCCAAATTTGTCGATAATGAAGCCCAAGGCGATACAGAGAAATGTGTTTACCTGTCAGACAGTAAGCACATCGGTCCTGCGCCAGCGAAACAAGATTGACCGTACCATATTCGTCACAGATACCTAAGGAGGCGAGATACACAAGAACGTTAATCCCGCCATATTTCTATTGAGTGCATTTCTTACTAGCGTAGCAAATTCTGAATTATTGATCTTGAGTTCTTGTTCTATCGTTGTCTTCAGAGTCGTAACGAGACCCTATGAACATCCAATTAATCCGCATAATCCATAAAAATTAAAATATGATGCCTACGTTAGACCAGTGGTGTCCGACTTGCACCATATTTGAGCTACCAGCGAATTTCATAGACGTGAACACTTACATGTGCACATGCATGTTAATGCAATCATCGCTGCCTGCCATCTTACAGGTAGCTTGGGCTTGACGGAAGAATAAGACGGAACACTGGTTGATGACTGGCGTTTATCTTCGCTTTCGCCCTTGGTAGGAACGACAGCGTCGAGGAAATGAATACTGGCCGTGGACATAATAGTACTAAGATGCAAAAGCTAGAGCTTTAGTCCACTTATGAGCTGGTGTCAACCTCGGAGAATAGAGGTGATCCCTCCAAGATATGGAACTTGGCTGGCTAACTGTGCAAGTTATGGGAGATGCTCGAGGGAGTTCGAGAGATGCCCCCGGTTTATGTGCAGTATGATACTTGATGTTACGTCCGCAACACTTAAGCCAAATGAGTACTAGTTAAACGTCAATGTCGTTAGTGGAGATGAATCCTACTGCGTTGGGTAGCCCGTGGTGGGGAAGATCCATTGCGATCCGATTCTCTTTGGAACAACTGTAGATATGCTATGATTAGCCTCTTAGCACTCCGTAGATATAGGCTGGAGGTACGAGAAAGTGATTTTGGAATGTTTTCAATGTCGTACCCGTTGACGAGCACTGAGCGTTAGCGTTTGTATACTTCTCTTCGCGAAGACTCCTTCGAAGAGCGACAGTCACTTTCTAGAAATTCCCGCGCTTCCCTACGTTGAAACAGTCCTTGTGGTGCGGTGCCGGTTTGGGCATGAGATGAGAGGAAGGATATGATTGCAGCCTGAGTGCACATAAGAGTGTGTCAACACCGTGCTTGTATACTTCTTTTCGCGGACTCGGAGTGGTGACGGCTTCCTGAAGTTCTCGTGCTTTTCTACATCGAAACTTTTCATATGTGCTGATCTGAGCAAGATGAAATGCGAGAAAGTATAAAATTTTGACACATAGAATAGATTTCGCGTGTGCACGCGCGTCGCATAGTTCAATAGTAGACTCGTGACCAGTCCTAACCTATGAGGCAAGCCATCGATAGACGGACTGGTAAAACTGGGTTTGAATTTGGATGTCGAGCGGATTCGCAGGATAACGTGACGTATAAGCCTTTTCGGGGATATCAAAGAACACGTGAACATTTGCTAAGGCCTGTTAAGTCTCGTCTTATCAATGTTCGACTCGTTGCGCTAGCTGCTCAACAGCGCCATCATTCGTCACCGTTGTCTCATGTAACAAATGCCACTTGCTCTTTGTGCTATATATGATGTCCTCTTCAATTCTAAACTGTAACTTTAACCGTTCTGTGGACTCCGGGTTTGTGGATATCACAGGTGATCCTCCATCAAGCACCTCTTTCACGGATCCTATGATTACACCTTCCTCACGCCTCTCGTCAACGGAGCGCATCAAATCTGTCATCAAAATCCTCCGAGACGGCCGTATTAGCATCCTCGATTTCATGCTAAAAATTCTCGATCCGTCAGAGGCTTGTTTTGCATATAATCGCGACCGCATATTCAACTGCTCTCGGCAGGAAAAGACGAGTGTAGATGTTGGGAAGCCTCCAGTGGGAAAGCTCGAGAAGATGTTTGATTGCTTGTTTGCAGATTCACGTGGTCACACTCGAATGATGGAATGGGTGACTTCATCCTCATGTCATTTCCTCGGTCTCCACTGTAATCAATCAGGAGATGGATGCGGTGAAGGAGATTCTACGAGGGACACTCGACTCGATCACTCCGGAATTTCTCTTGACGTGGGATCTTCATTCGACAATCCAGAATGCAGTTGTCTCGAAAGCGCCAGTCCTCAACAGCATGCTCGCAGTGCGTCTGTTCTGTCACTATTATTGAGCGTTTGAATGTAGTCGGTAGGGAGTCGTTCTTTAATTAAATCACACGCGAAGCGATCCAACGCATCGAGGGAAGCATCACGAAAGGCTTGGATGATGGAGGATTGGTCCATTGATTTTGCAAGTGTAGGTCGCGTTGCGTCGCGTCAATAATGAAAATTATATTGTTTATTTTGTATTCTATGCTACAGCTTGAAAAAACCTGGTTTTTTCATTCGCTGAAGGTCACGTTATCCTGCGAATCCGCTCGACATCCAAATTCAAACCCAGTTTTACCAGTCCGTCTATCGATGGCTTGCCTCATAGGTTAGGACTGGTCACGAGTCTAGTTCAATAGTTTGAAGTGCCCAACTGACCAACGTTATCGGGTTTCGTCACGCCTCCGATGTCACGCTCGTATATACGTGTTTCGAATTCATGGTTATGTTCATCCTTACGAATTGTAATACACCACCGTGATATATAGCGAAGCCAGTGTTCTAACGTTCTAGCTCCAAGTGCATTTCTTCTGATTTATGGTTGCACAAATTCAGCACCAGTGACTATAACGTACATAAAATTCTTTTTAACTCATGAACAATTGAATGACCTTAAAGCCGCTGATTTTCTACAGGACGAAGAACTCAATTACGTAGAACATTCCTGGCCGTGATGTCAACGAGTATTCGTAGCTTTTGAGCAGCTAGTCGATTCAATCCGTATTTCCAAAATACCGATAGTACTAGTTGCACAACAAAAGTAATGGCATGTTTCATACACTACATTTGACCCTCTTCGAGTAACGTGCATCACTGAACCGATAACAAATACATTGCTCGCGAAAACTCCCGAAGGAGGAGGAAGGAAAAAAATTCACAACAACCAGTCCAAGAGTAGTCTGAATCGAGTTTCACAATCGACAAAAGATGTGAGCCACGAAGTGAACTCAAGGACAAACCAGTCCCACCGCAGTCGCGCCTCGTACGCAACGAGATGGTTGGTCTCATGCTCCGAGGTATTTACCCTCTTGACTTTAAAAGCATTATTTCATGATGACTCTGGTGGTGGCGAGCACTTGCACTCGTCGGAGTGGCAACTACAAGGTTGGTTCACCAATACGCATACGGTTTTCGGGCCGTACTGCGCTAGTAATCAAGAACGCGCTTCTTCACAGACGCATGCGCGATAGCGACAACCAAACAACAGGGAAAGGTTTGCCCGATCCCCGCAACGTTTTCAAAGCCTTCGTTCTCGCCCTCTTCTGTGGTGAACAGAATCTTCGGGACGATGAGAAACGAAGCTGCTTTTCTGGTACGTCGCGCAGCCAATCACAGCTGGGCTCTGCGAGAGCCGATCGAGGGGGATTAGAATGCTCAGACCTTAGCCCGCTCAGGAATTTGGATGCGTGGAGCGATCCTGTGTGTGATGAGCATTCGTGGTTTTTGAGCTGGTTGAAGCAAGGAGAGATTTTGAGAGTCCGCTTAGTATTTTATTCCTGGGTTACGTGACTTACACTGTCAGTCACGCATTCATGCACATAACCGTCAAAATCATCCATGAATCATGCAGGCGGACGAGGCCAATTCCTCACTTCATGTGAGGTTTTAGGGAACACGAGTTCCTCGACAGTCTACTGTGCTAACGAGGGTTAACAGTGTGTGCTTTTCTCGCTTCCTTTCATAAATTGCCATCGTATAACGTGTATGTGAAGTACATATCTACCTTTCCGACGATCCGCGTCCAGGATCAACCGATCAGAAAAATGCTAGTGTACCACACGGTGTGCAGGTGGAGCTCCTCACGGTTGATGTGTCTAGGCCAGCCTCTTTGCTGATCCTGACTCTTGCTTCAAGTCGCAGCCTGTCACATTCGCATGGTTTTCATGGTCAGTTATCCCTAAGCATAGACACAATTCGCATAGGATGAGATTCCGAGCCGCAACCACGGTCACCGTACTCATCGAAGAGGGGTCAATCTAGAGGCTGACATGTGTATGGCAAATGAAATTATCATCGTGCGTCACCAGATAAGATCTACGGCAGAGATGAGTGCGCTCAGGCTAGCTGTAATGGCGAACGGGCAAGATCAAACCATTCGAGCCATCAGTAAGCGCGCCCGCCTTGATCCTGTAGAATATCGCGTTGCCGAGACTGATATTTGAATCATAAACGCCCACTTTTAAAGGGTCAAAGGTTGGGGTGGCGTAGGATGTGTTGTCGATGCGCAGTTGAAATGGCGTCACCTAGAAACTCTGCGATCTATTGATGCTTGCAACATACCAGGATGGAATACACACTACCTTTGAACTGGGTGATGTTGTGAGCACTTTGAAAGAGGTCGAATAGATGGACTTGCGAGACAAAGGCAACCTAAGTAGACGACGAACGTTGGACCTCTGGGTGCTTGTGAATTCCTGGATATTCTGAAAGAGTGCCCTGCCATCATCTACCCCAATATATTTTCGCCACCGTGGTCTCGATATCAGCACAGCAGGCTGAAAACACGTTACTAGTCACCGTTAGTGGGACACTAGTTCAGACCATGATCAGTCGCCATCGCCAGGCTGTAGGGATGAAATGTGATGACGTGGATCGTGTGCTCGTCGGTCTCTTTGTCTTCCAAATCAAGATGTTGCTGATAGCCCAACCTCCAATTCCAATAGTTGAGCTTAACCCGGTAAAACACGTCAAAAAGACACGAACTATGAGTGAAGGAAACGCACAGTATCACCCTACACTATAGATCTAGACTTAGATGGCTGATGGTGCCAGTATCGTTTCGACTCGATTTTGACGGGCGAGTAGAGGCCTGTGGGATGTGTAAGGAATCGAGGACTTGAAATTTTTCGCACTGATGACTTGGAACTAAATAATTTCAGCAAACGAATGGTAAGCTCTACGATGACTAGCCCACCATCGAGATCGGCTCATCAAGTTGCTGATAAAGAAGCATTGAAGAAAATAATAAACAAGTAATACAGATCGAGGGTGAGCCGGGTGGAAAGCGCTGGGGAATTATCGTGGACCGGTTGCTTTGTCGATGCGCTTGAGCAGTGAGAGTGACCAAATAGAGTCGGACAAGGGTGGACTGATCGATAAGGAGAGGGAAGGAATGAATAAGGGCGTAGCCGCGTGGGCTACCTTCGAGGAGAATTGGGGTGTCTCACGCGAAGATGGAGAGGGGAATATCAAAAAATTGACTCCTGGACATGCATGAGTGTTATAATATATAAGGTCAAGAAGCTCGTTTGTGTCCCCGTGGTGCCTTTGACGCCACAGAATCCGATGTCGTTGCGTGCCTGTTTAATGTTCCTCAAATCCCATAGAAGATCCTGCGCGTGTAATATGTGTTAGGTTACATCCAGAACTTTAATATATTAGACATTGCACCTGGATCCACAGAGTAGCGTGTTTGCCCACAGTTGTAAGCTGTGCTGGTTGGAAATGCGTGAATCCAAGCGTAGGCAGTGCTCTATATTGTGCAGCAAAAGCCGAGAGTCGTGATATTACAACAGCAAGCGATTGGAGGAATGTCAAGCCGATGCGAATGAAAATAAAGTCCGCAGTGTGATACCAATCTATTCACCCACCAAATTGCTCTTCATCTGTTCGAGTGCCTCATCCGGGATAGGAAGTCCGAGTTGCTTTTCAGCAATCGCAAGGTTGAGCCATAGCTCTCTCCATGTTTTGAACCGATGCTTGTCATAAAGTTAAGCAGGAGTTGCAATAGACGATGTGATCACATACTGCCGGGGAGAAGAGATGAGCCATTTCATATCGGCTATCGCAGAGGTGAATCGAGACGGATATTGGCTAGGTGAAGAGTGAAATACCTGGAAAGAGAAGTCTGATAAGTTTCGTACGCCTCCAATGTCCATAGCTTGAACAGTAGCGTTTGATTTGGCAGTTAGATTTTTGTGATGATCAAGATCAAGACGCAGCCGCCACGTGGGATTGTTGATTTCCGAAGATTTTGCAAAATAAGCAATCTCCGGCGGAACTTATAAAAATGACAATTACACAAAATGAGAGTTGTACAAGTTTTACATACGATGTAAGTGGCAAGTGGCTACGCATCATCCAGCCATGCAACAAGAGCATAAGCTGCTGCTGCAGCGGCACCACCAACTAATAGAGTGCTGACTGCTCCCCATATGTAGCCTCCAACACCCTGCCCAGCACCCGTAACTCGAGCTTTCACAGCTCCGAATATCAACAGAACGATGCCTGTAATAATACAAGAGTATACGAGCGCTACATGCGCTTGCGGAACAAAAAAGTATGGAATGAGGGGAATGATTCCGCCAACCAAGAACCCCAAGCCAATTATCAGCGCCGAAGAGTATACTCGACAAATCGAGATGTCCTCTAAAAATGAAACAATGAACATGGGCGGTATTTAAAAGTAAAACAATACACACCCATTCCCTCTCCAAATTTGAGTAAAAACGGTGTCAGACCGACTTGGTCCTTCCACCTCAGCAACTGCGCTTCTTCGTCTGACGATGAACCGTTCGCACTGACTTCGGGGTCAAATTCAGCATCTCTGAGACACCTGGTGACCGCCTGGCACGTCTGCTCGTCGACACCTACGGGGACAAGTACAGCACATACTTCCCTTTCCATTTGTCTAACGCAGCTCCGTTGCATCCGAGCCGATATGTGGCGTCGCATGTAATGGCAACGATCCCGCTCTGCCGAAGATGCTAAGAAGCCACCAATGCCCATAGAAATAGCACCAGCCATGAGTTCGGCTATTCCGCCAACGACAACTAATCTTGAGCTGCCCAAAGATGAAAGACCTGCTGCTAGAGCAAAGGGGGCTGTTAAGCCGTCTGAAAGTCCGATGATACTGCGAATCATCTCAATGTTGTGTCCAATATGATGAAACCGAGACAATTACTTACATATCGCGAATGATATCAGGATCAATAAGCGTGCGGTCGTCGTCGTCTTTCAAGTCTTTGGAGCAGACGCCATCCAGACGATCGTGTCTGTCACAACTCGCCGGCAGTGGTGGGGTAAGTGTTCCACTGGCGTTCAAAGGCCATGCTGGTGGCTTAGTGTCCATGTCTCCTTCTCTACTTGGCAAGAAAACAGCAACTGTGCCATTTAGATTAGATTCTGAAGCCATTCTAAGAGATGAGATGGCGAGGCTGTTTTTTGTGTACAGTGAGACAAGAGTGGAGTCGACTTAGAGTGATAACACAAAGGTACTTATAACCAGAAATTCTAAGATTCCACGAATTCTAAGATTTTAACAATCTAAGAACTCCAAGAATCTAAGAAGTAAAGTGGAACAACTTCGGGACGTCGAGTAGGGTGCGAGTAGAGATGATAATCCACCTACACACAATAAAGGTAACACATCCTTCCATGCAGATTGGAAGGAGAAGCTTACAGGTTGCCTTAGTACAAACGTAGCCTGTTGAGATTGATAGAATTACTCATTGGTGAGGCATGGTCGTCATAATTAGATATAAGCCTAGTGAAAACATATATAAGGACATATTCGCACCTGCTGATACTGATTGACTAATTGATGCTCCAATGTCGGAGGTGTCTGATTGGAGACAGAGTCTCTATAATCATCGTATTCCGCATGATTGGGATAAAAGATTGAAGGCGAGGGGCTACACGAATCTCAGTAGTTGTAAGGTAATGCATAGAGGCAAGAGGTGTGCGTTCGCAAAATCCCGAACATAGGGCTCAACTTTACATAAGCGAAAAACCTTAAATTACAGCCACCTGAAGCTTCACGAGCACCGTTTCTGAGCTTCTCAATACCGAATTCAAATATACGTAAAATCGTTCGTTGTATACTGGAAGGGGGGTGTTTGTACTACACATGAACATGTTTAGATAGTCTGTTCAATTGAAAATGCGTGTCAAAAAAAGTTATCCGCTAAATCAGTGAAGACATGCAAAAAAAAAGTAAAGCATGTGATACTGTCGTGTCGCGTAGTGGCGAGTCTCAAGTCTCAGATATTGACGCGTCTCAACCCACCACGAGTAAAGTACTCTCAGACATGCCTGGATTAGATACTCTGACCGGCGACAACGAGGTGACGCTGGATTTTGACTTTAAACATATCTTCAAACGTAAGTGACTCTGCTTTCTTGACGAATACTGAATCTAACATTCAATTACTTAATCCAGGTATATGCACACTCATTCGCTCCCCTGCCGGTATTACGCTGAACAATGGTCGTATTATCAATGCGATGATGCTCTCACGGTACCTTCTATTTTCGCTCATGTTTTCTTCGTTGATCAGTCGCTGTAGTCACGCTATGGATAGTATAGGTCGCTGTTGTATTGTACTTGCTGCTCTACTCGTTTGTTGCTCCGTTCTCTCGCAATTCTCTATGTTGGATGGAAGTACAGCAGATATGATCGATTGCATGACAAATCATCTATATATGGTCTAATTGACATTACTATCATGCTGTCACGGTGGGGGGGGACATATCCGAAGCTTTGGCAGGTGTATGTCATAAACTTCTCGATCGCACACCTCTTGCATAGAGGTCTTAGAAGGAGTGAATTGCGACGCTGAAGTCGGAGAAGGAGATGTACGTCGGAGGAGATGTAGTACGTCGGCCAAACATCAGCGAAAGCATGTGTAAATATTAGGTGGCTGTGTTGGGCGAACTACGACCGGGGCCGAACTTGAATACCATAAATTTTGACTCTTCGGGAGCTGCAAATTCAGTGGCAACCTCGTCAGCAATGATACTGCGATGCATGTCGATGGCACTGGGTGGACTTCCCAGCCTTCGAGGTTTTTGTGGCGTTCTGCATGCATCGAAGGTTTGCATGATTTTTTCAGAGTGTTTCCAATGTGTCGACTAATAGATCACACCGTCGCGCAGATTGTGTTGTGCCGAAATCTGAGAATGAGCACTCTTCTTCGCCTGCATACCCCGCAATTGCGAGGGTCATGACCTCGAATGGGTGAATTGATTGCAAGGGTTCTCCATCATGAAAGGCTGTCTGCTTGCATGGCCAGCGGCCAGCACCATCTTACTTTAGGGAGTCGACAGTCAATTTTTGTTCTCTATTGAATTCAAACCATCTCTGCATCATATAACTCAATAATATTTCCGTGAATCTTGGATGCCCCTGGAAATCTGCTAGGTTCTGCTACCCCCTTGGGCCAGGCACAGCCAATTTTACCAGACCAATATGACTGGAACCTTCATCATCTCTCTCTCAGCCACACTCCATACACTGTGACAGTCCCCATATCCCTTTTTTTTTTTTTTTGAATCCAATTTTTGTCCGGTTGGGGTATAGTACCCTATGTAGGACGATTCTATCTAGGAAAGGGGGATGCCTGTGTCCCTCACTGTGTCTCCGACTCTGCAAATGCCCCAGTGGAGATATGACCTCCACTGGTCCGCCATTCCCACCGGCCATTTTAGATGCACGAGTCTACTACTCCACGGGGCCGTTTTTGATACTTCTCATTTTGTATGTAGGCTGGACGTGTGATAATGGGTATACAAATACTCGGACCACTGGAGCGATCATTGTATGAGGGAAGTAAATGGAGCGCAGATAGAAAGGTAAAGGTAAGTCTGGGCTGGCGCAACGTGCTGCGAGTTGATCCCTGCTGTACCGTGTGGCTCTTCGACGAAAGTTCTAGCCCTTCCTCAACTCATGTGTCTCCTTCCGACTGATCTCCAGATTGGCCTTGGATTGGCGCATATTGCCCTGCGTCGGCGAGTGCTATAGGGGGCTTGCATGGATCGCAAGCACGCGTAGGATGTTTGTTTGCTCTGTGGGGCAAGACTGACGTTATCTATTTCCTGTGGGTACTGGGAGGGACATCACCGAAAGTGGGTCTCAGGCGTCCTGTACTGTTGACATATCGAATAAGATGATCCGTGGCTTTGGCATCTGAAAGCAGGTATGATATGGAGGATGCGTGACGTTTGAGGACATTGGTGAGTGTGTGGCGTTCACGTGCATATTGCGGGCATGATAGGAGGAAATGTTGGACGGTCTCTGGGGTGTCAGCGCAGTGAGGGCAGTTGGGGGATATACTTTTTCCGATGCGATGCAGGTGCTGGTTGAGTGAAATATGACAGGTGCGGAGCCAGAGCATTAGACTGATGTGCCGCTTAGGTAGGTGTTGAACTAGCAAAATGAACGATTTGCTTGCAGCGTTGAGCTTGGGGTCGATGGAGGTAGCATGAGCGTGTCTTAGGGACTTCAGCCAAGTTCTGTTCCAGTGTTTCGATGAGTCTTTCTTCTGGGCCTGTTTCAACGCCGACAGGCTGCTGGGGAGAACTCCCTTCCGAAGGTAAGGTGGCAGTCTGTGCGTGGTGCTGTTTTCCCTACGATCCTTTGCTGCTATCTTGGCCTCCTTGTCTGCCTTCTCATTTCCTTCTACTCCGTCGTGCCCTGAGATCCAATGAACGTTGACCTTGAAGTTTCGGTTGCGGCTGGTTTTCTTAAGTTGATTCAATAGACTGCGGAAGTGGTCTGTCAGGTAATGGCCTGGTTTGGTGGAGAAGATGTCACTGGATTTGATCGATGCCTGGTTGTCAACGAAAATGGAGATGGGATACGTGATATCTTCTTCTTGCGAGATCAATTGAGCTGCTAATGTTAGGCCGACGACTTCTGCTTCAAAAACTGTGTGCTCATCAGTAGTTCCAAGATGATAGCGTAGGATATTTGGACGTGGTTTTCCCCTCCTGTATAATACTGCTGCCACCCCTACTTTCTCGTCTATCCCCGACCCGTCGCAGTAGACCTTTACTTCATCGTTGTTAGCATTATGGGCTGCTATAGCTAGTTCTCTTGTTGAGGCGATGTGGGTAGAGTACGAGTTCTTGTCGTTCGGGGGACGTCTGCTGTGTTTGATGGTCTCGACCGAATTGATGTTGAGTTTGGCGGCGTGATATATATGATGCAGGGATGAGCGGTGGCGCTTGACATACTTCTTGGCTGCTTTATGGACGGGTTCATTTAGTGGATGAGACTTCGGATGCGCGGCTAGGCGTATTGCGGCTTGATAACATAGGTTTTGCATCTGGTGTTCCATCGGGAGTAGTTTCGCGTGAGTCTCTAGAGTATCGTTAGCGGTGGTTCTCATGGTGCCTGTGATACTTAGGGCAGCGAGTCTTTGTACTCGGCCTATACGACGTGCTACTCCTATCGATCCTGATTGAGGTTTGTCGTTGTTGCCAACAAACAAGGGGTGAAACCAAAGGTTGACTGCGTAGAGCATTTTCGGTAGTGCTACGGATATGTACAGCTGACACATCAGGGAGAGTAGAATTCCATTGGACGTGGAAGAGAGCCGGCGAAGTTGGAAGACATAGGCTGTGCCTTTCGCTATAGCGTAGGCTATGTGAGCTTGCCATCTGAGTGTGTCGTCCAATATAACTCCCAAGAATTTGTGTGTTGCAGTGGGTGTGATCATGATGCCGCGTGTGATGAGTGGGGGCTGGTCTTTAGCTGAATTCAAAGAAAAATCCATTAGTGCAAACTTAGACATTTCGAATTTCGAGTTGTGCGCTAGGGCCCACTCGTAACCTCCTCCTCTACGTTCCAACATGTTCTTCAATGTATTGTGAGTCTCTTGGAAGGTCTTCCCAATGGCTATAAACGCCGTGTCGTCCACAAAAGCTAGGGTACGTTCAGTCTTCGTGTGACCCTTGGCTATATCTACCAAGTCCGAGTCATATATGATATATGATATCATTGAAAGAGGGTCGCCCTGTCTGATACCGTTAGTAATAGGGATCCAATCCGATAGGTGACTGTCGAATTTGAGTTGCGTGCGCCTTCCCGTTAGCAGTTGTTCCGTGAATCTCACCAGTGTTTCTGGGAGTCTCCTGGTACACATGTTATGTAGTAAATGATCAGTAACTGCGTTCAGGAAGGCTCCCTCTATATCTAGGCATAAAGCAGATACTACCTTCTTTTGGCGCCATGCGTCCTTGATCGTGGCTTCGAGTAAGTGAAGTGAGTCTGTCATTGAACGGCCTGGCCTGCCTCCAAAGTGTGTGCTGGGGAGGAGATTGTGTTGTTCTAGGAGGTAAGTCATTTCATCTGCTACTACGGCAGTCAGTAGTTTAGCAGTCGTATTGAGAAGCGCTATTGGTCTGAAGGCTTTCATTACCGTGTAGTCCGGTTTGCCCGGCTTTCGTAAGACAACGGTTATGAAGTCGCGCCATGGATTATAATATGTCTTGAGTGTGAATACGGCCCTGTATAAGTGGAGGAGATAGGGTTGGAGTAAGTAAGTGCAATGTTTGAATACAATATTACAAATCCCATCAGGGCCTGGGGCCTTGTATGGGCTCAACTTCGAGATGCTACATTCAATCTGCGTCGTAGATATAGGTGCTGGGGTAGGGACGGTGTCCGGGTAGTCGTAGTCTTCTGGTACTGATGAGTGTTCTGGAGGGGGAGGGGAAAAGGCTTGTGCTAGGGCCGCGCTCTTATCCTCGTTGGTGTCGGCAGTGCCTCCGTCTGATCGCTTGAGGGTGGGGATCCTAGATAAGCCTCCGTCGCCTGCTGTTGCTGTAAGGTATCTGTTAGTGATCCATATGTCGTTACCCGAGAGGTCCTCTAGCCATTCGATCCAGTGGTCCTTCTTGGTCCGTTTGATGGCTTCGGTGTACTGATTTTATTTGATTTGGTGCTCCTCGTGACTGTAGTGGCCTGCAAAATCTCTGTGCTTGTATGAGAGATGGCTTAATTTCGCGACTTCGCGACGCATGATGGTTAGGTCCTTGGTCCACCATCTCTTGGAGTGGGGGTTGGGCTTAGACTTGGGGACGACTCGTTCTATGACTGCTTGGATTGCGGCCATAAGGGTGCGTGCTGCAGTCTGGAATTCAGCTTCAGTAACGAGCGGTTGGGCCGGTAGGATTTTGTCCAGCTCTAGTTCTAGTTCCTCGTTGAATACTTCCCAGTCTGCTTTGTGGTAGTTGTGCTTGATATCAGTTGTTGCTTGAGGGAGTTTGAGTTCGAGGATGCTTAGGATAGGCACATGGTCCGTTGCTGGTCCGCGTAGGGCTGAGTTGGTCGTGCAACTTATAAATGATTCTCCTGTGTGGTCAGTACAAAACATGTTGTCTGGACGTGTCCAATTCTTTGAGCTGGATGATTGGAGGGTCGGCAAACCTTTGGGTAACATCATGATCATACCATAGTCTGCTATGAGGTCTAGGAGTGGCTGCGCCGCATTGAGATACTGATTATTAAAGAGTTGTGTGTTCCTGTCCTCGTCCCATAAAGGATGGTGTCTGTTGAAGTCCCCAAGCCATATCATGTGGTCGTCCACCGATGGTCGTAGACGGGTGATCTCGCGTTCGAGGAATGAGGCTAGTTCTTCCTGAGTTTTCGTTAGTTTGCAGTCGTTGTAGATGTTGAAGATGGTGCAGTGTCCAAAGGGTCCGCGGAATTGGATGACTACGACGTCGGGAGACGGAAATGGGATCTGTTGCCAAGAGTTAGTATCTAGAGTTTTGGATATTAGTGAGACGGCTCGGGAGGTTAGTTCTGGGGATGAGAAGCGGGTGGTGGGGTAAACCACGTGAAAATAGGGCGACAATATCGTATTCTTCGTGTGATTAATGTGAGGTTCTTGCAGGGCTAGTATATCCCAGTCGCGAGCAATAGGGCTGTTGAGGAGTGAGTGTTGGGCTATCAGAGATGTATTAAGGTTTTGCTGCCATATTCGTAATCTGGTCGTCATATTGTTAGTTTGTTCAGACATTAGAAGGGATCTGGGTCCATGGGGTGTCGTTACATAGTGGAGAGTTTGGAGGTGATGAAAGGAGGGAGGATGAGCGGGGGGGAGATGGTGGTTTGTTGGATGGAGATGGAGATGGGTGATTGGGGGTTGATGGGTCGAGTGGTACCGTAGACGGAGTCTGTTTCTGTGGTGCTGTTCGGGGGGGTTCTATGTCCCAGCCTGAGGGGATTGGGATTGAATTAGGGCCTGTCGGTGTGAAAGCTTGGTGGTGAGAGCGGCCGAAATGATTGGGCATGCCTCGCGTAGGTTTGCCGTGAGGTCTCCTGGATTCGAAAGGAAGATTTGACTGATGGAGCATGGGTCTATGGTTGGAGGGTGGTTGCTCGGCTGGCTTGCGATATGGTGCCGGTTTTGGAGGCAGCATTACCTGTGTCCAGTCTTCATCAGTAGGGAAGTAAGGCATAGAGTTTTCTGGGAGCTTAGCGTCGATTCCTGCGCATCGGTTTTCGAATTCAGGACAGGTTCTGTCCCAACTTGCGTGATCTTGTGAGTTGCAGCTTACACAGTGGAAGGTTCTATAAGTGTTGCACTCATTAGTTCTATGGTTCTTTCCACACGTTCCGCAGATGTCCATTGGGGCGTTACAGTCTCTTGCTATGTGACCCCAGGTTTGGCACTTAACGCATCTTACCAATTCCCTTTTATCTTTGCATGGGTGGAACTTCTCCTGACCGATGTAGATGCCGTCACGTAGCGTTATATTGGCTGCTTTTGGGTCCGCAAAGTGGAATAAGGCATGGGCTACCTTCTGCCCTGGTTGTTACGCTGACCGTCGGTCGGCGTGTGCGGACTAGGATAGGTCTTCTCAGCGACGACTCGAGTGAGTCTACTGAAGCTGAGCGTGGTCTGGCCTTGACGGAACGTCAAGGATTCCTCCGGCGATCTCAGTAAGACGGCGCTCGTCGAGATGCAGGGCTAGCGGATACGTGCTAAGTCATATGGGGGCAACTTAGAAGTGCGGTCTCACACAAGGAAGCTGGTAAGCTTAGATGAGCAAGTTCTGGGGATGAACCTAGTAGATTAAAGTAAAGTCTAAGTACAATAATCTGTGTCTACTTATAGGGAAGTACTACAAGTATTCTAGCTCAGTCTGTAATCAATAGTATATCGTAAATCTATGATAGCAAGACATGAGGGTCAGATAAGATACATGAGGCTTAACCTCTGATCAAGCATGCTGCGCCAAGGGCAGCTGCGCATAGGTACAGGAAGCGCCAAGCGCGCTCCGGATCTTCATGAAGCGACATGTGGTATACATGCGCTGATCTAGGGTGTCCATGAGGCGTACAGCCTCCATGGAACAGGTACAAGGCCGTCTAGGCCAGGGGCGGGGTCATAGCGCCAGGGGCGGGGTCATAGCGCCAGGGGGCGGGTCATAGCGGTCCAGACCGCTGTCTTTCTAGGCGCAGGCGGCGCACCGCCGCGCGGGGAGTCTAGCAGAGCGGGGGCAGGCGTAGGGAGAGCTGGGGCTCTAGTAGGTGTTACAGATCCCTGTAACACTGGTGATCTCCAAATTCTGGGTTTAATCCATCCCACTGCTTCTATAGAACCTGTCGGCAGGTTGTTTTCTTCCTCTGCTGCACATTGCCATTCCGCATCCTCGATATCGGATGTGATTGGTAGGAACGGTATGATGATGGTGAAACGGTGTTCCTTGATGAATACCAGGGAGTCTAGAGCGCCCATGAACTTTAGTATACTTTCTGGGATACATAGCCAATTTGCTGCTTCTGCTGTGGTTAGTTCGACGATAAGGCCACCATTTCGTAGTCGTGTGGTGGCTTTAATTTGAATGTCGGGAGACTCTCCATCCGAGATTGCGGCGAAGGTGTTTTTGGATTTCTTAGCGATGTCTACTGAGCTGTCTTCGGGTTCGTATAATCTTCCGCCGAGTGCCAGTTCAATTAAAATCTGGTGTTCCTTAATTGCGGCGCGTAGGAGGGCTGCCGAGACTGGGGCTGGGGTCTGTGTGTTTTGCCGTACTACTGCACTGTATGATAGAGGGTTGTTCGGCTGGTTTGAGGGTGCCCTAGCTGTTAGTAGCGCGTTCTTTACGTCAGTGATACTATTTAAGATGACATTGGTTGCTTGTTCTGCTCGAGTAGCGGCTGCTGACACTGAGGTGGTGGTGCTGGTGTTTTCAGAGTTAGCTTCCATATCTGACTTGAGTTTCGCTAGGTCTTCTACATTTGACTTGAGGCTCTCTGATGTGGTGAGTATGGAGGCTATTTGAGGCGAGATAGCTGCTATAACATGTGCTGAGAGTGATGACGAGAGTAGTGATGTTCCGGCCTGGCTTTGGCTTGGCCTGAGGGGGCTCGGGCTCACCATATTTCAAGCCAAGGCCATGAGCCAAAGCCGGCCAAAAGCCACAGCTTGAGCCAAATGAAGCCGCAGCTCTTTTGCTATCAGTGCGACATTATATATTGTAGTGCAATAGAACTACGGAACAAGCAACATGGAGCAGACCTAGTCTGTCTCAAAGTCAGACACCTCATCATCAGCTTCGTCATCAGCATCGTCTTCCGCATCATCAAGCATGATATCCCAACTATCCTCATCATCACCATCATCACCTGCAGTCTTCGAGTCACTCCCAGCTTCCAATTCAGCATCATCAAGCTCCTCTAACTCCATGAGGAATGACGGTCCAGGCTCTCGAAAGAGAAGGTCATGTCGTATCGAACACTTGACAATTTGAAGAGCTTCGACAATATCTCCTTTGAGCCTGTTCCACCGTTTAGTGACAGTGATGCCGCCTTGTGAAAATGCACGCTCGCTGGAGACAGATGATGACATGATAGATAGGTAGTCTCGTGCGAGTGAAGCCCACACTGGATATCTCGGTGCGTTGATCTTAAACAAAATCATTAGCGTGAATATTTTAAGTAGTATAAGGCACACACGTACCCCCCACCATTGAATGATGGTCATGCCAGCTGGTAGAGCAGCCTCGATAGTCTCAATATAACTCATAAACTCGGCCCTCCATGGCCGCAATGGATCGCCGATAGAAGCAAGTGTGGGGTTCGCAGACGGGTCATCCTCTGAATCGCTAAGTACTTCTCGGATGAGAGACTTGAGGCCGCCCACTTTACTTTTCTTGGATGCAGGCTGCGACAACAACGATGATGTACCTTCTTCGTTCAACTCGAGATAACGAGCTTTGAACTGGCAGCAGAATCAGACCTATGCATGAAGTTGAAATTTGATTGACGCACCACTTTCTCTGCAGTTGTAAGCACTTCGTCATGTAAATCTTCTGGCCAGTGCCACTTGAAATACACCATTTTCCCCACTGGATCAAGTACTGCATTTGTAAAAATCAGACCAATTATCCAACATTAACTAAACAACGTCTTACACATTGCCATGATATATGCAGGCGACTTCGTCGTCTTCTCATAATATTCGTCTACCTTCGCAGCCGCTGCTTGGAGTGATGTAGCAAACCTCAAATATTTCGGCCTTTCAGCGCGGGAGGACCAGGCCTTGTAAAGTGTTTCGAGTGCTGGAATTGCCAGATGGAGTGTTGAGCCACATTCTGATGAGAACGCTTGCTGCGCCACATCAGCATACTGAAAGATTAAGATTAGAAACAAGCATAGGCAAATTAGAAATTGACATACTGAAAGGAGATCCGCGAATTGGCCAGCGCGTGTCCATTCAGCCGTCGAGAGTTGTAGAAAGTCGATCTTCATGCGTTTGGTCAAATTGTGCTCTTGACGACCTATCTCGTACACGAAAGTGTCAACATGCTATAGTGATAGTGAGTTTCAACAAATAAAAAGTTCAACGATACAAAATATGTACCTCCTTGTTTGCCTCGGCACGATTAAGCATGATATACGTCGACGACCACCGAACTTTCATGTCAATTAATAGTTGGGTCGGCTGGGACACTCCTGCTTTGATCTGTACACTCCTGTACATCTCCTTTCGTTTTGCAGATGACCTGTTCCTACAGGACAGTAATACTTTAGTATACTTTAGTGCGTTATGATGCCGACAAGCGTACCTTGACACAAATACTGCGAATAAGACCAATCTCATCCCGAGTGGTCGGTTCATGACCTTTCGGGTCATGTGGATTGTAATGTGGCACTTTGCTGTATGTGGCAATCAAGGTTTGCGTGGCTAGATTAATGACGTGAGCCAAGCAGCTATATAAAAGAGTTAGTGTCGCAGTAGTGAGTTGACGATGACAGGACTTACTTGATTTTGCGCTCGGTCCAGGGAAACACTTTGTGGTGTTTAACCTCATAAAGCCGCGCAAATTCTTCCATTGTCGTCCCGTTGTTTGCGGCATTGTCACACGTTACATGCCCAAGCTATAGTAAGATATGAGTGTGATATAGTCTGTAGGAGTAAACTGAACTGACCTTATGTGTAATCCCGACACGATCAAGAATCTTAAATAAGGCACCAGCGAGTCAGTTTGCCATTATGCACGTTATTGACCTTTGTGAACCCAAGGAGCGAACTTTGAATTTCCCATTGCATCGGTGCCTTCTCCTCGATCCAGTGCCCTGTGACGGCAAAAAAACCATCAACATTGCCTGCCTGCCACGCGTCACAGGTGGCATTGACATTGCCCTTGACGGCGGTGCTCTACAAAGCCTAATTATACAAAGTACAATCAATAGACAAAACATTACTCACATTCAGCGTTTTCCTGAGCCTCGTAAGGTGGTTTTTGAACATCCTCATGATTTCAGCACGAGTCGCCTTCCTACCCGGAATCTTGACTCCATTGGTTGCACGAGAAGCAATGTCAACCATCTCTTTGAACTGGGGGTGTTCGAGTGCTTGGATGGGCTAGAAAAAAAGATGTCAGTTGTGATGTTGAATAGAGGGAAGCAGGCGTACTTGATCAGTGGCTACAAGCCATTCAATGGCAGCTTGCTTAAACAACTTATCGGAGTATGGTATGACTCGTTCGTCAAGCTTGCGTTCGGTGAGATGGGCATTGATTCATTGCTGCGCAGCGTTCTCCTTGCGAGCCTTGATGTCACCAGGTAACATGGACTCGAATGAATGTTCACTTGCCCACTTCCGATACTTGCCACCAAAATGTGCCTCGGCATGACGACGAAGGGTAGTGGCTTCATTGACGAGAATACATTTTTTCCTACAAATGATTGAGTGAGTAAGTACTATGACAGTGCAAAGGCAAACTTACGGGCAAATATTGCACTTTCTGTGCTTCTTCACTTTGCCATTGGCGCCAGTGTGTTCGAACGCTGCACCGAAGAAGTTGTCAATGTCAGCAGTTTTGCCTTCCCAAGATGACCCTGGGTCTGCGATAGAGACGTCGACATCAACAAGAACCCCATCTTCATCAACTAACTCTGGGGACTTCTCTGGGGACTTGCGCTTCCTTCTAGCACGCTTAGGGTTGACACGAGCGTTCTCACACTCCATATCACCAGATTCATCGAGGGCATCATCGGGACACACACATTTGTTGGATGGGGGAGGCGCTAATTGTGTGGCTGGTACAGGCGCTGTGAGTGCAGCAGGCTGAGAAACCTCTGAAGCACGCTTGGCGGCCTCAGCTGCACAGAAATCGTTGATAGCTTTTGTTTGGGAGGGAAGAGCCGCTTTCTCCAAGTGTTGAAGGAGGGCAGCAGTGGGTTTGATTTTGCGTACGGGACGCACAACACGTGGCTCATCTTCGCCATCGGTGAGAACTGTGCCCATCATGCCAGTCATTGCAGGCAGCTACACAGATAAAATACACACACATACCATTTATAAACGACTGAAGCTTGTTCAAGAATCCATCAAGCTCACGAAGCTGCAGCACAAAGTAGGACTTGAGAGGTGCATAGATTGCTGAAAACAGCACAATATGATACGGCGGGTGATGTCTGTTTTTCCGTCACCAGGGTGAGTATTAGCGGAAGCTTTTAAAGAAGACAACAATGGCGACTCACCGTGTCATTCTGACATACCCTACAGTATGATGGACTAGGAAGCAAGAACCAAAGAGAAGCAAGAAAATGACAAAAATAGAGTCGACAATCAGGTTCCTGCGCAGTACTTACATAATTCTAAGCCGCGGCTTGGCCGGCGGCTCAGGCTTCGCAGAATTGAAGCCTAGGCCAAAGCCCTTGTCAGGCCGTCACCTGGGCCTGGGCTTGGCCTGGCTCAATCTGGCCCGGCTTTGGCTGGCCCGGGGCTTGAAGCCGGGCCGGAACATCACTAGACGAGAGGTCAGCTACGATTTGAGCCGAGAGTGATGTCGTAAGGGAGTCGGCTAGTTGCTTGGTGGTTGATGATGGCGTTTGTGATGGGCTGTTCGTGAGGTTGTCTTCTAAGAGTATTGCGACGGCTCTAAGTCCTTCTATGGCTGTGCGAGGGATTCCTGTGTATTGGGTGATGTGAAGGATTGTGAGTATAAGGCTTTCGTTTGACATTGGCTCGCCTGGATGACGGAAGGGGGACTTCTCTAGAAAAGTGATGCTGCTTTCATTATTCTTGACATCGTACTCTTGCTGCATAATTTCATCCCTCGTTAACAGTAGAGATACTGTGTTTCGATGGGACGCTCTGATTCTATTTGTGGGAGTAGGAGCACGAGTGCTCGTATTGCCGGTCCCCAAGGGCATTGGACGCGACTTCCCGGTAGCCATTCGACTCTAGGAGCAACAGTAAGTCTGTTGGAGTTGGACTGGCGTTTATTAGTATTGGGTTCGAGAGGTTTGACGTCGGAGACGTCTAAAACGCTGGTGAGCGCAGTGCTGGGATCCGAGATTTTTCGGGGTCCTAGTCAGGGTGCCACTTGGTGCTCAACCAAGGAGCGATCCCCCATATCCCTACCCCCGTCACTCAACTGTGTTACACACGCCGTGAAGATGAAAGTGCCGCTCGAGCAGAGGATCATTTTTATTCATATCGGTGTGTAGTTTCGACTGTATTGGTTTTGTTCTTTATGTCGCATTCTCTTTCAATCACATTGTACTGCAATCTATGGGAATTACGGACACGCGTCTGTATAGTCAAAATATATGAGTCCTGTGTGGTCATGTTAAGCGTGTTCTAAGCTTGTAATATACGTCGGGGATTCGCTGAGATGATCTGGCCCTTCTTTCTCTTGTTTGCTGTCCTTGGGCTTTTGGAGTTCTCCAAATGTTCCGAAGACGTCGTCATCATCTACCTCACCTATACCAGGGGCTGGTGAGACGGTATTGAGTATCATCCATACCAATGCGCTTATGCACACCGACAAGGGCCACGAAAGGAAATAGATGTGTCTAGATTTTCCGGTGTTTAGCCACGGTCTTTGGTTGAATACTATAGAGAACGTACACCCAAGTGTCACTAACGATCACGCTCGCTGGTGTCACCGATGCACAAAACCCCGGTAAGCTTGCCCAAACACCCTAAGATCTGACGTGAGATATGGTAGGTGGAGCTGTGGAGGTCATACCAGGACCCAAGCAATGGGAGCCCTCCAGTTCAAGCCGTGCCAAAACCTAACAATCTTCAAAGACTGCTCGTTATGGCATGCAAAAGAACTTGCGCACCAATAGTCGCTTCCGATCTGTGGGAGGAAGAGATGCGAGAGTTTGATACGGTGATGTCTTAAGAGGTGATAATCTGCCTGAATATAAAAATCATCGTTCAAGCATGAAGGCGCTAGAACAAAGAGATGCGAACTTACAAACATGATCCCTGTAAGAGGTCCCAGGAAGACTGCGTATCCAGAAATTGCGGATATGAAAGAGTTGGCAGTCTGACCAATTCAAGCCGATTGCATCGTCGATGGCTACTGATGCAGACTGAGTGGACCTACGTTCATGATTTTCCAAGGATTGATGCATATTCCAATGATAGCAATGATCAACGAGCCACGACGGATGTCGATGTAACTGTCGAACCCCAAGCTGACTTGAAATAGAAACTAGAGAGAGATACGAAAGACTTACAGAGGGCACAAAGCTGCGAGATCCATTCCGCCTACGACACCACATGCAACAACCTGCACCATTGACCAAAAGTTATCAAGCGCATGATATGCTTGGCCTTTCGGAAACATACAGTTATACTTAGTTGCGATAAGAAGAATGCAAAGGCAGCAAAAAATACTGCAGCACGTGCGGCAGGAGCTTCATTGCGTTGAATTGCCTGGAGCAAATCATAAAGTTTCCTACGTCATATGAGTTATTGCCTGTTGTATGTTGCAGAGAGGTAGTTTACCACAACAATGGTTCATTCGGGTAAAAGCCCCGTGCGCAAGACGTCGTCACAATCCCAAGGATATTGGATCCGAGAAGGCACAGAGGTATGCTGAATATCTGCCCATACACTTGGTCTCCAGGGTGGACTGCGTATCGTGAAAAGTCTAATGATGCTTGTCTAGTTAGTGATCAGTACCTTGCGAGGGATCACGCACCACTCTGATACAAAATCTAAGAATACCTGACTTAGCTTTCTACAGATTGTGATTGGTTTTAAAAGTACTTGCACCACCAGCCCAGCCTCCAATCCCGCTATTGATACACCTTACCATCACCCAAGCTAGCTGAGAACCTTGAAGGTTGCCGATCCCATACACAGCTCTTAAGGACAAATGTTAACACAGACTGCAAGAGCAATACTGGTGCAAACGCACTCAGGATTTGAGAGAAGCGGACCGCCATTTCCTTGTTTGACAAAAGCCCAAAGGAATACAGCTAGAGCAGCTATCAATACAAGGACCGCAGATATAATTGCGGGTATGCGATATCTATTGGCGGACGCATGGTTCAAAGCGGGCATCATGGAAAAGTTGGTGAGAACGCACGACTCGGGTTTCAGAAACAATAAAGGGAGGCATGCAAGCCAAAATATAATGAAGGCAACTGAAGGCACAAAAATCGTCAGTCATTGTTGTTGAGCGACATACATTGTCGTATTTACCAAGGTCATTGGTTTCCATTGCAGCATCGGGTCCAACTGTGTTCGGCATGTCATAAAAACTCGCTAAGACGCTCGTTAACGCTTGAAAAATCATGGAGAGGCGCATGACTTACGCCATATTGCACCAATCATCACTTTTGTCATCTGACCACCGAACCATCCTTGAACTCCATACCAGCAACAAGATAACAGAACGCGGTTAAGGAGTGGAAACCACGAGCCCCGCCTGAGACACACTTAGTGACGATGCTGAGAATGACAAGCAGGGCTGAAACTTACAGTCCCCAAGGTGCACGATTGATAACTACCTACTTGAAGTCTAAGAGGAGATCAGGAACAGCAGAGCATCACTTACAAAAGGAATATGCCATTGGCCTCCCCCATAGCCACTAATTACGAGGGCAGCAGTGATACTAAAATAACGGATACTATGATGTATCTCAGAGAGTTATGCATCAACCGTTCTTACATGATCGTGCTTGTCAGGTTGACTGCAAGATAAAGCCTAAATTCGCGTTACTTGGTTACGCACTCCGAAGGTCTCACCGATAATCGCTTGCTGAACCGTAAGGCCCAGAGCGACTAAATGAAACAAAGAAGTCAACTTTTGATAAAAAATGAATTTGTATTCAATTCACGAGATGCGGATGCACCTGACCACTCTGCGATGTTAATCGCTGAAGTTAATGTGAGGCTCGAAATACGCCTTTCAAGAAGAAAATTTGCACACCAGTTGCGAACCAAAAGAACACAAACACTTTCTTCGACCATGTTCGGCGAGAAGGTGGAAGAGGGATAACATCGTTGTTGGTGTAAGGCGTTGCGTGCCCAGGCACCTGTGATGATTGTGTGATAGCACCATGAATCCGATCAAAAATCACTGCCGATATAGGGAGCAAGATCAAACTTGAAACGCACCTCAAGAAAATGCATATTGCTTTTTGTCGTTATGTTATCACAGGCCATGAATGATATAGGATAACTGGAGCCAAACGGTCGAAGCACTCCGAGTCAGTAGAGCAAGAAAGGTAGATGTCGGGCATCACCTTTTTGCCTTTAGTCTTTGGATTTCCTTCTTGATTCTTAGAGTCATCACATGTACTAAGCATCTCTGGTGTTACATGTAGTTGGTCGAGACCTGACTCAATGTAACATTTCCCCCCTTTGATGGTGGATGCTCAGCTGAAGCCTTTGGTACCATTTATATTCTGATGCGGTGGGCGGTAAAAACAATTCAAGCCCACAGGTCTTGTTAAACAGTAATTCATTGCAAGCATACGCACATTCAACTTTACGATTAGTTAAAGACAAATCAACCTTGGAAGAGACAAGAAAAATTCAACGATGTTTCACAATATTTTTATCGACCAGAACGCGGTCAAATGTCGAGAGAACAGAAAGGTGGCAAGGGTACAAATAAATCATTCTGCCTGCATGGGCATCACCTGGCCGCCCTTGGCTGCAGTGGGTGTAAATGTATGCCATCTGTCGTTGAACCGCACGTCGAGAGGACGTCCACCATACATGTACTGCTGGAATTTTGCTGCGAGAGGTTAGCGTGCCCTAAAGCAAATAAAATAAAAGTTGCTCACAAATAGCCGTCTCTGCCTCTGGAACCTGAGCAAACTGGACTACACCGCATCCCTTGGATCTAGCGCCATCGAAAAGGATTTCAGCGAGTTCAACTTGCCCAGTAGTCTCGAACAACTCGACAAGATCTTCATTTGCAGTAGACCAAGGGAGCTAAAATGCATATAAATAATCTTGTCCACAAAAAACAATGTCAAAATTGCTCACATTGCGAACCATGATTTGCTGGCTAGGCTCCGCATCATATCCACCACCGGCGCCACCACTACCCGCCACACCATAGCCACTGCTCCCGTAGCCGCTACTGTAGCCGTCCATTCTCAGGCCACTGTGAGCAGCAGGCTGGTCAGGACCAGAGTAGTCTGCGTACAAGTCCTGATTCGAGAAATCGCGAGCAGGACCAGAGGGCGCGAACCCGCCGCGGTAGCTGCCTCGGAAACTACCCCTGAGGCCACCACGCAGACCACGACCACCATAGCCGCCACCACCACCACCTCGGAAAGGGCTGCCACGGAACGAGCCTGGGCCAGAAAGACCCGCATAGCGGTCCTAATAGATGATCAGCATTGTATCGGAGAAAGAGTATCACCTCCAACTTACTTCCCGAACCTCGAGTGTCCGGCCATACCAGTCAAAGCCGTGGTACATACCTGCATGACGAGTTAGTCGACATCTACAAAAATGCGAATACACGTACCGATGGCTTGCTTAGCATCAGCTGCAGTCTCAAATACTACAGTTCCGGAGCCCTTGGGACGCCCGTCCGCACCAATGTTAATATCAGCCCGAATAATATTACCAGCCGAACGGAATAGATCCTTGAGGTCCTGCCAACCAGCCTGATACGGTAACTTTGTGCATGATTCAGCACGGATAACAGACGATAGAGGGACAAACCCACATTGCCAACATACAGCTGATTACCGGGGTTGTTGTGAGTTCCAAAATAATTATGATGGGGCGGACGTGGAGGTGGCTGCGCATGCAAACCTTGTCCTGCCATCGCCATTCCAATCTTGCCTGGGACAGGCGTAGCACCGAAGCGTGACTCGTTCTCCCGATCCTGTTTTGTAGTGTGGGTATAGCACCAACCAGACAAGGGAGTCGTACCTCGCGAATAAATACAGGACGCCCAAGCATGGCCACCTCGGAGAGTTCGCGGATGGCGCGTTGCGCATCCTCAGGCGAAGCAAATTCGACAATGCTGGTGTGACAAGTCAGTTATGATTATGGGGATATCGTGGAGTCACTTACCCGCAGCCTTTGGACACTCCCGTTGGCGTGACGAGTACTTCGGCGAATAGAACCTCACCAGCTATCAATCCCCAAAAGAAAACTCCCATCAATATCCTCTCAATCCAACCATCCATCAATCGAAAAGCCAAGGAAATAAACCGGCCAGGGCACCACACCACTCTCCCTCATCAGCTCACACTCGCCAGCACCAGCTGCCTTCTGAGCCTCAGCAGAACGGGTTTACAAAGTGGCCACACCCCGCCCCTCTCCCCAATCAAAGAAAAATCTAAATTCCCCAACCCACCTCCCCTCATGAATTCCATTAGGTCACGGTACTTGACGTCGTAACTGAGATTGCCGACATAGACTCGGTTTTCTCTCTTGCTGATCTTGGCAAATTCAACGGCTTCTTCATGAGTTGCGTTCATGGGTCCACCAAGGGAACGAGGGAATGGGTCAGCTGGCTTACGGTCACCGCGGTCACGACTGCGGGAGCGCGAGGGCGTCCGACTACGACTGCGAGAGCGCGAACGGCGTGAATGCCTGCGGTCACGAGGCGAAGCTGAACGACGCCTCGGAGACCGGGAACGTGTTCTACTGCGCGAACGCTTCCGGCGCTAGAATAACCAAATGTCAGGAGTGATTGTAAAACAAGTGGTGGCAGGCGACTCACATCTCCATTCCGTCTGTCGTCTGGTTCCCAGTGGTCAGTCCGACTCCTACCGCCCCGACCTGACGACATGTGAAAAATAATGAATTTTTGCATATGACGCCAGGTAATACTACACACCCGTGTCCCTCCTGTCACGATCACGGTCCCTGTCGCGGTCCCTCCTATCACGATCCCGTTCACGTTCTCTGTCGCGCTCTCTTTCACGGTCCTTGTCGCGGTCGAACTCGCGTTCTCTCTCTCTGTCACGCTTGTCGTCGATCTCATCCTTATTTTTCATGTCAACGTCCATTTTTGCGGTGTCAGAAAGCAGATATGAAGTAGGCAAGGAAGAGAGAAAAAACAAAAGAGGAAGGGAAAAGACGGAACTAAGTAAAAAAAAGGAGATGAAGAGGAGGTTATAATTTGTCGTTGCCGATCAGCTGACTCACGGCGGTCCATGAATCGGAGATCGAATAACGACTTAGCCACAATATGGCTTGGTAAGCCACAGAACTTTAGCTGAGTATTCAGGTCTGCAGCACGGTGCTTTCGCCACTCACCATGAGCCCTGCGTGAGGATCTTGGCTTCACAACACCTCCCTTGCATTTACGGTCAACAAGACTTGACCTCTACTAGGAGGCAAATTCTGCAGAACCAAAGTTAACTGATGCACACTTTACTTTTGCGCATTCTGTAGATATCATATAATATTAGGATATTTTCTACACTTGAACATTACATCGTTTTTTTTTCGTTGAACCTATTTTTTGTGTTCACTTTTATATGACGATTGTCACGTGATGTTTGTTTCTCACTCTGGTCTCAAGCTTGCTTCGGAGGACACATGGTCATCTGCCCTCGTTACGACCACAAATGCAGTCATAAGGGCAGAGAACGCAAGCATCAAGGAGCATGCGCTCAACACGGCGTCCCTAGCATTCGACACCCCGGTCATCAGGGAGACGACCACAAACACGTTCAAGGGGACACGGAACAGGGAACTCAGCTACATCATTCGGGTCAGCGCCTTCTTTTTACAATAAGAAGAGGCGACGTACTGTTGCTCGGTGCTCGTTTGAAATTAAAGTTCCCCTCAACATCCCTTGCACAGGATAATACATCCCCACACACGCTTCGAATGCGCAGAACGCCCAGAACCTGACGCGTTCACTGTCGCTTCTTATGCTTGTTGCTAGTGCAAGGGCAGCAAATGCACAAACTAAGCTACTGAGCTTTGCGTGGACCGTCAGACCGCCGGATTGAGTGGTGACAACACTGTAGAGGAGGGATCCGAGCATCATAGATATCATGAATGAGGAGAAGATGTAGCCCAGCGGTAGTGCAATAGTGGGAAACGTCGGCGAAGCTTCCTGGAGAGATGGTACCCAGAGGAAGACAAAGAGGTACATAGAACCCTCGAAGCAAGTTTGGGTCAGGCCAATGACGAGTAGCATAGGATCTAAAATCACATTCACGACCTGAATATCACGAAAACGGGAAGTGAGCCGGACTCACCATCTCTGACAATGCGCCATGCCTGCCCCAGTCTTTTCAGCTGAGATAAACCCTTGCCAGGAGTTGTTCCGCTGCCACCAAAGTTCTCCCCCCAACTTGCACGGATCACCAGGTATGCTAATAGCAACAAGACCCCGCTGGCAATGAAAGGAGATGTGAATGAGCCTGTCAAGGTGACTAGCTGATTGCTTGCAACGCCTGCACCCGTTGCAACAAAACCATTCACAAGCGTGGCGCGTCCGAATATTGTGGAAAGATCCGTTGATGGGAGGGCTAGGGCTCCAGCAGAGCTCACCAGCCAGGACTCAAACGCAGAGTAGAGGATTGATGTTGAGATACCTCCGCATACACGTCCAAGGAGAAGAATGGGCAAGTACGGAATGGTTATGCAACAGCAGGTGAATATATATGTCAGGCAAAAGGCAAGACAGAGTTTTTTGCGTCCACTACAGTACTAGTCAAACAACTTTATAGCGATAAAGAGAGCATATGTGACGTACTGTTGATCCGCCCAGACACCTACCAAGGGTGCAGTGAGCCCCGCGGACATAAACCCTGTGACAAAAAGGACTGCGACCATCCGTTCCGGGAGACCATACTGTTCTCGGTATAATGAGTAGATATATGGTCCCTGGAGCCAATCAGCACCTGGATAAATTGATGACCACGTAATTCTCATGAGCAGAGGATCATACATACCCATTACAATTGCATAGACAATGAGATACTGCCTTGTTAATGTAGCTAGGAAGTTGTTTGATGTCGTCGGTTCCCCGTCTTCCAGGCGCTCGGCGGTGTGCAGGTCTTTCTCCTTCGACTCTTTCCGTCGCGAAACATAGCGCTCAACCAGGAGGAAGATGAAACACAGGGAGACTAGGATAATAAGCTGGAATTCATAGAATCCAACCATGCCAGGCGGGCCCTCAAACGACGAAAGTTGGACTTTGCGGGTCCACTAAAGGCTGGAATAGATATTGAATGATGTGAATGTGAGGAACGAGAACTCTGTTAAAGACAGCAGGGAAAGGAATGTTGTGTGTGTGAGATACTTGCTCTCCTATAGATTCACGGGTAAATGTGCACCACGTCGGCATCCTCCAGCACAACAAGCACAGCTAAACAGACTCGGCTCATGGTACAGCAATTGCAAGCGACTACCAAGTTTGTATGAGGAATGTCAGTACTAGTCTAGTCTAGGAGAGACTGAATTGTACTAGCACTCGATTCCAACCTGCGAAGTAATTTGGTGATGACTGGAACTGCCTCGGACGACGGGTGAGCTTGCTCTATTTTCAGCGAGGGTAAACAGTGATGTCCCTGGGAGCTAGAGCGTAGATTTAGCATGTAGTGAATCTAGCTAGGCCTGGCCGACTCAGGAACCCACCATCCTCGCCCAGGTACTACTAGTACTGGTCGCAACTTTGCCAAGCGCTCGCTCGAACCTTGGCAAGCCTCTTTGATCATACTCTGCAAGTACTCTCCGTACTACGCCTTCAAGCTTCCTGCACTCTCTTATCTCGCACGCCGGCTCTTTCGTCGTCTTGCGCCATTAATAGTAAATCATGCTCATCTTCTCTCAACGCGGCTGCCCCGCACTGCTTCCCACCCATCTTCTGGTACAGTCGTGCTACCAGAGTCAACAACCTCCAACATTCTGCCATGCCGTTCCCCGTACCCTCGAAGTATTATTAAACTCGAGCTTACTTCCTTAGGATCCGGGCCTAACAACAATCACAATCTTTCACTGTGCGCGACTGGCGTAGTCTGTACTCGATGCATACTTGGCATTAGCAAGCATCCTCATGAGTCAGACAGGATCCTTCCTTATGTAAAAGTCTATCTGCGATCAAAGGCCTAGTTCTTTGTTATTCCTTCGTTCTAGACTGGCTTGGCTGAATTTTGATCCTAGGCACAAAAATACCGCAAGTAGGATAGCACGGTGCCGTCCTTATCTACTGATTTGGCTAATGTGATCATGTGGATTGGTAGATTCCACATACCGTATCATTGCTAACCTAGATTGTTAGACAAGAGCGCCGGACCTTCTCTTGTTCTCTGGGCCCCGTTTATGAAGAACCCCGATCAATACGGCTGCCGTATTGATATCCTATATCAGTCACCGGCAGCATCACCGATATCTAACTACACCTACCTGATTGTCATCGCCAACGAATCGAATAGCATGGCGATGTTCTTCAGTACGAAGGCGTGTCGACTTTGCAAGTTCGCCTCGTTGACACCCCTGGATCATACCTGGAGATAGGAGCGAATAGTAGGAGCGAATTGCGTTTGAAATCTCCCTTATTTACGTCCTGTGCGGACATAGGTCCCGAGCATCACCCGCTGATTCCGGGATCAACGCTAGTGATACATGCTAAGCCTTCTGCAACTCAGTCATGACCAAATTGTTAGTACTCCCAGTCCTCATCGGCGCTACCTTTGCGACAATCAGTCCTCGGTCTATATTTCATTTCCGAACAATGTTTATATACTTTTTTTAGAGATGGCGCCCGCAGAAGTTGGGCAAAGTGCAATGACAGCGAGGATGTATCTTGCACTGAAACTCGCATTTGATCTCATGCTCATCGCTACAGAGGATGATAGCAGAAAGTCCCAGGAGACAAATAATAGAACACCACATAAAAGATCAGTCTGCATATATACAAACTCTCCCGCCCTTCAACAAAAATATGTACATCCAGGTTTCCCAGTATGATTAAAAGATATTCAAAATCTGTAATCTATTATTCAGCTATCAAGCAATTATGATAAGCACAGAAAAGCGTACCAACCATCTAGTTCACAACTTTGTGATCAATAACCCCAGAACCACAACTAAAATTGTGCTTGGTGGGGTCAGGATGCAATACGACCAGAAAACTGTCCGTGATATTAGCCTCTCAAAGGAGTCGTTCGAGGCTGCTTGCGTTATCTGTTCAACACAAGAACATTAGTGTGATCAAGAGAGACTACTAACACCACAAAACGCACCTGCGCGAGCGTCAGAGCCGGTGGACTTGCTATCAAGAGTACATTTGACACCACGAACACGGGGCTATTGAAAAGCCGCACATCAGCAACTATTCGCAAGATAATTCAGAGCACTTACTCCGCAAAGACATCATGGATATCAAGCTGAGCAAGAATCGCCAACACAGGAAGCATCACAGCTGGGACGACTACCATCCTTGCAAGCACTGCCACGAACACCGTCTTGCCTTCCCCAAGCGTCTGGAGCTGCGGCTGCTGTACACGTTTAACTGCAAGCATCTCCTGAAGGGTACTGAGCAGTGAGGTACGAGATTTGTTGTGCCCGAGGTCCTGCCTTGTCTCATCTGTCTCGCAGTCCGTCAGATCTTCATTTTGCATGTCATCCTCGGGAGGTTCGGAGTAGAAGTATGCCCCAAGCACCACAAGCGTCAGTGGTATACTGCAGCTGCCTGCAGCACCAAGCGCGCCTTTTACCGGTTCCATGCGTTCAAGCGCAGACTGGAGCGGCGGAGTACACGCGACGACGAGACTAAGTAGGGAAGCCCATAGAGGCATTGTCATGAACGCGTTGACATGGCGCCATGCATTTCTGGTGGACTTCCAGACGTGTTGGAGACCAGTGCGGTGTCGACGATGTCGGAAATTTTCACTCGTAACTTCTGCCCCGTCTTCTATTCCATCCTCTGAGTCTGCGGGTGTGACGCTGTCCGAGGCCAAAGGTGCATCTTCCCGCACAGGTGAATTTGGGAATGAATGATATATAGCTGTGTTCCGTGATGGGTGCGGGGAGTGTGGGGAGCGTGAATGCGAAAGTGAAGACGACCGTTGGGGTACGCGAGATGGCGACAGGTGAAGGTGCGATGGCAAGGGGTGCGGACGTAGCTGTCCATGGATATGGCCTGCAGGCTCTTGGATGAAGGTAGGAATCTTACACGTTGTATCTTGATCATTGTCATCTGTGTCACCGAGAGGCGAAGTCACGAATACGGCTTGGCTAGGAGCTTGGGTTTGCCAGTGATGTGAAGGGCTTGTGGGATGCACCTGAGTTTGCCAGTGATGAGAAGGACTCGTGGGCTGGAACCTGGATGAATGATGCTCGCTAAGCGTCGTCTCATCTGATAAGGATGCATTATCAGCGTATTGGGCTCCTTCGGGATCATATGGCACAGCCGCAAGTAGGGGCGAACGGGGAGAGGTTGGTGTAGGCGGAGTATCTGCAGAGGCAAGCAAACGCACGCCGTAGCTCCAGCGAAGCTGTAAGCAATATAAGTAAAAAATCACAAACAATGAAGTACGGAGCAAGTTTAAAATAACTGGCTTGGGAGTTTTGTTAGAAGATGAAAAAGGGACAGACGCCAGTTTTGAAAATAAATAACAAAAATAAATAAACATCATGAAGACCAAGAAATCCAACCGAGATATCGAAATCCAGGACAATTGAAACACGATTCGAGTTAACGCAACGCACCATCATCCCAAGAGTGCTATACAGTACGAGGTACGTGAGTGCACGACCCAACATGGCGTCCGTGTTGTCGTCTGAGGTCCATTTAAGGCCATCTACAGTAATCACGAGGCTCTGCATCAGAGCGATGGGTAGTGAGTTTGAATTCATGAACATCGAAGCGGCCATAGCGAAGTTACTAGAAATGGATGGTTAGCTCTGGTCATTGTGAACACAGGAGACAAAGGAAGGGAAGGACAGGTTGAGTATAAATGGAGAAACACACCGATGAGATCTCTTCAGTCCAAAGATCCTCGAAAGGACTCTGGCCACGAGCGCAGAGAAAACCGTGACCACCATAAAGAAAATTGGAATAACCCATAGTTCCTTGAGTTTTGCTGTAGGACACACGAGGTTGGTTAGAATCCTGGTGATGGACGAAATATGGGACGCACCTGGACTTAGGAAGAATGCGACTTTGGAGAACAACAAGGCAGGCGTGAACAGGGAGATGTTGATATGATTGATCACCTGGATTTCAGATCAGCGAGTGGAAAGCCAAAATACAAGGCAAAACTAACGCGTTGAGTGGGCTTGTCAATGATACGGCGCCAGGCGAGTATGTAACCTGCGATACATAAAAGAAATACCTCTAGAATCGACTAAAAGCCAAGAAAGTCAATGGACAGCAGCGTGTTAGTCGAATGCCGAACACATGCCTGAAATACAGTAAAGAGAAGTGGCCAGATGGGAGTATTATCCATGACCCAGGATGGACAGTCGAAAAAGAGTTTGGAAATGACAGGATATAGAGGCTAAGTAGTTACTGTGAAAAATGGGTAAATAGTGAACCCAGGAGTTTGTGAAATTTGGAAACGCGCCATAAGTATAGCCACGCAGTGCTAACGAAATTCTTGGCTGCGTCATGCGTGACACACGTGTGGATTTTGACCTTCCTTTTTTTGGCAGTTTAATAATGAGGTGATTATAACTCGCACGAATAGCTTCCTTTTCGCAATCTTCTATCATCGTGGCGACGGAGGCCGACTTCTCGGTTACATTCCACCGATACCACAATGGCTTGGCGTTGTTCTGGTCGCACAAACGCGGACCTCATCGCAAACATGCGCACAGCACGAATCATCACAACAGATAGAGTCGGCGAGGTCAGTTCATTCCCAACTACAAGTAATTAGAGTCAACCTAGAGTTGTCACAGGCCATGACGAAAGTCGACCGGGCCAATTATGTCATACGTAAATCGGAGGCATATGAGGACTCGCCTCAGTGCGCATCGACTCTCTTCCCCGAACATTACTACTAAAATTCTATTGCACAGATCTATCGGGCATGGCGCGACTATATCTGCACCACATATGGCAAGTCCTTGGAATTTGAGGGCATTATCCTAACATACTTTTCTATAGCACGCTCACGCAATCGAGCACCTTCTCGACTACCTCGGTCCGGGCAAACGCGTCCTGGATGTAGGTAGTGGGTCCGGTTACCTTTCCGCCGTACTCCACCACCTTGTCCCAGGCGGCATTGTCGTTGCCATCGATCACATCCCTGAACTGGTTGATTGGTCAAAGAGTAATCTTAGACAAGATGGATTGGGCCCCGCTCTCAACAGGGGCGACATCGTCGCGGTCACTGGTGATGGTCGTCAAGGTTATAGCAGCCTTGCCAAATATGATGCAATTCATGTCGGCGCTGCTGCGCCCACCATTCCACAGCAGCTGGTAGACCAGCTCAAGAGCCCTGGGCGGATGTTCATACCAGTTGGAACATTTACTCAACAAATCATACAAGTCGACAAGGACGAAAATGGTAAAGTCACAAAGAAGAATTTGATGGGGGTCATGGTAGGCTTTTTCAAATCTTATCTCATTCGTCGCTGATTTGTGGGCAGTATGTCCCCCTTACGGATGCAGAGGGGCAGAAGAGAGGCTACTGAAGAGGTCCCGGATTCAGCGTTTCAGATTTGCTCAAACGAATAAAGTGCTTTGTTATTTTCATGTTTGCTTTCAACTAATCATCAAGTTGTATCAGTATCTGTCACCGTCGATTACAATAACCATGCGGTTTTGTTCGCCTTGTCTGGTCAGGAAACACGGGTGTACGCTAGCTTTCAATCCATCAATGTGACGTCAGAACATGACAGATATTACGCCGTGGTTCCGTAACTACATGCAAGACTCGGAGTCGCTGTGGTACCATTCGTACTGGACACCAGTGTTTTGGGAAAGTTTTACCGTCACTCTCTGGTATTCATACATGCTGAGCCAGCTGTTCCCAGAGCAGCGCTAGCGCTTTTCGATGGATCCACCTACATGCTGAGCTTTTACATGATACATCAACAAAGGACCCTCTATACACGTAAGTGCAAGGTCCTTCCACATAGTCAACGCGAGTAGCTCCAGGTGTACGTCTCAGAGGGTGAGCGCTGATATTCTAGGTCTCGAGCGAGATAAATCAGCAAGGGAATTTTCCGGGGGACGCGCTCAATTGGATGATCAATTGAAAGAGGAAATACAACTACCTGTCACTTCGGGACGATCCGAGTAAACAGCTGATCAGCAATTACACCGCCAAGTCATCGTGAACCAGAATCGCGGCGCGCTGGATATATAGGACGTACATATTATCTCATAGAAGTTGTGCGCCCTGTATCGCTGGTCTACGACCATTAGTCCAGGCTTCTTGCGAACCGCAGTTCGGTTGGCTGCGTGCGGACCGCGGTACGTATTCCGTGTCCTAGACAGTCTAATAGCTGCACGAATATGCGCATCTATTCTGCAAACGGATACCACACCATTGATCGTGTATTCTCATGATTCTGATTCATCTTGATTGTGCTATTTGACGAGGGACTTTGTATCACGCTAGTATGATGTGCGTAATGCCTGTAATCTATGCTTTGTTGAAGATGCTAACCTGAACACCTCGCAGCATGTCAACGTAGGCTTCGATTGTTTTGCGTGACTCTGCTTTAACCTGCTACATCAATTTATAGCTGATGGAGACGCCAGTCTCTATCAATAAAATAAGTACGGCGGACTCCCTCGAAACGTGAGAAAGACCTACAGGCACATAAAGTTCGGAGCCGTCGACCCATATTTTCACTACATTATGTGCATCAGCACTGTATTCCCCATCCAACAGCACTTCGACATAAGGCAGGGACGTCGTTATCGACTCATTCTCCACTACTATCGTGGATGGCTCTTTCACCACTCGTCCTTGGCCCTGCCGGCGCTGAACAGCCAAGGGGCTGAAGTCCATCATATGTGAACTATACTTCTTAACAGCCGAGCCGTCATCTGCTGTTGCACCCAGTACAGGGACGGCCTGAAAAACTCGATTTCCGCTAGCGCCAAAGCTGGATGCTGGATTAAACCCACGGGTGTTTGGAGGGCCCCACTGTTCCCAAGGTATCTCTTCCAATGTCTCTTTAAATGGATCAAGATTAAAAAAAATCTTGGTGGAAACGGCGAAGGCTACACGGTGCAGGTCCGTGACGAAGAACAGTATTCGATGTTCAGGATCTGAGGTCCATAGTATTTGATGTGCTTCCGTCTGCGGTTGTGGGCCATGAGCAATATCGTCTGTAGGACCAACATACCAGATGTACATCGGCGCTGATATGGGCATCAAGAAGCCCGCCAGGAATGTCGGTGCTTGGGACATATCCTCAATCGAATAAAGATACAAATACAGGTTCCTTATGGTCAGGAATCTATTATTTCCGAGGAAACAAAAGTCTTCGTCTGTTGAGGTTGATGCGTAACTGATGACACTCTAGATGCGAGTCAATTGTTAAAATTCATTACTAACTATGTCTTTTTCAGCAAGCTCACGTTGGATGTTGTTGAGTGTTGCCAGTCCCAGATCTGCGACCACCACGTGCCCGCCAGGTCACATTGGATAGCAATATGCCTTCCGTGCCCCTGGAGCTTCAAAGTGCTGACTTGACATTCATGAAGTTTAGATAGAGATAGAAACAACGTCTGTCCAGCAGCTTGGGGGTGGACACCATCTTCGTCCAGAGCTTTGAGGTCAACATAGAACGGGCGATCGGGCCAACTCAGAGAATTGAGATAATCGTGATCATCGGTGTGATACGCGATGGCGATCAGGTTTTGTGCTGGGTCGATCCATACATGATCGATATACGCGTCGGGAACGGGACCCAGCAATTCTGGGGACCACTCACGCTGGTGTATTTGCGGTGAGGACTGTGGCACTAATGGAAAGATCTTAACCCATTGCTCGGTTTCATCAAACAGGCAGAGGTGGCCATCGACAAAGGATCTTTTTATTTGCCAACTGTGAGCTGGTGAATATACTGGGGTGGCAGCAGGGTGATCTAGGATAGATACTGGGCGAATGTTGAACTTGAACCATGCAGATGCATTGTCTTTCAGGAGCTGTAGGCGTTTGGAAATAGGAACATGCTTGTTAAATTCCGTATTGAGGACAGGTAGCAACCCTTGGCCACCGAGTTCAACGATATACTGAAGCTCAGAGGACGATGTGAACGTCTGGCGAAGAGCCTTACATACCTGCAAAACGACTGTCAATACAAAATCATCTGTAAGAAGGCAGCTCACAGATGTACAACGCAGAATATTTCTGTAGGGGAGGAAGCTCAAAATGTAGAAATGCAGTTCTTCTGCAAGAGACAGAAATCCCACTTTCGACTTGAAAGTCATAATAGAGGGAATCAAACTTGAAGGACATGTCGGTTCTCACGCGCTGTCGACGCTTAACGTTTAACTCGAGTGAACACCCCCATCGGGAAGATTCTACTCGCAATGTCTCCGCCTTTGAATCACGCATGTGCATGATCAGTGATTCTCGTCCATAGCAACGTTGGTGTCAGCGCAGGGGTGTAGCGGCTCTTCCGAATTCAACGATTCTTCAAGTTATCAATTTTCAAATTCTTCTCTCGACACAATTGACATGATAGGCGAGTCATGGCAGATTTACGGCGGCCGAGCGTAACCGATTATCATCCAATCACCCAAAACCGTGAAAGCAGCGGTCCTGCCAGTAAAAGTACAGTGATAAGGGGTACAAATATAAATCATAATAGATACTGTACTCTTATAGATGATGGAAATTTCACTCGTCCGAAGCCAATATATCATTAGCAACTTCCTCTTCCTCTTCTTCGTCTTCTTCGCTATCCATGATGGAATCGATGGTACGATTCCCTGCGGAGGCAGGTTGAATGTTATCCCGCGCTTTGCTTGCACTGCATACGACCAAATGAGTATGTGCTGTCCAACTTATCCAAGCGACTTACAGCCTGGGCCTTCGTTCGTTGTGAGAGGCAGGAGGGGATGAAGCTTCCTCCTCTTCCTCTTTGTCATCGTCATCTTCATCTTCAATTAACTGCACTACCTGGGGTTTCTTTACCGACCTGTGAGCAAAAGTTAAGACCAGATTAAACGGGAAGATCATAACATGTTAACGCACGCGGCCCGCTTTGGCAGGGTTCGTGTGGGTGCTGGGGTAACATGGTCGTGCGATAGGACGTCATCATCTGAGTCATCGGAACCAGAAACACGTCTCCGCCTGGATAACAATAAGTCGACAGGAAGTTAATAATGATTGGATGTCCACTTACTTGGCTTGCTTCCCTCTACCCTTGCCCTTTGGGTGTGATGGAGAAGCAGCAGAAGCCACACTTTCATCTGGTATGATGCTGTCCGTGGTATCGGTAACAATGCTTTCTGAGCGCCTAAGCCACTCAATCAGTCTCAACGCGCATAAACGGTAGTGTAACAGAAATCACACCTCTTCCGAGCACGAGTGCGAGGTATGTCAACCTCCTCGCCGTCGTCCAAGGGAATGATATCATCAAGAAATTCGAACAAATCCTTCAGATACTCCAGTTGCCTGTAGTCTTCCTCGTTGAAGCTCTCTAGCTGCTCAGCATATCTTTTCGAGATCGCAGCATCAAATTTCGCAAGCGCATTCTTGGCTGCTGCGTCACGGATCGGTCGACGCTGTATGCGCATGATTTTTTGGTTGACACCAAGGCTCAGATGAACTCACAGAATTGAGGTTGTGAAGTAGTAACTTGAGCGTGCGGATTTTATCGTCATCAACCTTGTCCGGCAAGTATAGCCGCCCAAGAACTTGATACAAAACTTTCTTGTCCTCCTCTGCAATTTTAGCGTTGGTTAATAGTTCGTCCCAGAAAGTTATTTGACATACTTATCATTTTGTCGTCAAACAATGCTCTTGCGATGTCGCTTGCCAAGTCAATATGAATTGTCTCGTCCGTTGGCTGATCTTGCACATCGCTGCATCATTTTAACTAACACTCTCGAAACAAACAACATTGCCTCACATAGCTTTCTGTGGATCGGTCCAATCCACGAACATAGCTGCTATTTGAGCAGGACTGACCATATCCTGAGTTTCGTCAACATTTCGGGTTTCTGGGGCAAGTTGTTCGAATAATCCAATAAACAGCCGTTGTATCCGTCGCTGGTTGACTGGAGAGGAGTAGCAGTACACGGGGAAGAAATAGGCAAGGCACTGGCGGACTTCTTGGTTGTCGATCGTGTCCGGGGCAAGATATGCAGCAACCAGGCTTTGCAGCACCTGAAGAAGGGTTACCTCCTGACATTGTGCAACAATTTATCGGCACCAACCTGGTCTTCGGAGATCATTCCGGAAAGGACAAGCTTTGAAAGGCCGATACACAGGAGGGCTTGCACCTTGTCCGATTCCTCGGTTTCCAGGACATGCAAGAAGAATTCGATGATACGCTCTCTCTGTAAAAGCATGAGCATTGAAATAAGGTTGAGGCTGTTGTTACCCACTGTAACACCCTCTTTTTTCAAGAAGTCATTTTCGTGCACCATGAGAATGTCGAAGACGATCTGCAGCACACGGATCTTCAAGACTTCCGGGGCAGTCTGAATTTGACCCAAAAAAAGCTGGAAAGAGTTGAGAGCCATGCGCTATGAAATTGATTAGTTTCAAAGCCACATGGTAGGCAACATGAGCATACTCGAGCAATAAGACAACAAAGACCTAAACAGATGAGACCCTTTTCACGAAGTACCAACTCCTTACGCTTGACAGCAGGAATGATTAACTCGCCAAGGATGCCTTCGAGCGTCGAATTTTCTTCGAATGTCTGAGCAACACTGAGTGATTAGGAAATTGAACATAAGCTATGACGCACTCCGTTAACACGCTCCAGCATCCCTATACAAAGTGACAGACAACGCAAATCAATCGCGTCCATACGAGCTCGTTCCTCGGAAGACATATCTTCTGATGGCTTTGGTCCTTTGGGTGCTGTACGAGTTGGCATGGGTGTTTCGCCAAAATTGGTCTCTCCGTCATCTGCAGGCTCCTTCTAGCAAAAATAACGTCATCACGGAAATGAAATGCGAACAATGAGGTGTCCAACTTACTAGAGCCTCTTCTTCATCACTAACATCCCTAAGCTCGTGGACTACTTCCACAACAACTCGAATAAGATCCCTCTCGTTTGGTGATAGTATTCGTAATACGTCCAAACATCTAGCGACAAGCGATTCGGGTAGTGCTTCCTGAGAGATCATGTCTCTCACAAGCTGGAACATTTTTCGGCGCCCAATCTCATCAGCATAGTCTAGATTCACAGCAACCTTGAGCATCTCGCCTATGACAAATTCCTTGTCAATGCGAGCCTCTTCTTCTTCCTCAGTTGGTTCGCCACGGATGACTCTCTCTTGCTCGGCGACCTCCAAGTCTTCTTGGTATGCATTGTAGGCAGCTTGGATGCGGTAGGCAAGGGCAGTGACAACCGGGAGAGAAGCATCTAGTTTTTCCGCGTTTTTAATGGTAATGCAATGGTCAACAAAGACGCGAGCGAAAAAAGCTCGCTCTGGGGTCAGGTTGGCCCAATAGGCATCTGTGGATGTTTCAATTAGCTCATCCGACCGAGATTCTGCAACGGAACATACCATTAAACTCGACGTGGTCGGAAATATCAGGGCGTCTGTCCAAAACACTCAGCAATGCGTCCTCTGCAACCGTGCTCTCCGTAAGATCAAAGAGGCTTAAAAGTGCGAGAACATTATCTTCGACGGCCTTGCTTTCTTCGTTCTTGACATTTTCACGAGCAACGTCCACCCATTTGCTGAGCAATAAAGCTGCAGCCTGGCGAACCGCTGGCTCTCGATCACCTAAACCATTGCGAATGATGAACTCTCTCTGAGAAATGGTAAGCACACGAGGATGAACGAGCCCCATTGTAGAGCCATCAGAAGCGAAGCAATGTTGGACTAGGATAGCGGAATAAACCAGCTTGCGCATGATCGTATCAGTGTCACGGGTTCGACCAAGGACGGCGTCTAGGGTAGCTGAAGACAGAGGAATATTGAGTAATGCGGCTCTACGGACGTCTCTATAAGACAAGTGATTAGCATATTGTTGGACGATTTATGACAAATGAACCAACGCGGCAGGATCGCAACTAAGAGTCTCCAGCAGGACCTCAAGAGCAGTGGGTTCTCCTTCTTCCACATCAGATGGATCTTCCGAGCCACATAGCTTCGAGAGTGCAATGACAGCCTGAACTCGAACAAATGTTTCTTTGTCGTGCACACGCTCGAAGAGAGCTGTGCGGAGCTCAGTGTACAACGTTTCGCTGCGCCTAGTCAGCCAGGTTTATTGCACAAAATAGGTTACTAACCTAATTTCACCCAAATGCGCGACCATCTCCGCCAAAAAGTGGACGCAGCGGTAGCGTGCGACTTTGTCCTTGGCTTCAAAGCCATTTAGGAGGAAGGCAAGCACTTTCTCAACGAACCGAGAGGCTGTGGTATCATCGTCATCATCATCATCATCTTCCTTCTTTACCTCAGCGGCTGTAATAAGATGAGGTTTAATATCAGTGAAACGAGCAGACATCGTACCTTTCTCATTGATATATTTTGTATACGCTCCGACAAACTTGACTATCCGGTCACCCTGCGATGTTCCTTTCTTCACGGCGGCAGCTCTGCATAGCATGTCTTTGAATCTCTCCTCGAACATACGCTCACCAGTGAGCTTGATGCTTCTGCCATTGTGTACGGGTTCGGTAAAACCGGCAGCATCCAGATGGAGTTTGTGAAGTGCAACGATATTTTTTTGGTGATTTGCAGTTGAATTCTGAACTTGATCAAAAATCTTGGGCACGCTGGCGGTGAGGGTTTCCTCGACGGAAGATATGCGCCCTGGCATGGTGTACAAAGTTGCAAGATCCACAACCTTCACGTTCCAGTTGGACGCGTTAGGGGTCACGTGCGTCGCGATGCAAAATTCTGATGCTTTGTGATAAACACGAAGCACGTGCTCACTATGTTGGCGACGGGCGTGCTTTACCTTTCAACAGATATCAGTCAAGGAGTGTCCGCCATGGACGTATCCTTCGAGCTTCAAGACGAGCTACAGGCACTTCAGGACATCCCAAACTACGACATCCCAAATGAACGGGATCCCAACAGCAACGATCCCGGCCCCTTATTGCAACGTACGCTAGCCTTGGGTGCTGGTATTCGATTCTTACTGACCACGAACTTAGAGGCTGTCGGAGCGATTGCTCATTCATCCGAAGAAATAACTGATCCGGAGATATTTGATATATTCCGAAGTCTTCTCAAGCATTCCGATGCAGTCGCTGGTGCTTATATGAGCAAAATGCTCGATGCTCTACTCTCTGCATTCGGAGCTCAAATTGATGCTGCAATACGCGACTCCAAGGAAGAAGACCAACAGATTGTTATGGCTCATAAGATGCCTTTGGAAATGTATGCCTTCTTAGTTAATTGGTTTGTAGGTGCCGCTGAGAAGGTGAAGGCAATGGGTGAAGAGGACGCTCCACCAGCACCTGTGAAGGCGCGTCGTGGGAGGGGCGCAAAGTCTGGTACCTCGAGGGCGGCTGCGAAGAAGGCGGAACAATGGACATGGATCGATCAGATCCCTGGCACTCTGGAACTCATTTGCAAGGCGTTGAAACTGAAGACGCACCGCATCTGGGTGACTAGCCCGGAGAGAGATGCGTTCATAACGTGCGTACGGCTTGCTCTATATCACATGATTTGGCGGGGGATGTACGCCAATTCAGTTGTTTAGACATCTGCTGACCCTACTTTAGATGCCTTACCCGCCCCGCGTACCATGTTGCCGAGTCTGAACAATATATGAAGACTCAAAACGTCCGCATGCATGTCTACAAAGTCATTTGCCTTGCTGTAAAGCATCACGGTCACACGCTCGCTGCGCAAATCAACATCATGCAATCCTTGCAGTACTATGAACACCTCTCTGAACCCATGGCAGAGTGCCTTTCTATCCTGGCAAAGGAATTTGATCACGCCCAACTTGGCGACGAGATACTTCGCGAAATCGCTGGAAAATCGTTCAGTGCGCAGGACACCAAGGGTCCAAGAGCGTTCTCCCGATTCCTGGTTAGGTTCAGCGAGGAGTCGCCGCGATCCGTTCTTAAGCAAATCAGTCTCTTGATTGACCATCTCGACTCAGAGGTGCGCTCCCCAGAAACAGTTCTTCTTCCCCATCTGACAAGCATGTAGTCTTATCCTATGCGCATGGCAATTGTTGAAGTTATCGGCTCACTCATTCGTGAACTCGCTACGTCGGAGGATATGACAAATCGGACGAGTGGCTCTAACCAAGCGGGCAAGCAGCTTGATGGGCTGTTTGAACTCCTTCCTTTCGCGAACGCTTGATCTATCCTCTTACGTACGCTCTAAGGTCTTCGCAACACTCTCAAAGATGCTTGATCTGCCTTTACGTCTTCCAGAGCAGCGGCTCCGGATCACGCGCGCTGCCGTTGACACGTTGGAGGATAAGGCGAGCACAGTACGCAAGGCCGCTGTTTCGATACTTGTGAAGCTAATTCTGACCCATCCATATGGAGATATGTATGGGGGTGACTTGAGCTTGGAAAAGTGGGAGGAACGGTATAAGACTTGGAAGGACAAGTTGGAGGAGATGGAAGGTGGCATCGGGAAAGCGGTTGAGAGGGACCAAAATGACAAAGAAGAGGTAGAGTCTAATGTCGAAGAGGAAGATGCTGATGAGGACGAAGACACGGAAATGGAGGACACAGATGTAAACGACGACGGCGACGCATCATCAAACAAACCGAAGCCTAAAAAGAAAAAGGCAAGCCGGAAATCTACCGTCGATGTCACAGCCATCGTCTCGGAACAAGAAGCACTTGCTGCCCTGGAGACTAATGAAATTCTTGCCATGGGTTTGCGCAAGAAGTACTGCACGGAGGCACTGGATTTCATCCGTACCCTAGAAGGCGGGATGGTGTGGCTCACGCAGCTTTTGGGGAGCACGAACAAGGCAGAAGTATTGGAGAGCATGGAGTTTTTCAGGGTCGCATTTGAGTACCAGCTTGCCAGTGCCGAGGTGATACATATGATTATTCCGTGTTACGGCCATCTAACCTTATCACCAGAAGGGCATCAAACGTATGCTACATCTTATATGGCACAAGGATAACAGCTCAACGTCGGAGGACGGGAAGGAGCTGAAGGGGGTGCGGTCGAGGCTCCTCGAATGCTACCGTATGCTGTACTTTGACCCCCTACCCGACATGGAACCTAAGCAGCAAGTGAACCGTATTGCCAAAAATATGATCGAGTGGGTCCAGCTTTCTTTCTCAGATTTAAAGCTGCTTGAACATTTGTTAAAGATTGACATACGAAGCAACGCTTGCAGAGCTTACCAGTTTAGAAGAGATGATGCGTATCATGATGGAAGATGGCCGGATCCACCATGATGTGATCAATAAGTTATGGCAAGTTTACAGTGAGGAACGTTCTATTGCAGCAACAACACATTGGTTCATGTTCATTTTTAGGCGCTCCTCAAGCTTTGCCCCGCTCTCAACGTCGTGGTGCAATCATCATACTCGGAATGTTGGCACTTTCGAAACGCACCATTATTTCTGAGAAGGTGGACACATTGCTGAAGATTGGTCTTGGACCATTCGGCAAGGTGAGTGTGAGTAAATACCCTATCAATACCAAGCATTCACCCTACGGCAGGCCGATCTCACACTTGCAAGGTACACGTGTCTTGCCCTGCAACGCTTGAACGGCAGTGCAAAGAAGGTCAAAGGTACGAACAGAACCGTATCCCATCAATCATTTTCTCATACAGGCAGCAGGATCTCTTCTCGATAAATCCCTTCGGATGGAGATGGAAAACCCCATCTTCCGTAAGTTGCAAAACACCATAGAGCACCCCTGTCGATCGAAAGACTGGTTCGGCATGGCCGAACAAGCAATCAACACTATCTACGCCCTAGGAGAGCACCCCGACGAGCTTTGTAATAACCTTGTGAAGAATCTTACCCGGAGGGCATTTGCCAAGCAGCAAAATCCGGAAGAGCCTTCATCCGAGCCGGACATAGAGACGATGGAGGTGGATCAAGAGATGGAACCCCCGGAGCCAGTGTCGCAAGCGCCCTCTAGTACATATTTGTCGACCCAGCAGTCGAGCATGAGCGAGAAAGATCTTGGAGATGTCTTTCATCTCAGTCAGCTGCTTTTTGTCGTAGGGCATGTGGCCATCAAGCACATCGTCTTTTTGGAGCTGGTGGAAAGGGAATGGAAACGGCAAAAGGATGAGAAACAGTTAGGTATGTTCACTTTAACCGCCCTCAAACTATTGAATGACGTTTTACGTAGCGGAAAAGCTTGCAGCTGGGGGCTTACCCAATGGTACCAATAAGGAGACCGAAGAGCTTGATCAAGTTGCTGGCAATGCAGAGGATGAGATTGGTGAACGGATAGCTGCCGTTCGCGAAACTGAGCTGCTCTATGGAGAGCAGTCGTTGCTGAAGTTGTACGGCCCGTTGCTAGTCCATGTGTGCGGTAGTCCACATAAATTCAAGGCAAGTGACGAGTCATTTTCTCTACATTACTACTAACACATACAACAGAATCGCACACTTCGTGCTGCTGCAACTCTCTCGTTTAGCAAGTTCCTGTGTGTCAGCTCACAATTTTGCGATCAGCACCACCATCTCCTCTTCAAGATCCTTGAGACCTCAAGAGACCCAAATATTCGTAGTAACATTGTCATTGCTCTCGGCGATGTGGCAGTCTCGTTCAGCAACATTATCGACGAGAACAGCAATGAATTATATAAAGGCCTTTCTGATGGTGATCTTGTCGTAAAGAAGAACACGCTGATGGTGCTCACGCACTTGATCCTCAACGGGATGATCAAAGTGAAAGGTCAGCTAGGCGAGATGGCCAAGTGTCTAGAGGATGAGGAGCTACGGATATCCGACCTTGCGAAGCTGTTTTTCAAGGAGCTGTCGACGAAGGACAACGCGATCTACAACAACCTACCTGATGGTATGCCTCAGTTCACTCTTAATATCAACGTTCTTCATATCATTATTCTAGTCATCAGTCACTTATCCACAGGTGACCACGCCGTTGAGGAGGAAACTTTTAAAAGCACCATGCGCTACATCTTTTCTTTCATTGAGAAGGCCAGTCCTCGTCTCTTTCCATCGTCGTAGTTCCGATTCATTAAACTTCTAACAGGAAAAGCAAGCCGAAAATATTGTGGAGAAGCTTTGCCAGCGTTTTAGACTCTCTGAGGATCCCCGTCAATGGCGCGACATCGCATTCTGCTTGTCTCTCCTTCCATTCAAGTCAGAGCGATCGGTCAAAAAACTCATCGAAGGCATGCAATTCTACCGCGATAAGCTGCACGAGGAGGGCGTGTTCGACAGGTTTAGTGAGATACTTACAAAGGCGCGCTCCAATAAATCGGCGAACAAGCCAGACACGGAGCTCAATGAATTTGAATCGGTACGGCCGTTTTGACCAGGATTCCTGTAACATGAGTCTCAAAGTCTTCCAGATACTTGACGAACATCGACGCCAAGGCGCAGAGGACCAAGCCTTTGAAAAGCGCGTTGAAGGCAAGAAAGCAGCTGCGAAACGGAAAGCTACACGACGATGTGAGTTCTATGTATACTCCTTGATTTCTTACTCACATATTTTGCAGCCGTGCGCAAGAAAGTTGTTGAAGCCGAGCCTGAGCCAACATCGCACGCCCCGGCCACACGGGATGATGACGATATGTATGTGTAAACCGGACTTTACACATTCGGGGTCTCTTGAATGTAACTATGCAGCCAACACGTAAACTAGTATTTCCGCAGGTGTACCAACATTATAATTTGGTTAAAAATGAGTATTTGAATGCCTTGCAATTCATGGTGCATGAGTACTGTGCATGGCTAGCTGTGTGCGCAAGGACTTCGTTTCGGTGGCATATTCTATTCTATTCTACAATAAATATGTAAGGACGGAACGTTTGATCCCGCGGAACCAATTCGTGTGACTCTCCTGCACCTGAGCTCCACCTGTGCTATCATTTATCATGATACTACTAGACAGGGGATTAATATTAGAAGGTCGAATGCCCACTACCTTCTCTTCTCTTCTTCTCATTGGCATCTCTGAGCCTGTTTCGGCCCCGACAACGCCCCCATCATGATGTACGGGGTGTCAATGCCCTATCTCGTCCTCTGCACGGCTATCTCGAGCGCCAACACGACATCTTGTCATTTCAGGATAAGTTCTTTTTTGCTCTTTTTCGCGCGTCTCCAGAAACGTGCAACTTCGTCAGCTGAGAAATACCTTAGATTGCAACACTGTAGGTCCTTTTACTGCAGCCAAGTTTTCAAACGCTTATGCACGCCCAGTTCAATTGAAAGAATCGTACACCCTCGTTGCGTTCAATCGCTGTTACTTGCTTGTAACGTACACAAAACGTAAGTATGTGGATTCAACGTTCTTCAATTATTTGAGGCAGGGCGCAACTCAAGGCATCCTGATTTCATACTTACGAGCTCGAATCCTTTTACAGACATCTTCCAAATGTCTTCTGTTCATCTGTTCAGCCCCTTATCACTTTGGGCCCAGTTACCCCCACTCCTGCTGTGTCATACACTACATCCTTGAAGATACCAGGGAATGGCACCCAAAACCTCATTCCGGCGAAGATTACACCTCGCCCTGCCTCGCGAAAACAGTTTCACGGACTCTGTTGGATGTTGCTTGACGCCTGACCTTGAGGACGAATTCGTGCCATCGCCGAGTCCACCACCACGTTCCGCATCCCCTGCCCATATCGAATCGTCTCTACCCTCCAATGGACCCTCCCAAGAGCCTGTACCTCAGTCTTGGCGACGTGCATCTTCGTCAAAAATTCCGGCCTCACTGCGGGCAAAACGTGCTCCTGCCCTCTATTTTCAAACACCCAAAGATCACTTCCGCGCATGTGTCCGCAAAGTGATTTCCATACACCGGAAAACAACAATCCTTTTGGGCTTCGGTCTCGCTGGTGCAGAACCTGGTATTGACCCGCGCAGGCAGTCCGCAGATCTGCATTACGCGCACATTCGTGAGCGCTGCGAGATCCAAATCGCCGACTATAGTACCTTGAGGAGTAGCTTTGGAAAATATGGATAATGAGCGTTTTGTACAAATGTTAAATGATAAGAGAAGTTCGGAGAGGGAGCCATGGGTGAAGGTGAGGTGGATAAACGTGTGCGGCATCAGCTGGGATGTGATGAGTGCGCTTGCCCTGAAGTATGGTATGTAAATGGCCACGATTCTTCATGCGAGGTGTTGATAATAATCGTGCGTAGGCCTTCACCCGCTCGCCCTCGAAGTTGTCCTGCACAAACACGGACATACGCGCTCCAAAACGGACTACTACAGTCAACACCTCTTTATCCATGTCTTATCTCACACACTCGCTTCCTCCTCATCTCCAAACCCCTACACACCAGAAGGCAGAAGACCCACCACTGAGCTCCTCACCATGTCCAATGACGCCAGGGGACTACCACAAGGAGTATTTCAAGGATGACGGTGTCCATGCAGATGCTGGGGATGAAGGTAGCACGATGTATAGTGGCAGTGCTCCTGCAACCTGGCGACTTGGAAGCACTATCAGGAGCAGAACGTCAGCGACAGCTGACATGGAAAGTGTGGCAAGGGCCAGGGAGGATGGATTAATCCCGCTAACATCCGCTACGCGGAAAGACAGATCCAAAACACGGGACGATCATCAACTGAGAAATACAAATTATATAATTCCACATTACAACTTTGTTGTACAACAAGACGTCACGGTAGGTCATATGTACCTACAGTACTAACAGTATGCACAACCCACACCATGACCCAACTTGAAGAGCTTCCAATTATCAACGATGTGATAAACCTCTATAGGCTTCATAACCAAAGTCTCCGCCCTGTTATCGGGTGGGTTGGCCGACTTCTTCAACACGAAGGCTACTTGCCAGTGGCTTCTGGTCCACAAATCGTAGTTCCCCGGCCCGATATCTTGGAATTCAGCATCCCCTGTATCACCGTTGTCAGCGGTGATGCGGACAGAGATGCCAGTTGGCAACACCAGCACAACTGGTGCCAGATTGTTGAACGATAAGTATGAGTTTCCAAAAGTTCACCACCGTAGCGCACCACTTGAGGACTTCCTCAGCACAGACTCGTCCGGATCTGAAAAAATATTGTGGTCGACGCAGCAGACAGCGCTTTGCAAATACTGAGTCGGTGTTCGCACGGTGCTCGACGCCGACTCCACTTCACACCCGGTTCAGCATCGACAAACATCACCTATGGAAGCCTGACACTATGAAAAAAATTATACAACAACATACAAATCCCTCACCACATGGATCAATGCCTAAGGTGCTTTCGATGTGCTAGTCGCAATTCTTGGACCCCTGCGATAAATGATTTTGTGCCACTATGATGCTGGCTCAGTCTTTCGAGTCATAACTAGCTCCTCGGGCCTCAGGGTGTACGGACCCTGCTCTAAATCTCAATGACCTCGAGCTCGGCTATACCATCCTGGACAAAGATTAGCATATAGGGCTTCGTTGGAAACGTAAGAACTCACACTATCTGATTCCTCTGTATTCAACTTGGGCAAATAAATCCTGTCCTTATCAACCCATATGTCCATCACCTGGTCAACACCAAATATTCTATCCGACACGACCTCCACGTAAGGCAGGGAGGTCGTCAACGTCTCCTCCAATTCAGGAATTTCTATCGTAGATGGCTCTCTCACCACTTTTCCTAATCCCTGCCGGCGCTCAACAGCTAATGGGCTGAAGTCCATCATATACAACAGATAATTCGGGTAATCTTCCACTAGCGTCGTGTCCATTGTAGGAAATGCCTGCAACACTCGATTCCCGCTAACACCGACTCTGCACCGCCAGTTGTGCACGAAAATACGAGCATTTAGAGGACCCCAATGTTCCCATGGAATTCCTGCCATTCTATCAGAGACCCCAGCTTGGGGGTTAAAGAAAATCCTAGTAGAAATGATGAAGGCCAATGAGTTTGTGGCATCCCGAGTGCGTGTGATAAGGGATAATATTCGATTTTTAGGGTCTGAGGTCCACATCGTTCGCTGGGTTTGCATCTGCAGTTGTGAACTATGTGCAATGTCGTCCATCGGAAGGAGGCACTGTATGCCCGTCACTGATACAGGCATCAGGAAGCAGGCCAATAGTTGAGGTGCCTGTGACAGATCCTCGATCGAATAGAGCTTCAAGTCCTTGCTGACAATCAACAGTCTATCGTTTCCAAGGAAACAAAAATCAAGTGACTCCCCAACCTCTGGGTTTATTATTGTGTCACTGAGCACGCACTAATAAAACGAGTGTCAATTGTAAATCATTGACTGCTTCTGACCAACGCTCACACTGGACGTTGTTGAGTGTTGCCAGTCCCAAATTTGCATAAACCATATCTCCTCGCCGAATTTATAGCCGCCTTCATGAACCAGCAGGGAGCGCCGGAAAGCGATATGCCTCCCTAAACCCTCGAGTTTCCAATTTTCTATTGTATAGAGGCCGTCCTCGCATCTAGGAAGCCCTGAAAGAAACAATGTCTTTCCGGCAGCTTCGGGATGGACGCCACCATCTCCATCCAGGGTTCCAAGATCGATATACAACCTCTCGCCGTCATCCATTTCGAGAGTTTCATCGGCAATCATACACGCAATGGCAATCAAGTTTTGCGCCGGGTCCATAAACACCTCGATGCTATCCGCATGTGGAATCGAGCATAGTGATCCTGAAGGCCAATCACGCTCGATCCTTTGTTGTGAGGGTTTTGGCAGTATTGGAAAGATCTTGGCCGATTGTTCGTCTTCGTTGAATAAACAGAGATGCCCGTCGGCGAGAGATGTTTTCGCGTCGTGGTATTGTTCTGGTATAGAAACTTTTTCGAAAGAGTGGATATCAAATTTGAACCATGCGTGGGCTTTGTCCCGCAGGAGTTGTAGACGCTTGGAAATAGAAGTGTGGTTGTCAAGATCTGTGTCGGAGACGGGGAGCAATTGCTGACCACCGAGTTCAGTGATATACTGAAGCTCAGATGAGGACATGTACGTCTGGCGAAGCGCCCTGCATACCTGCAAGATGGATTAAAGGATCGATGATCAATCCGATCAAGCAACACTCACAGTTGTACAACGTAGAATATCTCGGTAGGGAAGGAAGCTCAGAATATAAGATTGGAGTTCTTCAGCGAGAGCTAAGAAACCTGTAGATATGAATTTCATCTCCTTTTCAGCTTGGTTCACTACTGTGATATGAGATGGTATAAGCCTACGTTCACTGGTTGTTTACTTCGAATAACAACATCCGCCGTATATAGACAGCCCCTGACTACAGCGGCACTTATAAGCTGCAAGTCGTGGAACAGGCATACGCAAACAGCTTTCAGTACTGGTTCCCAACGTCTCATTCACCGACACGAGGTGATGTATTGTGATTCAGCCGTTCTACTCTCTACAATAATACAACTCATCATAACGTTCAGATTTTCCGATACTTCTCGTACAAAACAGACAGAAACAAAACGCTCTTCCAAGCTCACTCAGGCCTCAGGCCCCATGCAACCCTCGACTGCACGAAATCAAATCTGCCCGATGTCCTTCACATCAGATCGCGGACAGAGGCTCGACTGAACGGCATTCCCAAGCGTATGTATCGCACGTCAGGCTTGCGAATTTCAAAAGATTCTTGGTGAAGCCGATATATAATTTATAACGCTCGAGCGTGACGCGCTTCAGCAAATTCCTGCAATATGGCATCACCCACATCGGGGTTTTCTGCACAGCCTCAGAGAAAGCTTGCACCCCTGATGGCCAGGTTCATGCCCTGGTCGTCTGCGGGTGAATGAATATGGGTTGCGTCACCCACTAGGAAAAGTGCAGCGCCAAGACGCGTGAATGTGCGGCCAGCAATGGCTGAATGAGTTCTGAAACGTGTCGACCAGATCAGCTGGTCAGGTGTTGGATTAAGGGATAGATCTGATGTCGGGCACTTTCAACACGTGATGCTCATACAGAATGTGGAAAATCCTTGATATTGACAAATTGACAAATATGAGAGCGACAAGCTGTCCATGTCAGAGCAGAAAATAATCAAACGGCACATATGCCTGTGGTGCTTTACGAAAGCTATAAAAAAACTCATAACATGGTACTGATGCCTACGAGAGCGAAAACTTGCTTGATATGTTATAATGAGCAGACACAGAATGCGAAAAAAAGGAAATGAAAACAAACTACGGAGGCCTAACACCACCGACAGCTTATGCAAGTGTAAACGCGCTTCACCCATCACACGCATCACCGCAACGATGCCTTAGATGTCTTCGTGCTGACTAACCCTCCCCCCATCCCCGCGTCGTCATCAGTTGCGGCTTGGTTGGCGCTCGCATTACGGATGGACGTAAGTACCTCCTTGCAGTACTTGAGTTTATCTACGAGTCGCTGGTTAAACTTGGCCTGCTCGGGATCTGCAGCAGGAGGTTGCAAAGATAGTGCCATAATTTCGCTGAGCGTGAATCGTGCGATCTTGTAGTTCTTGTCAATATGCGTCACCAGTAAACCATGAGACGAGAGGATGACTTTTGAGTGATCGTAAAAGTTGAACTACACACAGCGTCAATTATCAAACACATTAAGAAGGGGTGAAATGAATGACCTGAAGGACGTCATGACTCATCTTGAACACAATAACGTGTTTCATGCGCAAATACTTCTGTACGAAATCCATTCCCTTGGTACGGTCATGGTCCTCGAAGGTGTACTCGTAGTCGCCATACAGGCGGTCCATGATGTAGCGCTCGAAATGCTTGAGAAGGTATACTTTGTTTTTGAGGTCCTCCGGAAATTCGGTCACAGAAAAGTTCTTCCTAACGTAAACAGTTCCGTGGCGTCGAGAGGAGATGTAGTCAAAGTGACTGGGAGATGTGTTTGGTCATGTAAAGATCAGAAATAGACAAGAACTCACTGCTTATCCGCTGAGAGTATGAGGGTCGTACTATCATTAAAGTGTACACCAACAGACCCATCCGTCAGGGCATAACCCATTCCATATTTATTGCAGTAATCCACCCAAGACACGATGAAAACGCGCTCATCAGGGATGGTAGTATCATCACGAGGATCCCGGAACAGCTTGCCGGCAGCCTTCGCGTCAAATGCCTGGGTCAAAGTCTGTGCAGCAGCATCAAATCCATTAAGCTTTGCTTGTGGAGGTTCCATGTGCGCGTCCTGCACTAGAGTTTCCTTGCGCTCTCCGCGCATCGGCTCCTTGCCCTTCAGATCCTTGTGGGTAGGAGGTAGATTCTCCTGGTCCTCCTCGAGGCGGGGTGCGCCCAGACCAGCCACTGGAGCCATCTGGGCTACAATTCTCGCCTTCTGCGATTCGAGCTCCTTCTGTCTCTGCTGATCGTGATTTTTCTCCCTAGTTCCTCGAGGTGCATCGTTCTCTTCTTCTATATCTTGCAACCCACGTGCAGTGCGCACGTTCCGTAGAGGTGATTTCGTGTCCTTCGCTGCTTGCAGTTTTCTGAACAGAGGGGACTCCTTGATCCCATTTGTCGACATGACCAACGGTTGCCTAGCAGAACTAAGCAGGGCAGAGATAGGACTGCCAGGCTGAACAGCCTTCTGGAACTCCTTCTCTTGCTGAGCGATGGTGGACGTAATCGGATTTTTCGCCTTGTCTTCTGGAGCCGACGGAACCGCTATAGTCGAAATGTGATCGTCATCCAACCACACAGCTTTCTTGAGCTTCATGAGGTTGACTACGGACATTGGGCGCGTAAGGTATCGGAAGTCGGGGGGTGCGTCATGTGCAGAGACGGGAATAAATGGTGGGACAATACCGAGGTCGATGAAAGGTGACTTGAGGATTTCAAGGAGAGTAGGACGTTTTGAGGGGTCAGGTGTTAAAATAGACGTGATGCAGTCCTTAGTATCTGGTGTAATGCGGCGTTCAGGCGGGAACTCGTAGACGTTATCGCGGATCCGTCTGCACGAATGGTTAAGTAGACATCAGGATGCAGGAACGGTATGCCTTACGTATAGATCTCCTTGACGTCCTTGGTCTGGAAGGGAGGACGACCGATAACAAGTGTGTACAAGATGACACCGATAGACCAAGTGTCAACCTCGAAGCTGTGCCCATTCGCAGTGTCAAACAACACCTCGGGGGCAATATAATTTGGCGTGCCGCAGATGGTTTTCTTTCGTTCACCGGGGTTTTCGATCAAGGCAGCAAGACCGAAGTCACCGACCTTGATGTTCATGTTCGAGTCAAGGAACAAATTCCCGAGCTTAAGGTCACGGTGGATGACCTGGTGGGTATGCATGTAGTGGCATGCACCGATGAGCTGTACAAGAAAGAATCGGGCCTCGCACTCGCTAAAGCGACGACGACGACGGAGCATGTCCATCAATGATCCGCTAGTGCAAAGCTCAAGTGTCATGTAGACGTTATCGTCATCTTCGAAACATTCCTGGAAGCGCACAATGTTAGGATGAGCAAGCGAACGGTGTATCTTGATTTCTGCATAGAGCTTAGCAAACAAAAGTGTTAAGATGCAAGTGAATAATCAGATGTGGTGTAGACTTGCCTTGGTTTTGGCCTTCTTCGTCTTCAGAGACGATTTGGTAACGACCTTGCAAGCAAGGTGTTGTGCGGCACTATGACGACCGTCTGCCACCTCATAGACACGTGCAAATCCTCCCTGTTTGAGACATGAATGATTAGTGTGTACAAGGCGGTAATCGAGGCAAATCCTACTTCTCCAAGAAATCCTACACGGTAGTACTGAACTTGTCGATTCTGGTCGACGATTACTCTGGGGGGTGAGGGAGGGGTAGTCTTGCTATTCTGCCTGGGCAGAGGTGGGTCGGCTGGAGTTGCCTTGGGTTTCTCTTGTGGCTTTACAGGAGATGTCAGGCGAGGCTGATTGAGAACACTTGCATTTGTGAAGGGATGACGACGATGAACAGGCTGCTGCTGATCGGAGGGGGCGGGCATACGGGCATGAGTGTACGTAGACATTTCAATGGCCTAACACCTTGAAAGTCTGACGGTTGTCTTGAAAAGAGAAGAGAAGAAGTGCTCAGAAAATGAACAGAGCCACAACAAAACCAACTTTGGCTGCTTTTTGGCTGACAATAATTCAAGGCGTGGCTACCGCGTGTTTCGCGTGTATATTATGTAATCCATCACGTGTAAAGCCAACATGCTCGTGACCGGTCAAAAAACCCTAACCTTAGTCTGGGGTTCCATGATCCACTACCAGCATGATGGTTTAAGCGACGGTCAAAACTTGGTCAAAACACATCCAGTCTAAGCCACTTTATTGTTTAGAAAAGCGGGAGCGGTCAGGGCATGCTGCATATAAAAGAGCCTGTGGCGGCGTCCATGCTCTTCCTCATCCCCCACTGGCAAAACGTGATAACGGCCACAACATCCGAGACAATACTAATTATCCACAGTACGTGAACTGTGTGGTGTTTTATCATCTACCCATTGATGATCTTGACACTAAAAATGCCCATAGGACCCATATATCTAGGGAATCATGTTGTACTCCTTTAATCCTAAAAACCTACCATTCGTGGGCAAGGGAAGACAGAAAGCCATGAGTTTGACCAAGGCTAGGTACGCTACTACTTATAGTTATGACCTTCACTTTACAGAAGATCTTCCTATAGGAAAGAAGAACGAGATCTGATGGAGGAAATTGATCCCGCGGCTCTAGGAATCGATGAGTTGAATAGCGATAAGCAGTCCATGGACTCGGATGATACATGTATGAACACTCAACCGGCTATATCTGACTCTGACTCTGCCGATTGCATCTTCATTGACACAGCTTTAGATGGCAAATCGTTACAAAGTCACTCCTTCACTGGTTCTATCACTGATTTCGAAAGGCTACGCCAACATCAAGCGAACACTCAAAGCTGTTCCTCGAAAACCGCAAGGAATGCACTCCCGGAAGATGCAGTACCACTTCTCTCAGGCTTATGGCTCCACTAATACTTCTACAAAGCTCTCATCTGCTTCGACGACGCCAAATGATTCTACGGGTCCCGTGTGTTATGTAGGGCCTTCTCAGGCTATTGATCATGATCTATCGACGAAGGTCAAGACTCATCTCCACATCACCGAGGATGATATTCTAGCTGCAGTGTCAGAACCGCCTGGTCACCACACCAAATGCAGGGTACATGCACCAGATGTCGATGACAATCCCGTCCCATGTAAGACTTGCCGGTGTCCGCGGTGTTGTACTGGTAACCATTCCGTGGGCGACAATGGACTGAACCTGAATACGACTGCTCTGGAAACATGGAAGACCCAGAATGGTCAAATTGTGGATTCTACGGGAGAGGAAGAATTTTATTCTCACAAAATCTGTCGCTTTCCTTGCAACTCTACATCCGCTCCTTCTAGCAACAGCAAGACACCCTCTGTTTTCAATGGAGAACCCAAACGCACAGATGCGCGATTGAAGAATGATGTTGAGGAAGGCACTGGTATTCATAAGGCCTACCGTCCCACTCAGACCCTAGTGGGCGTTAGCTCTAGTGATGCTAAAGTATCGCCAATCGCAGCCTCATTTCCACTCCTTGCTGTAGTCGATTCTGCTAAGCTGCCTGTCGTGCCGATCGAGCATCTGGGACCATTGACAGAAAGAGTCGCATCCAACAGCCCCTTTGCCGCATGCCAGGTTGATGAGAGACACGTGGCATTGTTGTCTAGTCTTATTCTACCCTCAACCGCGCTGCATGATTGTTACTCAGCAACAAATGGACCCAACTTACTTGCAAACAACGGCATCTCGCCCCTCACATCAACACTTCCATTTCCTTTTATGAATTGCCCATCGTACGAGGCAGCCTTCAATCCCTATTCTCTGGCTTTTCCCAACCTACCTGAACAAGTGCCTTTTGCCGAGCAGCCAGTTTCCACGTTTTCAGGACCCTCGCTCAGTGCCACTACGTACGACAGGTCTACTGCGGGGCCATTTTGCTCTGGACCTTTCACTTCCAACTCGCTTGACATATCTTCTGATCACGCATCTTTTGTCAACAACGGCGATGTCCGCGCTAATGAAGGTCCCCTTCCGCAACCACAATGGATTGACTATTCCGATCGCATTGACGTAGAAATGACGGATGCTGTCATCAAATCCACGAGGTCAGTGCCGGAGCGATGCTTCGCGAAAAATTCTGCGAAACTAAATATGCCTAGACCCTCCCTTGACTTCCGTCCTCTTGATGTCACTGCGATGCACTATGCTTGTACCTATGAACCTCCAGTTGCAATTACCGTATCTGGCGGAGCCTCAACATATGTGTCTGCAGTTGGCCCTAGCTCCGAAGAATTTTCTACGAACGTCGAAGCTAGCTATTCTCAGCCTGTATTGGATTCTACTTCAGCTATTCAGTCTGAGCTGGGCCATAGTTCGCATTGGTCATCTAGCATTCTTGAAGCACACTCGGCTGTATTTTCAGCGCCCACACGAGAACAACCTACCGACTTCCCTGGTTCTAGATACCCCTGTTCTGGACTTTCTGAGATATCATCAGCGGAGCAAAATGTTTACGGGATTACCGCTCGGGGACGAGATATACCAAGGACCGCCTGGAAAGCCAATCCACTTCACAGCATCCTCGAGAACGAGGAGTACGCTCGTAAGCGAATTATTTATTCGCAAGACTGTGGACTTACGGAAATTATATTTTGAAGAACATGCAAGTTCTGCAGACCTCAATGTTGACGTTCACGAACACGCTGCACCCCAGTCCATTCCTGCTTTAAACCCAGTGATCCACGCAAAGACCGTTGTGCAGCCACCTGGACACTTTAACGATACCATTACCTCGGTCCGTCGCCAACCCCAGTACATCGCCCCGCCGGCACTGAGCATCACCGGGAGAGGCTCTGATGGAAAAGAAACCCAGACAGACATTGATGCGACGTCCGAACCAGACGACGATACCAAGACTGAGCCAGACGACGACGCTAAGACTGAGCCAGATGATGGGATCAATGAGAAGGATGTGAACGCCGAAGTACTTGCTCACGCTATACTCGACATTCCGCTTCCACCAGCGATAGTCGCAAGCGTTCAACTCCTCGGTCAACGGAAACGGAGGAGCTCGTGTTGCCGTAAAGGCATCACCCGCATGCGTGCAAAAAGAAGGCAGATGACCATTGAAGAGAACGAGGAAGGCGGCAATGGCGGGATTCGTGCACACCGGACGCGGTTGAATCATTTATCGAGACCGTCACCTTATGCCTCGGTGCCGTGGCGGCGTAAAGGACATTCAAAGAGACTTGAGAGATGGTATTCTTCGAGTGGCACCGTCTGATGAGATCTCTCAGACGTCGGCAGTTGTGTCAGGCGACAATTCCCTGTCGTGTTCTCCGTTCATTCTCTCTATCCGTGATTCATCCAAATTACATGGACTAGAGTCCATTCCAGCTCAAGGAGTCCAGCGTCACACCCCTGTCCCCCTTCACGACGTCGGTTGCGAGACAAAGATTCTCATCCTAACATCTCTAGCGAATTTCGTAACAAGGAGAAACCCTTGAAACAGACCCGAATCAAAGGTAGTGTCAGGCAAACGAAAGACTTTGCGCAACCCCCACCACCACCGGCAAATCCAATACCAGACAAAAAGAGACCCCCAGCCCTGCGTCGGGCTACTAGGTACGGAAGTGCGGATCGTCGGCATCGGGCTCGTCATTCCACCAACGGCGGTGTGCAAGTACGTACAAACAAACTAGATGTTATGCGGCGTGCTCGCTTGATTACAATTAGTCCAACTTCGAGACATGCTCACACGCTGAGACCACCGCGCGTTGTATCTTAGATACCCAGGCCTCAAGGATCTGGTTTCAGCATCTGCAGCAGCGTTTTACAATTGCGCAAGGACGTTCGTAACCATCGCTGGAGTTGAACGTTGAACGTTAACGTTGATCTAGTATTTACTATCTATATATATTCATGCATGTAGCTACCATATTACACCTCAGATTAACGATATGGGCCTCAAAAATGTCCGCAAGAAGTGGTTCGCACGACAGTCTTGCTTCGAGATAGGATGGGAGTGCGTAATTCAAGTTATGAACCTCGCGTACCATATATGACATGGAAGTATATATACATAATCTGCCTTTTTCTGCAGTGAAGAGGACTTTAAGAGCATGGCGTTTTATATAGCAGTAGTCAGATAATATTCCCACGGTAATCACATTGTCCGGTGAAAAAGCACGGCAATGAATTGCTGAGGATTAAGGCTACATATTGGTAACAAGCAGTACATAGCCTGACTGCATCATGGAACATAATCGGGTGTTGACTACAGTACATGAGTAACGTTAAACGAAGTACAGCGTGGGACAAGAGTATGAATTCAAAGGAAGGTTAGAAGAGATTTGGCCAGCAAAACTCTGAGAGAAAAAGTTCGACATGATCGGTCTTCGAAAAATGGAAGGATTCAGTTCTGAACGTCCAAATGTTCCCTGCACAACGGACAGGTCTGGTTCCTGGCCAGCCATGGAATAAGACATCTCTTGTGGAACCTTGAAGAACAATATAAGCTGGCAGCCACCATAAGAACAAGAACAACATACGCATGGCGACACTTTGCTCCCAACACGCCATGGTCTCCACTTTTAAACCGGGACAAGCAGATAGTGCACTTCTGTACGTTCACACCCAACAGCGACAATTTAAGCTTCACACGTCCATCATTTGTCAGCCTTCGCCTCTCTAGTTCTACCAGTCCAACAAGGCAGTTATCTAAACTGTCAGGATTGCGATGCAACGTGGCAGGACCGATAAAATCGGCGATGAGGAGGAGGGCCTGCGCATGTGGGTGACTTCAAGTACGGGCCCGAGAACTGTGCATCCCGAATACTCACGTCATAATTTGAGCCGTCATCGCGAGGGTGATCATCTCCTAGGCTGCCAACGAGGCCAGTAATGTATTCGGATGCAGGTGTTGTGACTGTGCACGAAGATGGCAACGTGGTTGATGTTGGCGTGAGTGGCCCACGAGGGCTGGAACTGCCCACAGTGACGCTGTCACTGTCAATGTCGTCCTCTAGGTAGTCGATGGGGAGAGGCGGTGGAGTGCGCGCAGGTGGAGTACGATCAGGTATCATGGGTCTACTGTCCGGGAGAGGGGGAGTGCGATTTGGCAATGGGGGTGTATGAGCGGGGAGGGGAGGGGTATAACTGGAGCTGGAAGGGCTAATTGGATCCAAGCTGTCATCGTCTAAATCGATCAACAGGCCCTCGGGTACATGCAGATTTTTTGGAATAGCCCTGGGGTGGTGCAAGACCGGAACAGTGGGAGTCTTTTCATCCGGCGTCTGGCCTACAAGCCATGTAAGAGAGGGCGATGTGGATGGGGTCTGTGGTAGAGGACGGCCTGGATAGTGACGCCGAGGTGATGCAGGGGCGGGGCTATACGGAGGGGTATGTGACTCCGGGGGTGGGGTAGGTGGTCCCGAGGGGAAGATCGCACTATACGCAGGTGCACTTCGCATTTCCAACTCACGTGACAAGGACCGTCCACGATGAATGAGGATCTCCTCGCGGCGGGCAGGAGTCCGACGACGCGTGACCCGCTCTGTTGCAGACCTGGTAGGCAACGAGTTATTGGGCGCTGGAATGGGTGTAGCAGGCGCCGCATTGTAGTCAATGTAGGTCACTTCTGAAGCCGATGTCGGAGAAGCTCTGGCATGTGTGCGGGTAGTCTTTGGAAGCTCTGGCTGAACAACAGCACGAGGCGTCGAATGTGAGCGAACATGCTCATGCTGAACTTGATGAGTTCCCAAGTTCATCTGCGAGAAGGAAGTAAGTGCCCTTCCCACTGAAGGTTGGGATAAGGATAGGGACGACAGGGTTGGTGAGTCCCTCAACGTTATCCCACGGGTAGGGTGACGAGATCTCTCCAATTCATCGCAAACGCCAAGGTCCTGTTGAGAGAAGGATGGAAGCGTCCTTCCGACTGTGGCCAACGACAAGCTCGAGGAGCTAAAGAGGGAAGCGGAAGACGAAGAAATTGGGGATACTGGGGCGCTCGATGCGCATGTGTGATCGCTACGCAAGCTGGAATTCGTGCGCCTCCGAACATGCCGATTTACAAATGGAGGAGAAGCCGGACGTTGAGGACGATCTTCAGCAGGAAGTATAGTCCGAATGCTAGAACAGTATGGGTGTCGATTTGTATTTGAGTTACGGGTATCTTCTGTAAAAACATCGGGATAAGACCACGTCTCTGCAAAGCCTCCTGAGCGTAGTGCAGGAGCCGGGCTTGGGGGGCTATGGTGAGCGGGGGACTCTTCCAAAGAGGAGTGAGAGGAGTCAGTGCGATCCAAGACTTCCCAGTCCTCCAAGGATTCAGCTGCGCGCTCTTTCTGCTTCCGATGAAAGAGCTTTCGAGAAAAGTGGTGATCTCCGTGACCGTGAAGTGCGGAAGGCGAAGATAGATTGAGGAGTGAAGGTGTGCTCTTGAAGAATGGATTGGGGTTACGCAACAGTGAGATAACAGAGGATGAGGGTTGTGGTGACTGAGACCTATGGAATATCCTCGATGGAGAAAGGGGAAGGCTTGGCAGAGCTAGCTTGTGTTTAGGCGTAACTGGAGAAGATGCATCGGATGCTGCCTGCACGCTGCGGTCGTCAGGATATGGATCTTGATCCTCGGGAATCCTAAGTGACAATCGAGAGTTCGCGAAACGAGACTGAGAAGTAGGGCTTCGTTTTGGAGCCTGACTAAACAATCGGGTCCGCTGCGGCACGGCTGGAACATGTGATTCCACCGACCGTTGATGGTGCCTCGTCACCCTTTCCTCGAGAGGAACTCCACGTTGTCGATCCATTTCCCATCTCTGAGGTGGATCTACGTCCACCAGCTCTATGCTTGACTCGTCGTCATCGAGTAGTGCCTTCTGATGTACTGGCACCGGGAAGGCGCAAGACCCTGATGAAAGATTGGGCGTATATGCAAGCGTGGGACTCGGCACATGCAAGGGCATCATCAAAGGCGATAACGCAGGTGTGGGTATTGACATCGATAAAGGAGTCGCTGTGACTGCGGATATCGGTGAATCTGTGTGCATAATGATGTTATCATGCGTAGCTGTGGGCTGTGTAGAGCCCGAAGAGGACGTGCGATTTGAGACAGGTAAATGTTCTGGGTGTATATGAACCCCAGCCACGAATGTAGATGAAGCAAGCGCAGATGAGGCAAGACTGGACAAGGTAGGACTGGTCGCTACCTCGTAAGTTGGAGGCGGTGGATAGTCCGAAGTATCTGGCCGATCAGTTGAGACATTCAATTCTACCACCTCCAGACATTTGATTTAATCTCACCACCATCTTCTCGCACTCTTGCTTGTCTGCGACGGGCGCTGGCGCCACTGCGGGTATCTCTAAAAGAGTAGCCAAGGTTGAACCGTATTTCTTCGCGTTGGCGTTCGTCTCTGTCTGCTTTCTTGGGCTCTTTCGCTTTACCACGGATCTTACCAGTCGTAGCTTGTCGACTGGGCTGAGCGGTATTCAGAGCCTGATACGGGTCGACCTGGGCGGGCTTTGTGGCCCGTTTGCTTGAGGTCATTGTGAAGCACTGAGGGAGGATAGAACAGCCTGAGATGGCAGACAAGGGCGAAGATGGGCAACACGCCTTCACCTGCAGGCGACCTGACTCGCTCTGGTATAATAGGTGTTTATATTTCTTTGGCGGTTTACCAAAGAGGCATAGCGCCCTATCCTTGCGGCACGGGTGCCATGATTCTTACGCGGAACAGGGACGAACACGAGCCATTCATATCGCCTGCTGAGAATACGACAGAAGCCCTTGAAACGTTGCAGAGAAACGTTTCAGTATAGAAACTACACAAGCCATAATTAGTGGCTGATATAAGCATCACACCTGGCATTTGCCGACGGACCCACATTGATGCGAAATCCCTTGCAAGTCTCTCAAACCACCATGGCGAGTTTCACTCATTCTCTGGGTTGCGAATAAACTAACTTCATGTGCGCAGATCATCCCAGTGAGATGCTTTTCGTGTGGAAAGGTCATCGGGGACAAATGGAATGCATACCTGGAGTTACTAGCTAACGATATGAGCGAAGGGTAGGTAACAATCTGGGAGCTTGCCGACTTATCACCTGACAATATTCCAGTGACGCTCTCGATGAATTGCAGCTGAAGCGATATTGCTGTCGGCGAATGGTGCTCACGCACGTTGATCTCATCGAAAAACTTCTGCATTACAATCGTAAGTAGGTTTCTGTATGCGATCAATGATGGCTCACGACAGCTTCAGCTATGGAGCGCTCGAAGGACAAGAATTTTTGATACTTTCTGTGCGGAGTGTATTATGCGTATACAGTACTCCAAATAGCAAATATTTTCGGCCGAGTCAAACTCACTCCGAACTCCCAATCGACGTCAAAATCTGTCGAAATCAAACTCGCGGAGGTATGGATAGGTATGCATCCTTATGCATCTCACCAGATCAATATTTGTTGTTATCAGAGCTATCAAAATGTGATATTATTACTTCTGAGTTTTCAATGTTTAAAACTTGATGTGCAAAATGACCAGTCCGATTCCATTCCTCGTCCTTAATCAGATTTGTCTCAATGGTGAGGCAGCGGTTTACTTCACCAGCAGGTACATCCTCGGCACCCGGGTCACCAGCTATGGATCCACCCCATCGTAAACGACCAGCGTCTCCGATATCGATTCCTGTTCTACAGTCTCCCAAAAAGAAGCGACGAGCCAAAACAGAAAAATCTGACCTTGATATTTGGGACGAGAACGACAATGACATCATTGGTATTTCCTTGCATAATCTTAATGTCAAATGTAGATCCATGAGCTCATTGTCATTTTAGAGGCATCGAAAGCACGCTGGACTTCAGCAGTCTATGATCACTACGAGACGTCGCTCAGGCTCCATAGCAAAAGCTGCCCTTCAAATCGTCGGCAAATACTATGCCCTGACGGATGACAATGAGGTCTACAGGATTACCGTCGGTGAGTGACCATGATACGAGCTCTGTGGTACCATATTGATGTCGTTATTATTATTCAAATAGTGATGTGTCCCGACAGAAAACCTAAGTGGTTCCACCGGAACCTTGACTGGCTCGACGATGACCGTGCAGAGGTTAAACGAGTTGTTTGTCAGCGGTGGACTGAGTCTTGTGCGTTATCGAGAAGCTTGCGGATGTATGGGCCCATTCGTCTTTGTTGGAACCGAACTGATTCCTTTGCATAGGTGCACCTATGCAAAGATGGCACTGGGCCTACTGTCTTCTGCATCAAAAGTACGTATTGTTTCACTTCGGGTCTTATATCATGCTCAGCCGCCATCTATGCAGATAATTCTCGCTCAAACAGATCGCGACCAAGGGATACTCCGGCTTCTCGAGAAGTTAGGCCAAGTCTACGATTTCATGATGCAAGACAAGACTCTTGGCGGAATTCCGTCGATGCAGGGGATCGTCGGACGAATAGTTCAGCAGACTTTTGAATGCTCCCAGTTTATCAAGGATTACTCTGCGACAAAAAGCTTCTGTGAGGAATCCATGAATTATTGTGCTTTGCTCATTCGCTCATTATTCATCTTGTGCTATTGTTGTAGGGAAGAGACTTGGGAAAAACGTTATCTCGGAGCAGAAAATACGACTCAGTAGTACATCGATATGTTAGACGCGGTCATGCAAAGCTTCCGGGACCAAGTCACTCGCGATGTAGAGATATTCGTCCACCGTACAGGTAAGGGTTGCACGTGCTTCCGACTTTACATCTATTCATACGTCTTCAGGCGATACACTGGACCTCAGTGGCATGGCGTATGCAGAAGGCGCGGAACTAGATACCGGGAAGCAATGCCTACCCGGGACGCGCACGGAAATCTTGTCGGAGATCACGGACTGGGTCAGCAGGACCGGAGACGATGTCCAGCGTGTGTTCTGGCTATCTGGCCCTGCAGGCAAGGGCAAGTCAGCCATCGCCCACACGATTGCCAACTGGTTCAACAATGTGGGCGGGCTCGGTTCGTGTTACTGCTTCGATCACCAGCGAGACGCTGAGCGTCATCATGAAAAGATTCTTCTACATCGCGCGCGGACCGTGATCCGGAGATGAGGCGAGCATTGGCAGAGGCAGATGAGAATTCGCTGAAGACTACTACAGCGGACATCGTTCAGCAGTGGAACAAGCTTCTGATGAAACCACTGGCATTCGCTCGTTTCATTTTTGTTCGTCTCTTGGGCTATGCTTGCTCGGGATAGATAGCATTATTTATGATAAGTTTAGGCGTAATTTATCATCGTATGCGCATGGCGTTCTGCAAGCCCGTCTTGAGTAGGAAAATTGAGGGTCTGTTCGAGCATCAGTCAAAGGGGTTTGCGACCGAATCATGGACAGGCCTGCCAGTGGCAAGCTGTACAGGGACACCGTTTCGGCGGGAATGCACATGCACAGGCCAAAATTTTAAGAACACGGCAACAAATACACCTATTGATTCCAGCTCGCAACTTCGTTGTACAACAAGACATCACGGCAGGTCATACTACAATACTTACTAGCGGCATACACAGCGCACGCCGCAACTCAACTCGAACTGCTTCTACTCATCGTTGACGTAGTAAACCCCCGTAGGCTTCACGATCAAAGTCAACGCCTTGGGATTAGATGGCTCGACCGAGTGCTTCAACACGAAGGCCACTTGCCAGTGGCTTCGATTCCACAAATCGTACTTCCCTGGCTCGATATCTGAGAATCCAGCAGACCCCGTGTCACCATTGTCATTGGTGATGCGGGCGGAGATCGTGTGCTTGGTGTTGTTGTAAATCCCAATCTGGGTCTCCGTGGCTGGAGGTGTGCCCAGAATGATTATTAGGAACCGGCTGCAGGCATCCGAACGCACCTGTGATAGACATTGTGCAGTAGTAAAGATATTTGAAACAATTGGTCGATGCAGCGATAAAGATCCCTGGGGAACGAATCAGAATCAGAAAGGAGGACGAATGAAACTAGGCATTGGACTCACTCAGAGTAATCGAAGGAGCGATGGGGACCTGCCTTCGAGTCGGATCCGACCATGGTCACGGTGAATGGAAGCCTGACGGGGATTACGTCTCAAGCGCTGCTGGTAGTGGCACTCACACAGGTTCGAGAGAGCTGAACAGTGTTACGAGCACATTTCAGGGTTGAAACATTGATTCGGAAATACAACTTGAAGGACTAGTATGATAGACATGAGTGGACTACTAGCCTGATGATGATTTACTCGTTGACGAAGCTGCAATTGACCCCGGATCTGCAATATCACTGATCAACGTTTGACAATCACATAACTGCCAGCTTCGGAAGGTACTCAACTTCAAGTTGAACCATTCCAATTTGGAGCTGCAGCCTTAGGCCCGCCAGCTGCCTGTCACCTAAGTTCTGACTTCCCCGTGGCACAGAGGTACTAATATGTCAGTATTTAAGACTGTCGTCCCTTAACAGTTACGCCAAAAGGCAGTGATAATCAAAGCACGCTTGCGGAGTATAAGTTATGCTGAAGTTATGGGAACTCAGTTAAGCAGCGAGCTTACATAATAGTACTTTCAACTTATGTAAGTCGGTTGATCAGTGATATTGCAGATCCGGGGTCAATTGCAGCTTCGTCAACGAGTAAATCATCATCAGGCTAGTATTGTAGTATGACCTGCCGTGATGTCTTGTTGTACAACGAAGTTGCGAGCTGGAATCAATAGGTGTATTTGTTGCCGTGTTCTTAAAATTTTGGCCTGTGCATGTGCATTCCCGCCGAAACGGTGTCCCTGTACAGCTTGCCACTGGCAGGCCTGTCCATGATTCGGTCGCAAACCCCTTTGACTGATGCTCGAACAGACCCTCAATTTTCCTACTCAAGACGGGCTTGCAGAACGCCATGCGCATACGATGATAAATTACGCCTAAACTTATCATAAATAATGCTATCTATCCCGAGCAAGCATGGCCCAAGAGACAAGAACAGAAATAAAACGAGCGAATGCGGGTATGTACGAGGACAAGACTAAGCGTGTACTATGAACGAGTGGATGCGTGTCCGAACGAGAGCGTATATGTATACGAAAGAAATCGCCGAAGATGAAAAACGAGCGTAAACGTTGAGATGCGCGAAGGAGCGTGCAATGACCTGGTCTCGTGCTCGTGCAGCAATAGCAAAAGTACGACGTGCCCTCCCTCATCCTCCAAGCGAAAATCATACGCGGCAGAGGCAGGATGGAGACAGCGCTAGATTAAGCATACGGCGATATTAAAGTTAAAGTGGCAGCGACGAGGAAAAGGAAATAATGCACGAACGAGGGAGGAAAGAATGAAGGAATAAGAAAAATGGAGAAGAGATTAACATGAAAAACCATTAAAAATAGAATACGTAGTGGATGGGAGATGCAACGGTCGTGGGATGAGGGAAAGCATGCGGAAAATAAAAAGGGCATGAGCAAGGGAACATGAGGGATTGTGGATGGGGTCGAAAAAATAGTAAAACGTGCTGCCACTGAGCAAGGAGGGAGAGAAAGACTGTACAATTTCCGATGCATCGCAAATGTCCGCGGATTCTCCAGATGAAGCAACTATAAAAGCAGGAAAACGTGTTTGAAGGATGATGCGTGATGCTGTCGTCCACCCCGTCCGAGTCCATGACTACAAGGGGGCAGTATGTTCATACTAATGCGGGACTCAGCCGTTGCCTACGTGCAAAAATCAGTCATCGCCCACCACACACCACACCACACGCACAAAAAACATCACTCAGCCTTAAACCGCGACCCACCCTCTCCTCCACGCATGATAGCTTTCATGAACCCAAAGAATCGGTCTGCGTATTCAGAAGGCGGGACTGGGCTGATTTTGTGCTGTTGAAAGGTGAGTTAGCGAACGAGGGGATGAAAGGGGGAGAAAAAAAACGCACCCGATCAGCACTCAACCCCTTCCAAAAATGCTCACACTTCTTCAACCCCCCATACGGCGTCAAAATATCAATAATTCCCAAATAATAAATGACGTCCATCTCTTCGTTGCTTTCATCTGTCGCTTGGAGGCCTCCTTCGTCTTGGTAGAAGAGAAAGTGATCGCGGTCTTGAGTGGGGTGGGGTTGCTGTGAGGGTGCGTTGGAAGGGGTTTGGTGTTGCGGGTAGGGAGGTTGAGGCTGAGATTGGTGGAGAGGATAAGATGGATGTGGTGGGGTTTGGAATGTCAGGTGGGCTTGTTGCGTGATCCCATTCCCATTCCCGTTCACACCCACATTTGCGTTGCTCGTACCCTTGGAACCAGAACGCGGACGCGTGCGCTGGGAGTAGGTGGGCGTAGACGGCGCAACGGTTTGCATCGAAGAAGGAGGCGAATCCGGGAGATCAAGCGTCGTCCCTAGCTGGTGCGGATCAGATGCGCGCATGATTCGGCGCATAGCAATCGCTTCAGGCGACCGCCCATCTTTCGTTTGCGTGGTTTTGCGTCGGATGGGTGGGACTGAGGGCTGCATGCGAGTCAGCAAGGGTAAGGATCATGAATATGCTAGACGAACCTCAAACACCCTCAGCGTACTCCCTCTCACATTCTCCCTATTCCCCCTATTCCCCCAATGAAGCCCAACGAGCAAACTATAATCCATAACCCCAAGATCCCTCAACATCTCACTATCCCTCCTCAATTGCTCCGTTAAGAGGGCCCTCTTCTCTGGGCCAAGCTCCAGCACCCTATTACTATCGATCCAGTTCAAATCCTTCTGTACCGCGCGAGGATTCTGCTCCAGTTTCGCAGGTGGTACGATACGCCCGACAGTGCTCCCTTTGAGATCGTAAGATTCGTGAATGTCTTTGTGAGGCGGGAACAAATTGTTCATAATCACGAAGTGAATCTTTTGTCCCCTGGGAAGCTTTACACGATGAAGGCCATAAAACCGGCTCAATAAAGTGTGAGGGTTCGCTTTGACGTGTTCCCAGTACTGCGGAAGAACGCGAAGGAGGAACTTGTGTTCTGCGTGCCGGATGGTCTTTATGATGAAGCGGTAATCGCGGGAGAAGTAGAAGAAAGAGCCGCTTTTGCCTGGGGAGGTGAGTTCGGAGAGGATGTATTTGGATGTAAGGGAGAGGAGGTAGTCTGCGGGGTCTAGAGAGAAGTGGTCTTCGCGGAGTTCGCGGAAGACCCATGGGGCATAGTCTTTGAATTTGAAGTCGTATCTCGCGGACGGAGTGAGTTCGTTCCCGACGCTGGGGAAATGTGAGTTCGGAATGTGGAACGGATGGGCAATACATACATATCGAAAGAGTATTTATGTCTTGCGGTAAAATCTTGTTCGGTGAGGGGTCGTTTTATCTTTGCCTGGCAACGTGAGACCTGGGTGGAATTAGAGCCTGCGCACATATAGAGATTGGGGACGCACAGCTATCCTGATGCCCGTGAGCATGTTGTACATAAGGACGTAGTTTGCGTGGTCCTCTCCTATTAAATTGCCTACCAAGGGACGCTCATCCTCTTTCTGAGCCACTTCGACGACAGCTGCTGCGGCGACTTCGGCAGCCTGCTTTCGCTTTCTTTCACGGCGAATCTGCTCTGCTTGGATTTGGATGTCATCCTCCAGTTCTCCGGTTGCGACATATGTGGATGGAGGTGGATGGGGACGGCGTGCGGAGCCTGTCGTGTTGCGGCGTACAGGACGAGTGGGTGGGTGGAGGAGACCATCTGGTTGTGTCTTGGATGTGCTAGTAGATTGGGCATAACTGCTCGTCTGTGAGACTCTAGGGATTCTGGCAGATAATTTTGTCTCTGTGGAAGCACGGTGAAGGCGGTCGTGTGTGCGGTGACTGTTTATGGTAGCTGAATCCAACTCTACATCGATGTCTGTCTCGATGCCTTTTGGGAGTGGGTCTGACTTTGAGAGTCTGACTGGGAATAAGGATGATAGATTGTCAGGCGACTCGTCTACGCTGGCTGGAGGAGAAGGTGGAGGTGGACCGATTGTATCCTCACGGGGGATGCTAGGCAATGGCTTTGGTGGGTGAAGGTGAACTGTGTCCCTTGTTACTTCTACTATGTGAATTTGAGTGTGAGTGTGGTCCATGTCTTGGCGAATAGTCGTCGTCGGCGAAGGCGCTGTTACAAATGATGTGGCTGAGGACGAGACCAAGCTCGATTGTCGGTCCAGTGCTGAATTGGGTTCGCTCGCGGTCAGAATTGAAATGCGGTTGGCCATTCACCCACGCTAAAACGATGAGTTCACCGTTGGACACGATGAGGGCAGACAGTCACAGACTAGACTGTCGTTGCAGGTCCAACAGCCTCAGGTGGTGGCTGTGCTTCTTTCTTCAAATCACACCATTGAACCTTCGGACTTCCGATTCATGGCTGTACCACAAGCATGGCATATCCCATTGAACTATTCAAAGGCGGCCTAAATCACTCAGCAAAACTACTACTCGACTTTCAATGTACGAACGGCGGCCATGAGCCCATCTGAACCTCGGATATGATAGTAAGATAAAAATTGGACCTGTACTGCCTATAACTGAAGTCTTTTTCGCAATTGGATAGTAGATGTGTGACGTGCACTGCGTACAGTGGTCAATCTAGATCAGGTACTTACGGTACTCCGTGTATCCAGCCTGCTCTAGCCCGGCGTAGATTGCAGTAAATACACTATCTCGACCTGGATTAATATTTGCATGGATCTCCAGGTTGAATCTTGTAGATCATCGATAAGTCTACTGCTGATCTGATATCAGGCATTTATCCTTTGCGAAAATAGGAACCTCGACACGCGGAGCGAGGGCCCGTGTGTACGACAACTGTCATAACATGGAAATACATGTGAAACATGACCTGAACCATCAATTTCTCCACTGAACTTCATTCACAGTCCCGATATCTCTTCTCCCACCGCTCATTCCGCCTACCACTCAGCCCATCCTCGATCATACTTCATCGCACGAAGGCCCCATATTATTACCTTCTATTTCGTGATCCTCACGCTATATCTACCTACGGTTATCGGCGGAAACAATCTCCAAGTGCCTTATGAGTGTGCATTCCAGCTGGCATTCATGTCTCCATCAATGTCATCTCGAGAAGACGCTGGAAATCAGCCATCAAAATCCGAAAAATCTGTAGCGTGGCCCGGGGGCGATGCTGCGACCTTGTAAAGTTCATGGAGACTTTCGCACACTACTCGAAAACTGGCCTTCTGTTTGTAGACCATTAGGTGCATTCTCACTGGACATCAGGGCATCCTTCGAGCTTGATCGAATGCTGGGCAATGGAAAACTTATCGGCGAACTCGAAACGACGTGGGATGAGCCTTTCGATGGGTGACCAACTTCTCATTTATTCACATCTGACAGACCTCTTCTTCCCTCCCGTTATTGGCGTCAGTCTTGCGCTCACACTGAAGGGTACATTCATGTGACAATCAGAACAACACACAGCTTGACATCGGTGGCATCAGCTATGCTGTTGGATTTTGCCTATGGAACGTCAATCGTAGTCCACAATAGACTGTGCAATTCCTCAAGAAACAGATGCAGGACACGCACAATTTGTCAAATGTGTAACAAGCAAAACAGTTTCTCGCTTCAGTGATGCTATATAGCATTCTCAGTCGGTTCTTGCCCAGTGTCCGATCAGGCATCCTGATCACGCAGCGACCCTCACCAACCCCGCTTTGTAGGCTACTGTCTGAACGATCTCATCGCCATACATCTCTTCACAATTCAAGTTCAAGTTCAGCACTCTGCTCTCGGTTTACGCAAACCCAGATGAATGAAGATGTCAAGGAGGTTATACTCTGCCAACACTCGTTGGATGCTTCGCCTTCTCTACCCCCTAGTAGATTCACCAGCCATGTGTGGTTGCAGGAAGCCTGCATGTCTCGTTACCCAGTGTAAAGCAAGTACGCTGGTCAATCACTCGCTGTGGAGCACTCCAGATTGGCATCGTGACAGCCCACACAGGGCTTTCCAAGTTGCATTGCAACAGTCCGTAGCTGGTAACGTTAGCAGATATACATCTGCGTTGGAGGCCTACAACACATGTTTCGACCTTCTTGACGGACATTTGGTAACACGATCATGACAATTTCATGGGCGAAGCTGCGACTGCCTTCAGTGGTACCAGATTATTGCTTGTAAATGAAGCATCATGTGCCTTCTGCAGCGGCAATCCACGACACGCAGCCCGAATCATGGAGTAGGGCCGTGGACAGAAATGCGACAAATTTCAACCTAGCTCACAAGTCCTCGGAGTTAAGAACTGTCTATCCGATGCTCAAGGATCCGCTGTCGGTATAGACCGAGCTGCTGTTGATCACTCAGAAGGAGAAGTAGGGATCGGCAGCAGCTGGAATCTGTAGTATTGAAGGTGTCTCGCGATCTCTGCCCCACCTTCGTATGAAGACTTGCAAGCGGCAGCACGTCATAGCCTAGTCATCATTCTCATTGCGAATCGATCCTCGTGCGGCGCTATCGTTGTCACGATCTCAGGAAAGCCCCGTGATGTCCCCTTTCCATCTATCACCCTCACAGATCTGGAGAATCTCAAGGATCGCTTCGCCGGAGCAATACGACACGTATCTATGATGGGCCCAAAGCAGCGCGAAATGATCTAATAGTCCTCTTGCGGACAACATGGGCGAGATCATGCTACCTGTCGTCAATGTCCTGCAGTATCTTCTAAAAGTCAATTCAATCCAGCTGTATCCAATTGCAGCTTTTACGTCTATTCCTCTCCATGCAGGAGCCATGTCTGGAGGATCTCTGTATCTGCTCACACACACACACACACACACTTTCGGCTCTGATCGGATCTAGACAGATGATGAAAAGGCGTGTTGACACAGTCCGTCTTTCGTGTCAATCGGATAAAGTTAACCGGGGCTCTTGGCTGTTGACGCATTGACGGCCCTCTTCTTGGGCTTGTCCGGAAGCTTTACCCGGAAATTGCCGACAATACCATGCAGCAGTACTCACTCGAAGCCTTGCAAGAGAACAGGCGCACCTTGCCTGTCACGGCAAGCAGGAATCTACACAGCCTTACACGTCATAATAATTGAACATTTTACCCTGCTTGGAGAAAGACGTTCTGATGCCAAGTTCGCTTGTCACCACTGTCGGTGATGAAAATGCAACTCTCTTGGCCCACGGACGCTCTATATTCAGCGGCGGCTACGACAAGATAATTTCGCATTCGGTGACACCAAAGCAGATTCTCACATCAACGTGCGATGATTCTTAGGCAGAGATGAAACGCTGGTCCTCTATGGGGAAAAAACAACTTGAAAGTGAATTTTCTAACCTTTGCATACTGTTTATGCATCCTGACGCTCAAGCAGAGAGAGTATATTTGTATACCGCTACAAACAAAGGAAACTGTCAAGACGCGGTGCCCTATAAGCACTGTTGAGAGATATTCTAGTGGGTATGGGATGTAAGTATACGAATAGCCGATATCTGCTTTGAGGTGATGTGCAATGCGCAGGCAGAATATATTAGGCCTTCTCGATGTATGTAATTAATACTATTGATCACATAATCCTGCTCAGCTCCGCAAAAAGTCAGTGCACTACGAGCAGATCGACAGGTTTCGCGTAAAGGCCACTTGCTCTAACTTGTTCCGCTCTGAAACAGGAAGCCCTTCACAATCTCGCTTGCTCAATACCAGAAACTTTTTCAATGATCTAGTCGTCCGAAAAGAAGGGCAAAGGAAAGGAGCATTCTTTGATGTGACGGGGCTCCACGTGATATTTGAATTTGAATTCATGCTTGGAAGTGCTACCGAACGCTGGTCATCTGAATGCACCGTCACGTGAATCACGACGATGAAGCTTCTGTAGAGGACTCATTCAATCGGTCTAAACCCGAGTGGACCTACTAAAATGTATAAAAGCCCTCTTGGATTTTCAGTGTAGTATATCGACGAAGTAGTTCCTTTTTACTATCCCTGAACATGCAGCTCTCTGTGCATGATCATCAGCAGTATCATATTCACTTAGATGTATCACTCAGCCAAGCGAGAGAAACCTGGCAACAACTTTCAACGCGATCTCCTAGAAAAAAGTCAGAAGCGCGAGGAGCTTGGGACCGACCTCATAGAATATATTGAATACATCACAGACGGTAGGATGCACTTATCTGCCATTTATTCATTTATTGATCAACCCTTTTGCAGCAAGTGGAAAGCGCGAGGAGCTTGGGTTCAACCCCATTGAATACACCAGAGACGGTTCAAACAGCATTTCTGGAGGTAGGATACACTTATCTGCCATATATTCATTTACAGATCAACCCTTTTGCAGCAAGCGAAAAGCGCGAGGAGCTTGGGACCAACGTCATAGAACATATTGAATACGCCAGAGAAGGTCCAGGTAGCACTTTTGAAGGTAAGATACGCTCATCTATCGTATATTCATTTATAGATCAAACCCTTTGCAGCAAGTGAGAAGCTCGAACTCGAGTCGGGTCTTTATGAGCACGCACTTGCTTCCAAGAGGATGGTGTAGGGGACAGAACTATAGTTTGGGTCAGTTCTGCCGGTTACAACCGGCAGAACCAGTAAAACGAGTCTAGGCTAGTCTCATGGACCAGCCGACTTGTATGAGAAGAGGATGTGTGACAAGGCGTCTGGAAGAATTTCCCTTAAAAACAGTAGAGCACACTTTAAAACTTCGCATAGACCAAAAACGATACCGCACCGTGCTTCTAAGAAATCCCAACTCGTACTATCATAGATGGGCGAACTTTGGCAAGAGCATCAATCTTGTTCAAGCGCTCTGATCCCATCTTTTTCAGGCAGTCAGCCCTGGTGTACAAATATATAATTCCGACATGATGTAGGACTTCGGCGTGATGCTCCATACTAGCTGGTCCATGAGACTACGAGGAAGTGGCACAAGTTGGCTAGGAATACTCCTGATTTTCCTGATGGGTCATTGAACAATGAAGATGAGGCTTAAGCTTGAAGCTGCGTTACGGCAAGGGGTAAAACAGTCTCGGCAGATGCCGGGGACCGAATCCTTGCTCATGACTAGTGTACGGTCAATTTGGAACTGTCCGAGATTCACAGGGTAAATTTACAATGCGCCCAGAGGCCTTCAAATTCACCACTGTGAATTACCGTAAATTAACATGTCTGCAAATTAACGCTATTTTACAGGTGAATCAGGTCAAATGTACGGTGAATTACGGTGAATTAGGTGAGTTATTCAACTTTCCACTCGTCCCAAGCAGAAGGGTCGGGGACAGACGGAGACAAGGTTTTTGCGGCCTTCTTTGTTGGTGCGGAACCCAGCTGTAAAGGTTGTTTTCCGACTGAATCAAGCAGTTCACGTAGGTAGGGTGCATGCAAATCAATACCGCTGGACGCTGCAAGCACGAACGAATCCTTTTCCGCTGTCCTAAACTCTGAAAGAGCAGCTGGACCGTCCAACCAATCTGCGCCATCATCAAACTCTTCTGAGTCCGAGTCCGAGTCCACTGTCCTTGCTTCAGGTGGAGGAGGCATTCGACCAGCGGGAGGCAAATCTTCAGCAGAACGCTTGCCAAGGATAGTGGATTCCATATCACGCCACTTGACGAGAGGTTTGTATGGTGTTTTTAGTTTCTGTGTAGTCAGTATGAGACTGAGAACTTAACACGCGAAAAATGTTACTCACATTAGAATCAAAACGATGCCATTGTCGGATTTTAATATGATCTTGAAGAGTACCGATTTCCTGCCTACTTCGACGCGGAGAGTTGAGCCAATTAATCGTTGACATGGTGCGTTTGGCAAACTCCAAATTCACCCAAATTTACACCCCCAAAATGCCCTTCTGAGATTCACATGCTGATAAACGCTAATTTACAGGTGTAAATTTACGCCTGTAAATTTACACCCCTCTATTTGACCGCACACTACGAGTCATGACCCATTTTCCTTACCAATTTGATCAGGAGCGTTGGGCAGCAAGGTGGCAGATAGCGCAATGCTATCCATGCCAACGAGCAACGTTAATGCATGACTAAACTCTGCTAACTAGCAGAATTACTACTGCATCATGCCATGGACCAGTGGTAATATGGTTGCATAGTCGGCTGTAACGGGAATTTGGCATGGAACGTGAGTTCATCTCAGAGCTGTACATGTTTGCAATGAGGACATTCATCTCACACTAGCTTACATGCATTCCACCTCGAACCCAATCAAACAATCATTTATCATTCCTGCTCTAAATACGAAGTGATACCACGACTACTGCAGATATCGTGGAATACCATATTGCCGCCTGCCTGCATGTATCTACCTCTCAAGGTCATGCGGAGGTCATAGGGCCGGTGTTTCGGCTCAATGGCAACTCCATGGTGTTACCTTCAGGGTCCTTTTTCTTCGATGGGATCCACTGAAAGGAACACATGAATTTGAGAACTCAATATTGATGCCCCGCATATCAACGGGGGGCTCATCTCACTGTTTACCGTTGTCGTCACTGGCACAGCATTCCCAGGACCGCGCTGACTCCAGCCGTCGTGCTGAGATGACAGTGTGCCAGAGTTCAAATAACTTACATTATGTCATCATTTTCAGCTGCTTGGAGACCACGAGAGCGACCGCACAGACTTGCTGTGATCCGTGGAACCCCTCTTTTTCTCACCCCTCCGTTGCTCTCCACCGTTGGACGCTTCCGTCACCCCTTCTACACGTGCCATGCATGTCACTGCTTCCGCTTCCACTATTGCCTTCTAATGGTTGCCACACAAGAAATTCATTATCCCCGTACTACTTGCACGCGGATCAGTCCCGTCGTAGACATTGTCGAGCACGTCAAAAGACGTGTTGCTTACTCGATTTCTGTCTATCACTTCACATTCGCAATTCCGGCTGAGCATGACGAATTGTTATTGCTTGTCGAGCACGTCAAAAGACGTGTTGCTTACTCGATCACCTTCACACTCGCAATTCTGGCTGAGCATGACGAATTGTTATTGCTTGTCGAGCACGTCAAAAGACGTGCTATTCTCTTGGTGCCAATTCGTTCGTCATTACCGTTCTCGGTGACGTTCCTTTTTCAAGCCTCATGCACATGGTCGTGCCACGTTGATGCTCGACGTTTTTTTCACAGATGATTCTCAGACAATTACACAGCACCTTGTGCTGCGGACATCCCCTTAGATGCTTGGGACGATAGACACGGACCGCAATTGCGCTCATTGGAGGTAGTAAGCAGTGTACACGTATACTTCTGCGAGTCGTCTCCAGAAAATCGTATGTGAGATGTCGTCAGAATTCCTCAGAATGATCTCGGTATGTACCAATATTGCATGTCATTCTATCACCTTCACATTCGCAAATCCGGCTCAGTATAACTAGAATCAAATTATATGCGCTATATGTATGTACTAGCAAAATATAATCATTGTCACGAGAGGAGCCACGCAGCGGTAATCACTTGTGGATTATACATTAATATTGCCCCGTAAATGGACTCGTAAGCTGCTCACTTGGGATTCATTCTTCTTCTGCACTCTAATGTGAACGAACCGCATGAAAATGTACATTGCGGCACCGGCCAGTGCAGCGATCTGTGATTGATTAATCGAAGTGTATAGAGAAGCGGCAATCGCGGTCGACTCACCCCAGAGAACAGAGCGGGTCTCCACCAAATATAATTTGATGTAAGTAGGGCACCGGCGATGGGTGTTCCTAGGTAAACATTTATAAGGTGAAGCAAGAAGTGCTACAAATGCACCTACCAATTAAACTTCCGAATCCTGCAGAATGAACGCGTGCGAGTTTAAAATAATATAGAAGTAAATCTGATCCTAGCACTCACCACCAAGAAAGAAACTGATACCCATCCACCCGCTGTGACCAGATAAGATCATTCGCACATACTGAAGCTCGAGTTATCACTCACCCAAGCTCAGAGGGGTTGTGTGTTAGGTTAGCCATAAGTGGACTCAATAACGCAGTGTCTGCATGACCGATTAACACCTTCAACTGTGTAGTAAAACGGAAAGAATACTTACACACCCCTGAAAAATAGCCATAAAGCACAGCAATGATAACGACGCTGGCCAGGCTATTCAATCCAATAGTGCCCAAAAGTATCAATCCGCACGAAATTGCCGAAATCACGGTCAAGTTGATGACTCCTATATACCCTGCGATATACCCTGCTGAAACTCGTCCCACAGAGCTGGCCGCGCTTAAAATCACAAGCTGGTGATCGAATCAGCAAAAAGACCACTTGTATAATGCTAGAACCCACAGAGTAAGACGAAAAGGTGATGCCGGTACCGTGTTGGGTAGAATCGAGTTGAAGAAAAAATGTCGGGTAGTAAAAGCCAATCTGGAAAAGAAACGCCCTGCATAACGAGTGATTATTTTCGAAAATTCGAGAGATGCTGTATTGCAGGTCTTACCCTACTGTCGCGAAAAAGAACGGAACATCACGAAGACACTTTTTAGCTGCCATGATATAGTTCACTGGTGTCGTCGGCGGATCAAGGCGTGTTCGCATACACAAGCATGCAATCAAAAGGAGCGCGCTAACTAACCCTGCACTTGCACGTACACCATTGGCAAAACCAAGGCGCCCATTTAGGAGATTATTAAGCATAATCGGGTGGACGATAGCACCCAGCGATGAGCCCATAGTAAGGAATGCCATCACCAGTGTGCGTTTCCGTCTAAAATAATGCGAGACGATGGCCAGGCTCGGGATGTACAGCAACCCCAAAGCGATACCTGAGCCTAAGCCTTGAGTAAGGAATATCTATTATGATGTTAGAAACCAAAAAGTCAGAAAGCCGGAGGGCGTCACCTGATAGTACTGATTAGGCTTCGCCAATGACAGCATGAAGAGAGAGAAACCCTGCAGCAGCGACCCGGCAACGACAAGATGGTAACTAGGTAGTAGGCCTGCTGAGCACCGTCTGCAAGACATTGGCATGCACACTCACAAATAACCTCGATCGTATAGTGTGCCTGATACAAGGCTCACAGAGGTGCCTAAAAATGTATTGAAGCTCCCAATGAATCTGCAAGAGACCATGAGGATACTCACAATAGAGAAGCCTATAGAACTCACGAAATAGCAAATGATGTCTCATTTGTGAGATAATTTCCAGTATAGAAGTCTAGAAGGCAAGCCGCTTAAACAAAGTTTCCTCACTTTCATGCGCAGCAATACCTTGGTATACACCAAATGATGCAATGTAACTTTGAAGCTTCAGAGCGCCATCCTTCATCGATGATAAAGCGCAACACTCACCCCCAACTGCAGAACAATATGAGAAACCTAGGTCAATCAAGTAAGAGCCAGCACCAACAAAAAATTGTCTCCTTACGATCCAAAAGCAGTAGACCAAGCGGCAAGACCACCTTCTGGAAACTCTTGCAAGGGCAAAGGCAGGTCGGAGTCCTTGGAGACTGAGTATTCAACTACTGGCAGCTCCTCTGACCCCCCTTTGTGCTCTTGTGCAGTCCAGGGTTCCTCAACAAGTGTTTCAGGTTTAGTTTCGTCTGCCATCGATGTAACGGTTGACTTGCACACACGATGAAACTGAAGTTTGATCCTTTTATCTATCCTTGATGACAAAAATAAATGAGGGAAGTTTGGAACAAGTACAGAGGCGTCGAGACAGTTACCGTAGTACGTGGCTAATAATATTATTCCAGTGTTCATAGCCATGAAACCGTCGCTTATATCCTCCTGGAATTCATTTCAGGAAGCTTGTTGAAGCCTGCAAAAAGATGAATACAATCATTTGTTTAATCACCGTTAGCCTCGGAGTCTTGCACCATCCAATGATCATCGACGACCAATTGGATTATCTGTGAATATAAGATGGAGCTGTGCTAGATGATCAGTGCCAAAAACAGTAGCACAGCGTTGTGGAGATCGTCTGATATGATATGACGGTACCGAGCGAAGCAAGCAAAGAGAATGATGAATGCATACTGAAGTTCTCTCGGTATAAATTTTTTTTTACAAGGGGGCGAGGACTTTGTTCAAAAGTAGTGACGCGCACCATAGGTAAATAACGCACCGCGAATCGGTGTAGCATGAGACCAGCTGCGGAAAGGGCCCATGGTCCATGATGGAGACCCGAGTGCGCAGTCCCTGCCGGTGCTAGTAGTAGTACATGGAGGTCTGGACTCTGAGCACCGATCGTTTCATCATGTACGTACTGTACTGCGGACCGGGAGTAACGTATCATGACGCATAAATGCTTACATGCTAGACGGTAGAGCGGGTTCCCATCCAGCGGTGGGTGGTGCAGCTGGGTGTTTGCCACCATTTGCGTAACTTAGTCAGTAGGGATAGAGCCTTCGGGCGTTGTCGTAAGTAGCATAATCATTAGGTTGAGGCCACACCAGCTTCCAGAGGCAGGCACACAGCCATGCCAGTCCAACGGTTCAACGACCGATGGCATCCGCTGCGCACACGATCCACTGATGAAAACGTCATCAATTTTACATAGTGAAAAAATTAACATCAGGCCGCAAATAGCAATGGCAAAACTTGGTACTCAATTCTGTGCGTCCAGAAGAGGTTCCGAGATCGGACTGGTTGGACGCTGAGAGTGTTGGTGAATTGTTGGTGAATTGTTTGGTCATATTGCCATTAGCCTTATTTTTCAAAGTCCGCTGTGCTCGGAGCAGTCATCATTTTCAACCGACGAACATCACAAACCTACGCGTCCCTTTCGGAACTTCAAGCTTCAGGCTATGAATGTGTGGGTGCCTCATGACACGAAATCGTCTTCTCGCCGTTTACCAATTTCCAGACTTAGAGAAGACAGGAGTATAATACCATGCTGCTTGCTTCGAAACGTCTAGTGAACTTGTAGAATGTCTGGGACAAAGACTCGGCAAGAATCGAACATGTGGTCTTAGTTCCCGCAGGCTGTTGCACGATTGTCGCGAGTGGAAAGGGGGAATGGCATCAAAGGGTTGATGATGGATCAGGCTGAGGCTCGTGAATACGAAGCTGAGCAAGGGCCGGAGCCATGTTTGATGCATGCGTGATGCATTCTGTGTCCGGGTTGTTCCAGAATACTGCAGCACCCTTGGACGATAGTCTTCTTTAGTCGGACGAAGTCGGTTGTTCCTTCTTGATCAATTGGGCGAAGGGCCAGGCTGGCCAGAACACCCCCGAACCTCGTCGGTGAAATACTAGCATGCCGTTATCAATAGCCTGAGTATGCAGTGCCATTCATATTAACATTAAATCATTCAGCCACTCCATGGCCATACCCTCTAGAGACACCCCTAGCCAGACCTTCGTTTCTTCTATTAGAAGGGTACCATCACACCATTGGGTTAGGAGCCATCCCAAGTTGCTGTTGACCAGGCAGAAACACTGTATAGGAATTTTACGAAGCAGCAGTGGGGAGCAGTGGTACTAGTAGCTGAAATCTATCATCTTGGAGGTTTCTCGTGATTGGGTTGAGTGCACCTCGCTTGTCATGGTCAACAGGACCACGATCGAGCGTTCCTACAATTTCCATTTCGCCATGAGAGACACCTCTCACGCTGCTTAATATCGTAGAAAAAGACATTCCGACGCCGAGTTCGCGTTTCTTGTCGGCGATGAGAAGACGCCCGACGAAGTCATCCATCTCGCAGCTGGCCTGCAGTTTTCTGGGCTCAAGAGCGTCATTGGGTGGTCGACGACGCTGTTGAAAAACAATTCATGGAAGCTTTCTACCGGAACATGTTCGAGGATGGTGGTGTCATGGATTATACGAAAGGCGGCACGGGCACTCGGTACTCAACCACGGTACGAAGAAGAAGGTGCTGCTCGAGCAGGGCATCGATTGATTTCATATTGGGGGTATAGTTCGTATTTACCTTCATCCGGTACAAGTCGTTGATCTTGGATTCTCTTTTCATCCCGTCAGTTGTCCCTGTTGTAAGACTCGCTTAATACCGCATTGTGTCCTCGATCACACATACGGTACCATCATATAAGAGTCTTTGCGACTTCAAAGTTTATTCATTACCCACGCATTTGAAGTATGCTCTTCATACACGGCGTAGGGAGAATACGCTCCACTCTAACGCTCAAGAGGCTCGCCGAGCACTTCAAGTTATGCATGGTCGACGCCCGCCCGAACTGAAATGCTATGCATTCCGGCATAATTTATCATGGTATGTGTATAGCGTTCTTCAAGCCCGGCTTCGAGACGGACTAGTCCCGACGGTCTCGAGTAGGAAAATTGAGGATCTGTTCGAATGTGTTCGTTGCAAGGGGACATCAGTCGAGACTCGAAGGGGTTTGCGACCGAATAGAGCGGCCTGGCAAGCTGTGCAAGGACATCGTTTTGGCGGGCATGCGCATGTACAGACCATTCAAGAACGCAGCGACAAATACACCTATTGATTCCACCTTGCAACTTTGTTGTACAACAAGACATCACGGCAGGCCATACTACAGTACAAACTAGCAGCGACCCAACTCAAACTGCTTCTAATCATCGTTGATGTAGTAAACCCCCGTGGGCCTCACAACCAAAGTCAACGCCTTGTTATCGGTTGGATCGACCGAATTCCTCAACACGAAGGCCACTTGCCAGAAGCTTCTGGCCCAAAAATCGGCCTTCCCCGGCTCGATGTCAAAGAATCCAGTAGACCGCTCGTCATTGTCATTGGTGATGCGGACAGAGATCGTGTATTGGGTGTTGTTGACAATCTCAATCAGGGTCTTCGTGGCTGCCGGTGTGCCCAGAATGATTATTAGGAACCAGCTGCAAGCATCTTAACGCACCTTTGGCAGACATTGTGCAGTAATAAAGATATTTGAAAAAAGTGCTGAATGCAGTGATAAAGATCCCTGGAGAACGAATCAGAATCAGAAAGGGGGACGAATGAAACTAGGCCTTGGACTCACTCAGAGTAATTGAAGGAGCGATGGGGACCTGCCTTCGAGACTGACCGCATATTTATAGGGTATAGCACGGGTATGGTGGGTACGGGTACGGCGAGACTCAGATATTCCCAACTGAGGCGCTCCTTTCCTAGATATGACGTTATAAAACAATACTAGAACTTCGTCGGAACCTTGTTTACGATTTATGTACAGTATCAAATACAGCTTTTGTTCTGGTGAGGCTTTTGTACGAAATTACATAGTAAAGTACAGTTATATACGGAGGTGCGAGACTCTTTGTGATCCTTTGGTACTTCAGTGACGAATTTCGAATACATTGGTACTAGTGTAGTTAGTAGTAGATGGTGAAGCATCAAAGTAGTCTAAGCAAGATGCGTTATTGACAAAGTTCGGAGTGCGCGTGCAAGGTTTGGAGATTAGAATGGTGAAGTTTCGGTGACGTGAATGGCCGCCATGGTGGATATTGATTTAGTGATGTTACGAGGGATCAAATCTGCGAATACATTGGCGACTAAGATAAAACAAGTTTAGTTTGTGTAACCTTTGTTGAAGGCAGCCATCAGCAAGAGACCCATGATTTTCGCTTGTCAAAAAGAAGTTTGATGCTTACGGCGCTACTGTGTTTTGCATTACCTGGCAAGGGATGGCTATGTAATCTGCGTGATATTGCTACCGTACTCTGAGAGGCTGGAACGCAAAGTAAGTGCTGCTCTATTTTCTTTTTGTTGACAAATTTAGAGCAGTTCCGGCCTTCACACTGGAAAAGCCGCTACCTCACTTATGTTAGCTTTATCAGGCTGCCGAAGATTTTGGATTGTGTTATTCAAGCTCTTACATCGGCTCCGAGTGAGTCTTTTGCAGCAAAACGCCTGGGTTGGGTGCACCTCGCTTGTCATGACCCGTGCATTCCTACAATTTCCATTTCGTCATGGGAGACACCTGTGACCTGTCACGTTGCTTAATATCGTAGAGAAAGACATTTCGACGCCGAGTTCGCGTTTCTTGTCGGCGATGAGAAGACGCCCGACGAAGTCATCTACCTCGCAGTTGGCCTGTAGTTTTCTGGGTTCAAGAGCGTCATTGGGTGGTCGACGACGCTGTTGCAAAACGCCTCGTGGAAGCTTTCTACCGGAACATGTTCGAGGATGGTGGTGTCATGGATTATACGAAGGCGGCACGGGCGCTCAGCGCTCAGGACTCAACTACGGTACGAAGAGGAAGGCGCCGCTCGAGCAGGAGATTGATTTCATTCATATTGGGGGTATTTCCTTCCATTTGGTACAAGTCGCTGATCTTGGTTTTCATCCCGCCGGTCGTCCTTGTTGTAGGACTCGCTTGATGCCGCATTGCGTCCTTTATCGATCGCATGTATGGTACCATCATATACGAAGAGTCTTTGCGACTTCAAAGCTTTATAAATTCATCACCCAAGTTATTTCAAGTATGGTCTTCATACACTGCGTAGGGAGAACACGCCTCGCTCTACCGCTCAAGAGACTCGCCCAGCACTTTAAGCTATACATGGTTGGCGCGCGCCCAAACTCAAATGCTTGGCATCATTGAAGGTGTACAAAACTCTACCTACAGGAGGATCGACGTTGACGAGTAAAACATTTTGCTGCTCACAGATGTACATCGAAGAATGTCAGCGTAAGCAAGGAATGTCAGGATGCACGGAGATCTTCAGCAAGAGACAGAAACTAGCGCTTCATTTCCTTCTTATCTTGTACCGAGATACATTCATCCTTCTCACTCGAAAGCATTTCAATCTCGACACAAGCCGAGACAAGACAGTTCCGCCAGCGAGCTTCTCCGAGATACATTATCAAGAACTCCGACGACACTTCAAAACAGTCATCATTGGTGGTCTATGGAAAATCTATGGGCACAAGCACATCAAGTGTTCTCAAACATATTGCACAAATCTCGAGACGAAAAAAATCTATACCGCGCAGCGTGACTCGTGCTCACAGATACCCTCTCAAGTCGTCCCCCTGGGGCGTCTCCCCAACCAAAAACAACATATGCTCCACCACCTCCTCAGGCGTCGTCACATGCCAACTTGCAAGCGTCCGCTTGCTGCTATGTCCAACGGCAGTAGTGAACACACCTTCGGGAGACACCGCGAGCTCGACGTCGCTGTGCTCCTTCGTGTTGTCAACGAGCATTACAGACAGCGGGGGCTCCATCGTCGCTTTGCCGATGGAGGAAGGGGGGAAGAGGAGTAAAGCGCGGAACATGTCTTCGTCAGTCTGCTGGAGGGTGAGCGAGTGAGGAAGATGGGGAGGGATGAAACAGACCTTGTCGTCACCAGCACAAAAGATGAACTCGACTCCAGGGTTCTGGTATAATATACGCTTGACGATCTCCCCCTTGCATGAACTGTCAGTCTGCACGTATATCAAAGACCACGCGCACAAACCTTGTTCACGGCGATAGGCCTCACTTCTAAATTCTTTTTACCTACGAGCACTTCGATCGGCCTCTTGGGCACCACATTATTCTCCAATAAATCTTGGCATTGCCTGCATTGGAACTGTCTATAACCCACCACTCATCAGTTTCACTCAACAAAAAAACACAAACACACGCACCCCCACTCGGGATCAGTCGACCGATAATGCCATGTGATCGAGCTCTTCTTCATCTCGATATGACTCCCAGTCGTGCGCTCCGTATAATACCTGAAAATCTCCGCTACTTCCTCCATCCAGCTCATATCCAAACTGGCAGTGAAATTCATCCACACGGCACTGTCAGGCGAACGGATAAATCCGCCGTGCTCTGCACTCATCCCGAGACGCGGAAGATGGCCAAGGTGTTCCTCTAGGAACGCTTGGTCACGGCCGGATACGATATATACGATGTTGTTAGGGTCGGATGAAAGTTTCGCGAGGGCTGTCAGCGCATCAGGAGAAGGAAGCGCCATCGACGGCATCTTGACGATCGGCGTGAGCGTACCCTATCCATCAAAAGTCAACGACGACGAGCCCCGTATCCCCTATCTATCACTCACATCGTAATCAAACAAAAACAAACGCTTCCCGGCGTTATCATACAGCTCCTTGAGATTATCTCTAGGGATGTAAGGCGTTTGACGTGCAGTGTTCTGTCCGTTGATCTGCGAGAGCAGCATCTTGGCAAGGACTGCAGCCCACGTGTGCGAGGTGTGAGTCGTTACGACGGAGTGTAACGCCGCGTGCCTCGAAGCTTTCTCATCCTCCGACATGACCAACCCGCGGTTCATCGCAGCTGCTACATCCTACATACCACACATCCGTCAATCACATCACACAAAGACGGCAGATACTACGCACCCCAAGATCCCAAGGGTTCACCTGAAGTGCATCAGCCATGTGCTGGCTGATACCCATAAACTCGCTCAACACGAGGGGCGAGCGCTTCGTGCGCTCTTGTGCGATCACGAACTCCATCGAGGTCGTGTTCATCCCGTCCCTGAGGGGCGTGATTACTCCGAGGTCTGCAGCGCTCAGCAACGCGTAGAATTCGTCCTTTCTGAGGGTTTGGTGGCTGTTGGAGTCATCACAGAGGTGATGTGTGGAAGGAAAGGGCGAAAGTAAATGCGATAGATGAGACACGTGAAGCTGTGATAAAAGCGCACGCACTAGTGGTGTACGGGTATAAAGTCCAAACTCCCATACTCCCCATTGATATGCGCGACGAGCTCCGAGACTTGACGCTCAAGCTTTGGGGAGTCTGTTAATGCAGGGGACGTCACCTGCAAACAGCGTTTACCATTCATTAATATCTGTGTGTTGCATTCGAATGACAGGACACACCTGAATAAGTACGACCTTGCGCTGCCACTCTGGGTAATCATGCAAGAGCTTCTCAAACGCGCGGAGCTGATGTTATACGTTCGGACAATGGTACAAGAAACAACCAATCAATGAGCGAAGATACAACCATGTGAGAAAGAACAATCACCTTTTGCAAGACCCCCTTGACGACATCCAACTTGTCCCTTCCTACGATGATCTTCTTGTCTGCGTAGAGCGCGCGGAGGGCGTCGAGTTTCGGTTGGACGCCTGGGCGGAGGCTGGTTGCGTGCATGCGTTATAATTGGGCGATGTATGAGTGTTCGAATTGGGGTGTATGCGTGCGTGCCCATCAGTACCTCCAATAAAAAAGACCCAAACAAAAAACTTACGTATCCCTTGCAACCCTCTCTGCATCAACCCCCACCGGACAATGCGTAACAGCAGCTACATGTCCCTGTACATCAATACCGACATATTTTTCAACGCCTGCTCCGCCTTTCGCGCTTGTTCCACGGCGCGTGAGGCTCGCTCCACGGGTGGCTCCAACCCCAGTTCCAGTGGCACTGCGCGGAACAACGCTCGCACCCCGGGATGCACTAGTAGACGTGGCCGTAGCACCCTTACTAGTAGTTTCATACCCGCACACGCGAACGCAGGTGGAGGTGAAGTGACGGGTGTAGCTGTAGGTTTGGAAGCAGATGAGGTTAGCGCCTAGCATTCCGTCGAGAATTTCTTTGCGACCTGGATAGAGTTAGTTAGTTGTTCGAGGGGGGGAGGAGAGACGTACGCGGTAAACACCTAAACACCTCTGAGCTAGGGAAAGGGGTGTGTACGAATAGACCGATGACGCTGTGGTGTGTGTCAGTAGTGATGCCCTCCTCGTTTGTAAGGAAAGACGCACACGTCTCCGCCATTCTCCCCGCCCACGCCGCTCACAGCGCCAGAATGCATTGCATTTCTGAGCATGCGAGGGACTAGAAGGAGATGGTAGTCATGGACCCAGACGAGGTCGCCTGGTTTGAGGACGCTAGCGAGGCGGGTTGCGAATGCTTGGTTGGCCTTTTGGTGGTGTTGAATGCGATGAGATGATTAGATGAACCAACAGAACGCACCTGCTCATAATATTCATAGTTGGCATCAGCGCTGGCATGCTCTGTTGCTACGTCCTGCCAGAGGAGGTAATGGAAGAGGGGCCATAGAGCTGGGTGGGTGTTAGCAACGGTGATTGAGGTTCCCCGGGCCGGTAGTAATAAGAAGCAAGATGGGAGGTCGAAGGAGAAAATGAAAGTGATTGGACGAGATGGGTAAGTATTAAATGCGATCAAAGTTCCGAGGCCGGTGCATCCGAAGAGACGAAAGATAAGAACCAAAGAAGGAATCGAGTATGAAAAGCGAGTGAGAAGGGCCAAAAGTAGACGATGGAGGTAGATCAAGAAGAGGTATTCCTGATATGGACTGACTTTGTTTACAATAACCATCGTAATGACCGTGTGCGACGTTATCCTCCATCCAGAGCGGAAGATAAGTAATTGGTTTGCTGGTTTCAGGTTCGAGTGCGTTCTTGTCGGTATAATGAGCGAGCTCGACGTCGAGTGCATCCTTGTCCTCTTGAGAAATGCGAGAAGATGGAATACGATCTCGAACGGAAGGGATACGTTCACCAGTGGAGGGATTGACGTCAGCTATGGAGAGGTTAGTGTTATGATGATGAGTGAAAGTGGATTGAATGACCATCATTGCCATCGGGTGGACCTGCAGGTGATAGAATGTCGCCTGTCCATCCAAGAATGAGTTGTTCGTGTGTGAGGCTGAGACTACGAATGCCACTCGTCATTGCGCTGTGTCCGTAGCGTGGAGCGAGTTTCCAACGCTCAGGTTGAGTGGGAAGAGAGATTTGAGGAACCTCATCGGATGGGCTTGGTGGTACATCTGAAAGGATACGTGGAGGTGTAGGAGGTGGACTGAGTATGCCATCTCTTGTAGTGGTTGAAGTGATCGTGCAAGTTACAGGAAGATAATGGCAGACATGAATGATGCGGCCTGATAATTGAACACCGTTGGCTTTGTGTCGTGCTTCGAGAGTTCTAACATGATCTCGAACTGAATCAAGTGAAATGTCGTCTCCTGCGCGTGTGTATGGTTCTGCGAATGTATCCATGATTGAAAGACTGTAATGCCATGAGCCAGGTTTATATAGCCTATTGATAAGTAAATCGGATCGTCTGGTTTTTCATGCATCCATGCTTAATTTGGTTCATCCCGTCACTCACTCCATCAGATTCACGCTGGCACTTATATAACCATGGCCCACTCACTTCACAGATATTACCATGCACCATCTCGTGGGCCATCATATGCTTCACATCGAAGTCGTCTTCTGCAGAATCTCTCACGCTCAACTCGAGCTTCATCGGAATCCCGCGTATCGAATGCCGGCCAGAGCTTACGAACAAAGTCGAACATCTCACGTCAAAACAATATTGATGCAAACGTTCATCAGAGCAAGAGCCGGTTATTGGATGGAATGTCGTTTGGAACGAGTACGCGCGTCGCCCGGGGCCATCGTCTGTCTATCCTTTCTATGAACGATTTCCACCAACATTTCGTCACCTAGGCTCGTCCAGTAGCGCTATGACGATCACAGCTACGCGCCTGCACGTCATCGTCTGCTCCACATTTTCCTCTTTATGTGCCTTCACACTTGACCTGATCCACCACGAGCTATTTATAGAAACTTCATACCCTCTTCTTTATGACTGGGTTTCTCGCGGAATATCTCGTGGTAGGTGGTACTTCGTTTATTGAACAATCACTCGACGAGCTATACTTCATCATCGACATCCATCACTATCACATCGATGTCTATCTGCAACTCATTACCCTCTTTCCGACCTCTACGTCCTTTGCATTCGATGCGGGGTACCTTACGATGGCCTGAGACCTTGCTCAACGTGAATGGCAATCGATCGACCCATGGATCATGCACATGGGCTATCCTTCTTCGATGTGATGCTCGTTGTGACCATCATATCGTATTCCGCGCGCCTCTCGTTCCTGAATTTGGCTCAATCTTTCACTTTGAAATTCTACATACCATACCATACTATCTTCGGCTTCGTGGATCCACCAACAGTGCATTTCAGATGGAAAAGATCAGCTATGTACGTTATTCGTGACCCTCTGTAAACCAACTATGAATATACTAGTGTAGAACGTCTTCCATGCCAAGGTTCAACCGACGCGGTAGTGGCCAGATCAAGAAAGGTTGGCATCAGGGTTCGCGTAAAGAGGACGGCTGACATTGACAATCACATCCTAGCTAGAATTGACTAGGCCTACATTCCACTACTAGTGCTGCTATTGTTTGCGGCGTTGCTTTCGCTGCCCCTTTTACTTCGGGCACTGGCCAGCTGGTCCCTGATGCTGAAAGTAACGCCGGCTCCACACTTCAGGTTGCTGGTGGTGAACTTGCCTCGGGTAATCTGGCGGGCGTAGCACAAGATGCTGGCTATGGTGTGGGTAAGACACTACAGGCTGCACTCCATGGTATGTCATTTCCTCCAGCTCACAGTTCTCCGCTAAAGTTTTTTCAGACCTCGGTTTGGGAAATATTAATGCTCTTAAGCGAGATGATGCTTTGATCAAAGCTATCGCGGCTGGTATGACATTTCCTTCAGTTCACAGTTCGCTGCTGAAGGTTTTCCAGATGTCCAAGACCCTGTTCTCACACCTAAGAAACTCCATCTCCAATGATATCGACAACTCCGATTTGTAAGCTCGGCAGGAGCGCAAGTCCAGTTAGTATTGGGCCTAAGCGAGCACACTATTTCAAGTCTCCATTTACTTTAGCACGGTGCCTTTTTCTTCTTCGCCTGCCTCCACTTCAGCTCTTCGACGGCGAGCTCAAACTCGTTCACATTTATTCTTGCTCCAGATTCACATTCTTTGTCACCCACCCAACTCTCCCTTTTCTCTGATATCCTGTTTCAGACATTTGGATTCTTATCACGTTCACTCTCATACGCTTTTCATAACTATCTTTAGTTCAATAAAATTGGATTACCGCCTTTTAACAAGTTTGACAATTCGCGACCAGTTGTCCCGCTCACTCAGCAGCTCCACTACTCTGTGCTACGCTCGGCCCAGCCCGACTACTCTGACATCGTGTCGACAATCAGTAGCAGACGATGCTGGAGGTAGATATGCCTATTTAAGTACGAGGGTGACCATTAGTGTTGTGGTTGTAATATTCAGGAGAATGCATGAGACTCGGAGCATCTGTTTAGAATAGCACGTCATAGATCGAAATGTGTCCCAAAATCATCACTTCTCGACTTTGTTTGAACAAACAATTTGTTCACGTGGAAACTTTACATTCATAGGTCACTTGCAAGAAAAAAATACTGGTTATAGTATGGTGAAGCTTGATGTGTCTGCATATAGAAAGAAAGTCGTATTTAGTCACTGTATGACTTCGACGTCATCTACAGCTTCCATCTTGACCCACATACCACCCTGCGAGAAAGAACCCAGTTAGATGACTGCAAAGTATGTCAGAGAGAGACTTGCCTCAGCATAAAGCATCACGTGGAATCTCGGCTTGAACCGCTCGATGGCCTGTCGACCGTCTTTCTCAGCCCACCACGCAGGTGGGCACATTGCAGGCTCGGGGGATAATGCAATCGCAGAAAAATTTTGCAGCAAACGAATAAGCATGAACGACATTTGGTTGTAAGCAAACTAAGGTACGAAGCAGGGCATGAGACGGGTGGAGGTAATGAATAACTCCACGTACTTTTTTCCCTAAGCAAATCCTCGGTCCCGCGTTAAATGGGAGGAAAATAAAGGGATTAGTAAGATATTTCTGCAGGCGCTCGTCGAGCCATCTATCCGGATCAAATTCCAACGCTGTAACACGAAGTCCAATTGAATCAGTAATTTATATGTAGACGAAGTTCAAGCACCTTACCGTCTGGTCCCCATAGATCTGTTCTCCTATGCATAAGGAACACTGAATATATGACCCTGAAATCGTTCAAGCAGTCATACGATCAATCTAAACGATGAAACGAAACACGTACACGACACCCCCTGGAACAAACAGAGGCTTCTTCCCAGGTTCGGGGGATGTCCATGTAGTGTCATGTACGGCTTCCCTGAAAGGTCGTAGCTCAAGTCTAGTATCTTTGAAGTAGCCCGGGAACATACCTCACATCAAAGGGGCTAGGAATTTATGGTAAGACGATCTAATTCGGCTGATATCATATTCAATCACTTACAGGGCAGGGAAAAGGCGCATCGTTTCTAGAACAGATGAGTGACATCCCTACGTCCGACAGGAAACAAATATATGCACCATTGAGAACGGCCTGGATGTACTTCATCTCTTTGATATCCCCATATGTAGGCATGCGAGTCAGCCCAACCTTCGATATTATTTCCTCCCTAAGTCGAGAGAGGATCTCTGGATGCATTGCAAGTAAATAAATAGCCGAAGTCAATGTCGAGGCTGTCTAATATTGTTCATCATCAACATGGGAGACTCAAAAAATATTGCGAGCTCACTGTATCTCTTCCTGCCAGTAATATGTTCAACGTTTCATCTTTGATGACTTTGAAGTCTGAAAGGAATATTTCAACAACAGAAATTCCCAGGTAACGTGCCATCTCACCCGACGTCAGCTTTATCAGATGGTCCAAAAAGGTTTGGTCTTCCGTAATTTCATTTGCGTCTAATTTAGCAGCCGTGCTATGCCTCGTCAGAGCGGCTTCGAGGATCGGATCTAAAAATTCGTCGACCACTTTCATATGTTGTGCGGTGCTGTCAGCAAAAATCTCAGTCATTGGCCAGACCGCCCCAATAATAACACGACGACTGATTGCATGCTCAGCTTGAGAGACAGCATCTGCGAAGGCTGCAGCAGTGTCTCCCCGACCCTTGGTATTTGTGGATTCTAGCGTGTTATCGGGGAAAGGAAGTTCGACGGAAAGTGAATCGGTGCAATGTCCAAACAGGAACTCCGATGCAGAGTCGAGTGTAAATCTCGAGATGAGATCCTGTAGTACTTCATCAACACAAGATGTCAAATGCCGACTTGAAGTCCTACTTGGAAGTCGATTGCCATGTCCATTCTGGAACGGTCCTTCGCCAAGGCGATAGCACGATTCGCATGACGGTCAAATATCTCAAAGTGGCTTATCCGATCATGGCTGAAGAAAGGTCGTGTCATGGTTCGGTGAAACCTAGAAGCACGCCTAAGGTTCCCTATTAGGAATGATCTTCAAATGCACAGCTCACTTCCATGTTTCACCTGGTGGGACAGCCAATCGATCCATCAGTCGCAACATAAAGGGCTCTCTAATTCACACTTTACCATCCGAGTTAAATACACCCGTTCCAAGGACGGAGTCTGCTGCTTCTCTGAACTTTGCACCTGCATCGAGTCATGATTCATCACATGTAAATAAACAACATGTATGGGCATACCTTTCACGTAGTTATGAAAATCGGTTGCGAGAATCGTCTGCCTGGAGCTTGGTTGCATCGTCTTCGAATATAAATTGGAGCTTACCTTTACGTGCTGGGGCTCCGTGGTCACGATGTAGTCCTCCCATAAGCACCGATAATTCAAAGTCGGCCCGAGTTCCTTCATCTCGTCCAGCACAGGTTGTCCTGGACAAAAGTCAAGCACGAACATGAATGCATGAGACAGAAACTATACCAAGGTATTCGACCTTAAACCTCTGGATCGTGTTCACTAACTTGTCCAGATTTCCAGGCCATCTGCCCTGGATACGAGGAACGAGTCTGGCATCGAGTCGAGTGGCCTTTCGTCGCTGCGATATCACATCCACGAAAATATAAGTTGCAAGCCCCAGAGGCGCTGCACCCAAAACCACCACCGACAATAGCCATGGGGAGACTGGAAAGCCTTGCAGACAGGCCAGACGTCCTACAATGATGACGGAAGAAGCAGTCGGAAAAATGACAGAAAGCAAACCACGAGTGAGGTAGGCCACGCCAGGACTGACCCGAGATCGTGACATGGCTTTGATATTGCTAGTTGATGACCGAGATCCGACAGTTCGAAGTACTTAAAGCCAAGGTGCCGTGTCACAGGTGATAGGTTAGTTACCAGAACGCCGGGTCTGCAACGAGTATAGTACTGCGCTTCTTAAAAGTTAGATAAAGAGCTTGCGTGGCAAAGCCGCAAGCGCTCAGCAGTGGCAATTCGTGGGAGGTGACTCGTGGCGACATCGACGCCGTCCGTCCAACGCACAAACAACTTCGTAATTCAACTCATCTGTGGTGCCAAGACGATGCATTCGACATGCAAGAGCGTCGAGCGAGGGAGACAGTACTGTGCTGCAAACCTTATGCAAACCGAAGCACGACGACAGTAATCTGACCAGAACTTGCTTGAAGTCGGACAGTGCGGGGCTTCTGTTAATATTCTAATCAATAGGAGAGTCTACACCCACATTTCCACTGGCAAATCACAACCAGCACCACATCGAAGTCAAGGAAGAGGAATTTGAAATTTCCTCTGCCAGGAAAATATCCGATGATACGATAACCAGATGTTCCAGAATATTAATGTCAGTATCTCAACTAGCCTTTCTACATGACATGCACAGGCTTACACGTGCGCGGTAATTCAGGTTACCCTTGCAAGGATACCGCCATTCGGATCGATGCATGGCTCATGACAAGACATGTCCGCCATAGGGCCACCGGCTCCAAAGGGTTACTTCGATGTAAGAATTCCTCTCAGACAGAGGAAATGAAATGGCAATCCAAGCCATGCATTGCCTTAATAGCGTTGTTGGCAGAATTGCAGAATGGCAGATGCCATTAGGCAGCCAGTGGGAATTACCAAGCGGCAATTGCCGGCAGTACAGCTTGAAGTTGGCAATGTTTGTTGTTTGTTCCTACTAAAAATTCGACATATCATGCATCATGTTTGAATGTATCTTAGTATGTACTATGACGTTGGCAACCATCATTCCCCCAAAGCCCAAGAGCTGTTTGATTGACGTACTGGATATTCTGGACGGTGGCCGCATGCATCGACTGGAGTGAGTCAGGGAGAAAGAGCCGAAAACGCTCATAATACATTTCGCCGACCTCTGCCACGAGGCCAATTCCTTTCAAATCCCCGCCTATGCTATTAGTTGCTTGGTCGCAATCATGCTTGAAAAACCATCAGGAAAAACCTCCCACCCGAATTTCAACCAAGTATTCAGTACTAGTTCGTGGTGAGACACCACCATGTCAAGGAACGGCCCGGAGCGCACTCACATTTAGGGACGCTCAAAGTTAGGTGCGCACTTCGCACACCGCACACGACCCCCTCGCAAATGCACCTCCACCCAAAATGGTAACCTTAGATAATCGTCGGACTTTGGACTAAACCTTGCGGCACGCAGCGCTGAACAGTAGTAACTAGTTACTAGTCTTGAATTGTTCAAGGCAGCATTCCTAAACCTTACCCATCGTGACCATTAACCTTGCCAATAGAGTAACCTTGCCAATAGAGTACTTTGTTAGTGCACATGTTGTACATAAGTATTTTGATTATTTAATCAATTCAAAGCCGCATTTCGAGCGATCACGTGATATAGTAGTCGTGAATTGTCTAAGGCAGCATCCTAAACCTTACCTGAACCAATTCCAAACCTCGTCATCCCAAGACCTTACAGGCCTGTTTTTAACCCTTTCTGCGCAGTATATTGTTCAGTAGGATGTTGTGCTTTTCCATATATCATATATCAATATATCACGTGAATCACGTGATCACTCGAAATACGACTTTGAATTGATTAAAATAATCAAAATACTTATGTACAATATACTAACAAAGTACTCTATTGGCAAGGGTTAAGGCCTAAGGGTCACAATTGTGGGTAAGGTTTAGGAATGCTGCCTTAGACAATTCACGACTACTAGTTACTACTGTTCGGCGCTGCGTGCCGCAAGGTTTAGTCCAAAGTCCGACGATTATCTAAGGTTACCATTTTGGGTGGAGGTGCATTTGCGAGGGGGTCGTGTGCGGTGTGCGGTGTGCGGTGTGCGAAGTGCGCACCTAACTTTGAGCGTCCCTATTCATATTCAAGACCCTCTGGCAATTCATGACACCGCCATCACAGCGAGCAGTTGGGAACGGGATCCACGTGTTTCATTGAGGTTGAACGTTGAGCATCTCACATATTTCATATTGCAAAACATTCTGAAGAACAATCGCGTTAGCACATCAGCGATTCATTAGATCATGACAAACCGCCACACCTGCGTCGACGATGTCAACATGGTTGCACTTATTTACCACCCATACTTGATCGTGCGTGCACTGGCATAGCCGTGCCAACGGTAAGACCGTTGTTCCTTCTTCACAGGTAGACACGACAGCGAATTCCTAACCAGACCCTCCTCTTGCGAGTTTTCCGTCAGTGTGCACAAGGTTCGATGGAACTTCGAGTGGTGGGGCATGGACTTTGCTTCAACTTATCTCGTCATCATGTCTCCCTAATTGCGAGTGGATATACGCGACATTCTTGTTCGCCCCGTGTATATTCTATCAAAACTCCGAGTCATTGCAATTGTCAGACGTCTCAGAATCGACGTGCGACTCAAACAACAACAAAGATTTAGATACTGAAGAATTGATCATTTAGTGAGTACTGTTACACGTCCGACGCTAAAGAATACCTGAAAGAATTGACCAGCACGACAAGGAGGCTATCCCACTCCGAAGACAAATACCAAACGAGCAAACGAGGACGAACATCATATCCGGTGACCCAAAAGCGAAAGGTTTATCACATACATAGCAATCACCAGTCGATCTTCTTCCGACCTCCACCTCGACCTCCGAAGCCCCATCCAATCTGGTTCGCAATCTTGATTGCGACGCCAACGTCCGACGCAAATCTATTAATACATCATCAGATCAGGTATTAACAACTTAGTTCACGATGAATATACACTCACGCCCAAACAGTCGCCGGGTTCTTTTGGAATTGTCGTCCAACCAGGACGACATCGGCTTGACCTTTATCAAGTACTCCTTGGGCGATCTTGCCATTGGTAATCGACCCGACAGTCCCGACGACAAGCTTATCCCCCACAGCTTGTTTGACTGCATGTGCGAAAGGTGCTTGGTATGCCGGGCCGCCTTTGATGATGGCTTTTGAGTGGTTACCACCACTGGAGACGTCGAGGAAGTCAACGCCATGCTCGGCAAGAATACCAGCAAGTTTGACGGTATCTTCGACACGCCAAGAGGGTACATTCGGAAGTGCTTCTTCAAGCCATTCAGTCGCAGAGATCCTAAGTACGAGTCATGATTCAGATCAAGTAAGAACATCATATGAACTCGAAAATACCTCAGGAAGAGAGGCATGTCTTCGGGAATGACGCCACGGATAGCATCCACGATCTCGAGAGTCAAACGAATGCGGTTCTCGAAGCTTCCGCCGTATTCGTCTGTGCGCGTGTTGCTGGTGGGGCTCAAGAAAGCGCACAGCAAATAGCCATGTGCGTTGTGAATTTCAATGACGTCAATGCCAGCTTTCAATGCTCTCTTCGCAGCTTCTACATATGCGACGACGAGCGCCTTGATCTGCGCCTGGGATAGCTCCTTAGGCACTGGGAAGGTGTCATTGAAAGGAACCGCGGAGGGCCCCCATACATCGTCTGGCCATCCGCCTACGCTCTCAGCCGCTGCCATACCCGAATGCAACCACGGCACAACGGTGGATGCTTTCCTGCCGGCGTGGCAAAGCTGAATGCCAACCTTTTGGTTTTGGGAATGGGCAAACTCGACTATCTTACGAAGGGGCTCGATTTGGCTATCTTTCCAGAGGCCTGAGTCATCAGGGCTGATGCGACCCTCTGGGACGACCGCTGTGGCTTCGATTATAGTAAGACCAGGACCTCGGGTGAAGATGCCACCCACTGGATACCATGAGTATTTCGATCGTGCTCGAGATTCATAGACGTACGGTGCGCCATATGCCAGGACGTGAGATGACCATCGTCTGCAGAATATTGACACAGTGGAGATAGCTACACGAGATTGGGATGAGACGTCAGGGGAACGCATCGATCAATATGATGAACTCACGAAGATACGGTTGTGGAATGTCGTCCCTCTTATCTTGATAGGCTGGAACAACTTTGGTATAGGACTTTCCATCAGGCTGGGGGTCAATGCTGTGCCTGCAGCAGGAACCTGCGCAGGGGTAAAATATGGGATGGCGGGTGCAGGCTTGTTTGCTGGAGGCTGCATATTGAGGGAGTGTGTAAGGAAACACTTTCGTGTCCTCCATGCTATATATACCAACTGGCGCTCAGCTAGTGTCTCAGGATGTCGCAATCTCACTGGATTATTCAGCGCTTAGTGAGATATACAGTAAGCTCTGATGGATTAGAATGATCATGCATATAAATAGGTGACAAAGTGATTGCTATGAACATATAAATATAAGATGGAACGTTGCATACCAGATACATCCTTCGACTACGTTCCTTTCGACCAGGTGGGATGCAAACAGAGACCATGGACTCATCGGGGATGACACTCCGCAAAGGAGTTCAAGCAGTTGAGAAAAATTGTAAGAACCAGCCCAAGAGTAGTCTGAATCGAGTTTCACGATCCACGAAGGATACGCGAGCCACGAAGTGAACTCAAGGACAAACGAGTGTCATCGCATATATCCCTCATACGCAAGGAGAGTAACGACATGGTAATGTAGTCACCTCCAGCCGCAAGCGGATATTCACGAAGCTGAGCGGAGACGCTCATTGGTAGGGTAGGCACCGTGGGAGGATACCTCGACTGCAGTCTGCATGTACCACCAAAACCCAGGGTGATTCCTGAGGGCGACGAATGTACATGACACCTAGTGATTTAGATGTAAGAGATGTACCACCAAAACTCAGGTTGATTCCTGAGGGCAACGAATGTACATGACATCTAGTGATTTAGATGCAAGGAATGTACCGCAGCAAAGGCCCGGAGACTTCGAGTATCACGGTCAGATTTCTCTACGTCCCTGAGCGCCATTGTGACAGGCGCACGCGCGATAGGACTGCTACACGATGGACACAAGTTTGCCCGATCCCCGCAACGCTTTCAAAGCCTCTCATTCTCGCCCTCCTCTGCCGTGACAGGATCTTGGGGATGTGAAAATGAAGCTGCTTTTCTGGTACGTCGCGCAGCTGATTACAGCCGGGCTCTGCTAGAGCCGATCGAGGGGGGGATTAAAATACTCAGACCTTAGCCCGCTCAGAAATGTGGATGCATGAAGCAACCTGTACGTGATGAGCATTCGTGGCCTTCGAGCTGGTTGAGGAAAAGAAGTGTTTGAAGTCCGCCTGGCTTATAACGTCAATGTTCAAACTCAGCGCTTAACTCGGGCGCTTCGTAGTTTTAGTAGTTTCGAGTCTGAGTCATCTCCTCTAGTCCCAGCGCTGATCCACACAGAATTTCATGACCACACTATCATGAAAACAGTCGAAACGTCAGAGCAAGCACTGATTCTGGCTGAATGTATGAGATACATTCGATGAAACCCACGACTGGTAAACATGCGCTCGATCAACCTGGTCGCATCGGTCATGCCTGGAGATTTCACTGCAAAGTATATTTTGCACGATTGAGGGTGCAGCGGCAGAAATGACGGGATACAAACGATTGCAGTTTTGTCAGGTGATGTCAATGCCAAATGGACGAATGCGCGGGTCCCACTGACGAAAACATGTCTTTTCCTGACTTCAAGGACGGTCCAAATACAACCAACATCACAGTTGTCAAAAAGATTGTGTCACAAGGAGCCGATTATTCCGGGCTCGCCATGGCCGCACGACCGCTCCAGCTTTATATCCTATGCATCTTCATTTGCGGCCACCAATTTTACCTCGGTCGGTAAGTCATCCCTTCCGACAACTATGACATCAACGACAGTCTTGACACCCTCGTCAATGTAGTCCTTCAGCTCACCACCCACATGACTACCTATCAGCTTGGATATGACAGGTCGGCTTGCTTGAGGGACATTCGTACTATCAGGTTGGATATCCTTTCTTGCTGGTCAGCATGGGTACAGATGGCGATACACATTTGAGGAAGACTGGGCCCTTCCATATGGTCTTCTTTGTCTTTACTAGGTCGCCGTACAGCCACATAGCGAGCTTTATTGGTTGCGAATAAGAAGATATCTGTTGTCTTGAGCACCCTATGGAGGTCGCAAACTCAGCAACGCGAATACAACAGGAGTGGCAAGATATGGCAAAGGAGAACCGAAGTGAATTTAGTCCACCATCTTGTTGATTGCGGCAATGCGATGGTCGCACGAAGTCCCTCTACATGTGGACGCTCAGGGCTGATGAGTCGGCGACATATCTATATGATAACCGACATTCAAATGGGGTATTCAAGATCATGGCGCTTTGAAGTGGATGGGACTTCATATGGACAGCGTGAATATCAAGAGAGGGTGCCACATGATTGAGGCACTGACACCGGATACGCACATGGTGTATTTTCGACAATGGGCCGCCGAGGCAAGTACTGCTAGATACGGAAGACCGAGAGCGATCTTCCAGAGAACTGCCTCCCAAAGCGCAGACCTATCATAACTCGCTTGGTTCGTAACGACGGCAATCGAAGTTGTTCCATAGTTTACAGGCGCAGCCGGGGTGGTTTGATGATAATATTGATGATGGCTCAAATGACTCACTGTGGGCACTGCTAGCGAATGACGCACACGCAGGGCTTACTTAGCGGCCCAACCTATTAATCTGCTGCTGGTATGAATTCAGCACGGGATAAAACTGATGTCGTAGTATGAAAATATTGCAATGTAATAATCCAGCGTACCAATCAGAGAGCTGCGTGAGAAAGAGATTCCGAGTGCACTGGACTTCTACAGCAAGTGCTTTGATCCCATATCGCCTAACCACCTTGTACTCGAAGATCTTCCGATGATGCTTACGGCCCCTGGTAGATCCGCCCGCTATTAAAAGCATCATTTCGAGCACAAGGATGCAAAGCCTGCGATCGGAGCAGGTCGGTGAATTTTTGGAATTGCGTTCTAGATCAAAAGGCTCCAGGTGCCCGACAAAGTTGCGCCGCATGGAAAGTGTATTAATTACGAGTAAGTCATGAGGATGCTTTGCAATGCATATCGTGGTCAAATTGATGAGTGGGCTCAGTTCTCCCGTGTGCACCCCGAACGTCACGTGCATGATGGTTGTCGTGTTGAGTCGATGATCATATCTACTGTAATCAAACCATAATCCATAGACAATTGTTGGGCGCTTCTGAGTTACAATTTTCAAATGCATTGCTTTTCACCTATTCAGTACTCGGTAAGTACTCAGTAGCCTTAGCAGTTCATCATAAATTTTACTCAGGATCACTAGCTTGGCTTGTCAACGGGCTTGATGATGCCACCACAGGAGTTTCATAAAGTTTCTTACCACCAACAAAAATCATTCGTAACAATGCGTTGCCAGCCAGTGTCCAGGCGGCCTCGTCCAAAACGTTGAGTACTCAACAGATTCTGACCCGCAGTGCGTGGGCAGCCCTCGATTATCGCATAAGTGACGTCGCTGTATGAACATAATCGGGCCTGGTAACGGCCAGACATAACGTGCGTGTCACGTTAGGTCTCCAAGCCGCAATACTTGAGATCATAGCATGAAGATTTCTCGTTACCTGGGGCGGTACTGGCTGGCTATGTGTGTGGTTCTTCATGGTGTGTTTTCAGTTGCACTGCTATTATTAATTACAACAAGTCTGAAAATGTATAGCCCTCATGCACATTCCGGGAAGGTTTGCCGTGTTAACGGGGGACAATGTCAGGGTCATCTACCAACTCTGTCTGATAGGCGAAACACTATGTTCTTTGCACTAATTATGGAACGTGGTAGGCAACGTTATTGATCATGATGGCGATCTGGAATACTGCCATGCTCACAGTCCGGTCAATCATATGCTATTGCTGATCAGTTATCAAAATGGAACTCTGGGCTCTCTAATTTCTATAGCAATGAATCACTTTATTGTGACGACGGCATGCAGCAATATTGATTTTGGAAGAGGGATTTTTGCAGGCAAGCTCTTATCGACATCTCGTAACCCCCTAGGATAGGACGAAAATACAGCACGTTCCGAGTCTTACACGACTCGATGCTATGGGTATCGCATGGTTAAGGTGGAGGCCACGACATATATAAAGTCTTTGCATTCATGATTGAAGCCTCACTTTCAGCTGATCTCATTCCTCACCCAATACCTTCAAATCTTCGAGATGTTCCCTTCCAAGACTCTCCTTTCTACTGTTCTTATTGCGCTGTCCGTTGTGGACGCGTCCCCCCTGCGCCGTGAATCTTCGTCAACCCTCGGCTTCACCGCTAGGGTGAACGCTAGGGTTGATACTCTCAATATCGCTGCCGCTGACAGGGCTCGTGCCCAGGCGATGCAGCAATTTGGTCACGCGAACAAGCGCGCTGGCAGCTCCTCGTTCAGCATCACTAATGCTGCCACTGTTTACACTGCCCAAGTTGGTGTCGGCAGCCCTGCAAATCAGTGTAAGACTTGTTGTCGGGTGGCCCCAGATATCTTCGACTAAATCAATTTCAGACACGCTCCTTATTGATACGGGCAGCTCCAACACCTGGGTGGGTGCAAATACCCCATACAAAACCACCAGCACTAGTGTAGATACTGGCAACTCTGTTGTACGTCTTTTCACGCCTTTTGCTAAAAAAAAGTTGCTCATAACAACTCTTTAGTCCGTCAATTATGGTTCCGGCAGCTTTTCAGGAGAGGAGTACTTGGACACAGTTACTCTCAGTTCTGGTTTAGTTATTACCGGACAATCTATCGGTGCCGCAAAGACCTCAACAGGCTTCACCAACTTCGATGGAATTCTTGGTGTCGGACCGGCTGACCTGACGCAGGGCACCGTTTCCAATGTTGATTCAGTCCCCACTGTCACCGACAATCTTTACAGCAAGGGTACCATTGGCACCGAAGCACTCGGAGTCTACTTTGCTCCTGGTGGCAGCGCTGGCGAGCTCACCTTTGGTGGCTCCGACAGCTCAAAGACGACGAGCTCAGTAAATTACGTCCCTCTCACAACCACGTCGCCTGCTAGCAGTTACTGGGGCATCGATCAATCGATCACCTACGGTACCTCCACCATTTTGTCCGCGACTGCTGGTATTGTCGACACTGGCACCACCCTCATTCTCATCGCTACTGGTATGTCAAATTAGTTATAAACAGGTCGCCCTAACTGACTGGAGAATACTAGATGCATTCCAAAAGTACCAATCTGCTACTGGTGCTACGGTGGATAACAACACCGGCCTCTTGATGATCACCTCTGCGCAGTATGCAAACCTGCAAACCCTGAACTTCAACATCGGTGGTGTTAACTATGGCCTCACCGCCAATGGCCAAATCTGGCCCCGTTCCCTTAACACCGACATCGGTGGTAGCAGCAATAACATCTACCTTGTCATTAATGATATTGGTAGCAACTCTGGTAGTGGTCTCGACTTCATCAACGGTTACTCATTCCTGTATGTATTCAAAGACCTTGTCTGGTATAAAGCTGATCACCTGCCCTACAGTCAACGCTTCTACTCTGTCTTCGACACCACTGAACACCGTGTCGGCTTCGCAACCACTTCGTCTACCTCTGCGACCTCCAACTAAAACAATCATTTATTAATCTGACGCTCATACAGCGAATATTTATATATATTCTCGGAATTCGATGGAAACGTTCGTTGTTTGGGATGATAGGGTGTTACTTGTAGGGTCTGTTTAGAACAGCGCGTCATTCTTTGAAATGCGTCCAAATCATTACTTTTCGTTCTTTACAAGACTGCTGATATATCAATTGTGTTTAATAAAAAATCTATCTATGTGGAAGCTTTACACTTATAGGCCATTCTATAAACTTGCAAGAAAAAATACTGGTGATATGGCATGTCGATGTGCCTGTATATAGCAAGAAAGTCATATTTAGTCACTGTATGACTTCGGCGTCATCTACAGCTTCCATCTTGACCCACATACCACCCTGTGAGGAGAACCCAATTAGGTGGCTGGAAAGCATATCAGAGGGACTCACATGGGCATAAAGTGTCAAGTGGTGTCTCGGCTTGAATCGCTCAATGGCCTGTCGACCGTCTTTCTCAGCCCACCACGCAGGTGGGCACATTGCAGGCTCGGGGGACAATGCAATTGCGGAAAAGTTTTGCAGCAAACGAATAAGCATGAACGACATTTGGTTGTAGGCAAACTAAGGTGCGAGACAGGGCATGAGACGGGTGGAGGTAATGAATAACTCCACGAACGACGTACATTTTGCCCCAAGCAAATCCTCGGTCCCGCGTTAAATGGAAGGAAGATATAGGGATTACGAAGCACATATTTCTGCATACGCTCGTCGAGCCATCTATCCGGATCAAACTCCAACGCTGGAACACGGAGTCCAATTGAATCAGTGAGTTATATCTAGTCAAGCGCCTTACCATCTGGTCCCCATAGATCTGTTCTCCTGTGCATAAGGAACACTGAATAGATGACCCTGAAATCATTCAAGCAGTCATACGATGAATCTAAACGATCAAATCAAACACGTACACGACTCCTCCTGGAACAAACAGTGGCTTCTTCCCAGGTTCGGGGGATGTCAATGTGGTGTCATGTACGGCTTCCCTGAAAGGTCGTAGCTCAAGTCTAGTATCTTTGAAGTAGCCCGGGAACATACCTCACATTAAAGGGGCTAGGCATTTATGGTAAGACGACGTCTGAAATCAAACTCAATCACTCACACAGCAGGGAAAAGGCGCATCGTTTCTAATACAGATGAGTGACATCCCCACGTCCGACAGGAAACAAAGATATGCACCATTGAGAACGGCCTGGATGTACTTCATCTCTTTGATATCCCCATATGTGGGCATGCGAGTCGGCCCAACCTTCGATATGATTTCCTCCCTGAGTCGAGAGAGAATCTCTGGATGCATCGCAAGTAAATAAATAGCCGAAGTCAATGTCGAGGCCGTCTAATATTGTTCGTCACCAATCAAGACAACTCGAAAGGTAATTGCAGGCTCACTGTATCTCTTCCTGCCAGTAATATGTTCAACGTCTCATCTTTGACGATTTTGAAGTCTGAAAAGAATATTTCAACAACAGAAATTCCCAGGTAACGTGCCATCTCACCTGAAGTCAGCTTCACTAGATGGTCCAAAAAGGTTTGGTCTTCCGCAGTTTCATCTGCATCTGATTTGGCAGCCGTGCTATGCCTCCTCAGAGCGGCTTCGAGGATCGGATCTAAAAATTTGTCGACCACTTTCATATGTTGCGCGGTGCTGTCGGCAAGAATCTCAGTCATCGGCCAGGCCGCCCCAATAATGACACGACGACTGATTGCGTGCTGAGCTTGAGAGAAGGCATTTGTGAAGGCTGCAGCATTGTCTCCTGGACGAGGCTTGCTATTTGTGGATTGTAGCGTGTTATCGGGGAAAGGAAGTTCGACGGAAAGTGAATCAATGCAATCTCCAAACAGGAACTCCGATGCAGAGTCGAGTGTAAATCGCGAGATGAGATCCTGCGGTAGTTTTTCAACAAAAGATATCAAAATGCCGACTTGAAGTCCTACTTGGAAATCAATTGCCAAGTCCATCCTGAAACGGTCCTTCGCCAAGGCGATAGCACGATTCGCATGACGGTCAAAGATCTCAAAGTGACTTATCCGATCATGAGTGAAGAAAGGTCGTGTCATGGTTCGGTGAAGCCTAAAAGCACGCCTAAGGTTTCCTATCAGGAACGATCTTCAGATGTATGGCTTACTTCCATGTTTCACCTCAATCGATCCATAAGTCGCAACATAAAAGGCTCTCTGATTCACGCTTACCATCCGAGTTGAATACCCCCGTTCCAAGGATGGAATCAGCTGCTTCTCTGAACTTTGCACCTGCATCGAGACATAAGTCATCACATGTGAATAGAGAGCATTTGGGCATACCTTTGACGTAGTTATGAAAATCAGTTACAAGAATTGTCTGTATGGAGCTTGGTTGTATCGTTATTAGATATAAATCGGAGCTTACCTTGACGTGTTGGGGCTCCGTGGTGACAATGTAGTCCTCCCATAAGCACCGATAATTCAAAGTCGGCCCGGAGTTCTCTCATCTCGTCCAGCACAGGTTGTCCTAGACAAAAGTCAAGCACGAACATGAATGCATGGAACAGAAACTGTACCAAGGTATTCGACCTCAAGCGTCAGGATTACGTTCACTAACTTGTCCAGATTTCCAGGCCATTTGCCCTGGATACGAGGAACAAGTCTGGCACCGAGTCGAGTGGCCTTTCGTCGCTGCGATATCTCATCCACGAAAACATAAGCTGCAAACCCCAGAGGCACTGCACCCAAAGTCATCGCCGACAAAAGCCATGGGGAGACTGAAAAGCCTTGCAGACAGGCCAGACGTCCTACAATAATAACGGAAGAAGCGGTCGGGAAAATGACAGAAAGCAAACCACGAGTGAGGTAGGCCACGCCAGGACTGACCCGAGATCGTGACATAGCTTTGATATTGCTAGTTGATGACCGGGATATAGCAGCAGTTCGAAGTACTTAAAGACGACACATAAAGTCAAACGGGGATGCCGCGTCCAGGTGATAGCTTAGTTACCAGTACTCCGGGTCTGCAACAAGTATAGTAGTACTTGGCTTTTTAAGTTTCCTATAAGAGCTTGCGTGACGAAGCCGCGAGCGCTCAGCGTAGTAATTCGTGGGAGGTGACTCGCGGCGACATCGATACTGTCCGTCCAGCGCACGAACGACGTCTTGGTAATCCAACCTATCCATGGTGCCAAGGCAATGAATTCGACAGGCAAGTGCGTCAAGCGAGGGAGACAGCACTGTGCTGCAACCCTGGTGCGAACCGCAGCATGACCACAGTAATCTGACAAGAACTCCGGCTTGAAGTTGGATATGACGGGGCTTCTGGATGTTCTTGTCAATATTTTAACCAATAGTAGAGTCTACACTGATACACTGTACAGCCAATATCGAAACCAAGGGAGAGGAACTTCAACTCCTTTTGGGTCCAGGAATCTTCCTCTGGGGAAATATCCGAGGGCATGGTAGCCAGAATGGCGGCATCTCGACCAGCCCTTCTACACGGTATGCACAGGCTTGTGCATACGCGATAATTGCGTTTGCGAGGATGCCGCTATTAGGATCGATGCATAGTTCCGAATGACGAGACATCCGTTATAAGATCACAGTATCACTCTGATGCCAAAAAGATTGCCTCAGACAACGGAAATGAAGCGGCAATCTGCTTTAATTTCAGTGGCATCGATAACAACCCAAGCCACGCGTTGCCTAGCTGCTATCATGAATTTGGCGAGTAACCACACCATCGGATTCGTAGCTGAGCTTGATTGGTTTGAGAAGGACAACATATTTGCGATTTAGAGTCTAGACACAGATACAAAGATCAAAGGTTGGATTGTCGACGAATAGGCCTTCCCAAGATAGCCTCTCGGATTCGCATATCAGTTGCTCGTAACCTGATCCTTCGCAGGCAGGTCCCGACTCTTCACAAGCCGACCAGTGGTCAGCTGGTCACTGCAACTTCAGATAATTTTGCATCGGCTCTTCGCGATGACACCGACACTGACTGGTCGTCCACGTCCTTGTCCACGGCTGTTGTTATCCGGTTTGAAATCCATATAGTATACGGCCGAAGAATAAGTAGTTGTCGATTCCAGTGTTGACTCGCATGTTTCGACTAGAAACACCCAGCTGATGGTCAAAAACATTTGAAAATAGATGTGTGAATGATCGCGGAACCTACGATATGCACTATCACGATAGCTATGAGAAGTCCTAGTCAACGTTTGGTATCTCCCACACGTCCGATTGAGATACTATGAAAGGCCTAGATGTCGATATGGGCCCATCATGATGGACAAAGCCTTTCACTGACAGCCCTAGGAAAGCAGGACCCTGCGGCACCGCCGGCACCAGAACTTCTTTTCCACGATTCATCAACGGCTAAGATGACATTGAGAGCAGTGGAGTCCGTAGCGTTGAACACCCTTGTGCCCGCGATGTGGAAGACCCTTAGACCGAGCCTCACGACACTGCCCATGCTTTCACCTTCCGTCCCAGGAAGTAAATTGACTTGCGTAACCACTGGTACGGTGCCGGGTTCCGAGCTATCCTTGAATCATGGGGATCCGTGACGCTATCTGTCATACATTCGACCGAACAACCACGGTCAGCGCTAGCCCCGGATGGGCAAGCAGAAGCGAGTATCAGGTACCCTGCGTTGTCAGCAGTGACTTCAAAAAGCTTCAAGTCCCACGAAATGTGAGTCCTCGTGCCAACCACGGGGTACTATTCGGAATCATACTTCCTCTAGCCTTTTCGTCGCGGCTGCCCACACTTTCAAACGGACAACCGAACTATCCGAATCATTCCCAGACTATGCTTATTCGTTGGCCTGCCGTATTTCCAGGGATGACCGCGGCAACATGTGCTCACACCAATGAGTGGCGTATGACAGTGACATGCATGCGTGTTCTTTCCACAATTTTGTCTCCCAGTGTCGTATCTTCCTGCATGATGTTGGCTGGCAGGGACGAGATTAAATTGCGTCTCCGTTCAAATGTCTCCGTCCCAGATTTAATTGTGCGCATCTTGCCAGACGCGGCGGCTGATGCGACGGCGGGCGTTTGATTCAGGGTTCGTCGCTCGCATCGGCACGGACGTTAACGTTCTCCTCACCTAGGGATTCCAATCATCTGACACATGAATAAGTAGTAAGATACGTTTCGGTTTCCTGTACGACCAGAAACCGACTCGGATGCCTTGAAACCCGAAGGAGCCAGCTAGATTTGATGGTCTCCCGTCCGACACATAACCGACAGCGAAGCGTATCCACATCAATTTTTCGATCATGTTTCTGACAGACCATAGATATATCGACCTTGATATTGATGGATCCCATTGGTCTGCTCAGCCCTTTGCCTGCGATGAAGCGACATCTGTCTTTAAATTGTAATTACGAAATACATATGTACTGTGCGGGCATTTCATGGATCATAACATCAAAACGCACGAATCTATACATGAGTGGCACTATTAAATGGCCCACTACTGCTTGAGCGATCAATCATTAGTTATGGAGAAGAACGGCAAAAAAAGAGTGTGGGTGTCGAAAGTCGGAAAGAGTAAACACGTCAGATGGCCTGAACCACAGAAAATCAAACCAAGAGCAACCGACGAAACAGGCACGAGGTATCCAGATCCAATGCCATGCGTATATATGTACGTGATGGTGACATGAAATGAGTAGGAATAGGCAAAGAGAGGGATGACACCACATGCGAGACGGCGGGCCTTGATAATATCTATTAGATTACAGGTGACATCGTTCCATGCGTTTTGCTTTGCTGCGGCTGATCTCGAAACACTCGTTCCCTTTCTACAACTCACAAAGTCTATGCAGCAGCGGTGCGACTGGGATTGCGAGCGAGTGTCGCACCCGTACGTTGTGCTTGAATACTGCTGAAGCGTTGAAGCTCCTCGGGCTTCATCGTAATCTTGGATCCGAAGCCGACTTTGCGAGCAGCACGGCGGATGAACGACACACGGTTCGAGTATAACGACTCGTGGATCGAAGCAGCGCGAGATTGGGTGCGAGTGATGGGGACACCAGTGATGGCCTGTGCCGCTTGTGCCGCCTCGTGGCGTTGGCGAAGCTTCTTGATAACAGTGGCCTTCATTGCGAATTTGATCCAGTCGAGAGGGGCAAACCAAACGATGTTCTAGGGATTCATGAGTGAGCAAAGGCACAGAAAAAGGCTCGACAGATATACGTACCCAAACCCACACAATACCAATCCATCCACCTGAAATCGCCTGGATCTGCGTGAAGCCGAAATTGGCGTAGGCGGCGATAATCGAAGACACGAGCTGCGCAACGCAGAATGCTCCGAAGAGAGCAACAGAAGGGCGCTCCATGAAGAAGAAACCGTGCGAACGGGTGACGAAGATCAACGCTTGCGAGATGATAGCAACTTGGAGGTAGACGATCATGTGGAGCTGATAATCATTGGAACCAGAAGGAGATGGATTCCCATTGAAGGTGACACCGAATTTGTCATAGAAGAACGTAGTCTCCAGGATGATGGTGACCAGAGCCACACTACAGGATATCATTTAGTTCGACACCGATGTGAAAAAAAGTATTACTTACGTCGAGGCAGTCAAATAGATACCATAAGCGACGGCATACGCGAAGATCTCAGCGAGGTCCCAAGAATCAGGTGTCATTGAGGGCAAAACACGGTCAACTGAGAGTGTCATGATAGTACCGTCGTTCAGCAGGGCAATGATCAGGACCATGAAGGGAGGGAAGTCGAACTTGAATGCGAAGGCAAGGATCGCGAAGCATACGACAATACGAATGGTGACAGCGCAAGCGTATATGGAGTAGTTGCGCATACGTTGGAAGATGACACGCGAACCGCGAATAGCGTGGACGATGGTGGAAAGACCGGGTTCGGTCAGCACAATATCAGCAGCACCACGAGCAGCGTCTGTGGCACCCTCAACAGCAATACCAACATTGGCACGGGAAAGAGCGGGAGCGTCGTTGGCACCATCACCAGTCATGGCACACAGGTGGCCAAGACCCTGGAGACGCTTGACGATCTCATATTTGTGCTCAGGGAACACACCAGCGAAACCATCGGCATCCAAAATCATCTCATCAAGTGACAGGTGTTTGCCACCAGGAGCGGGGCCGTCCTTGAGAACCTTGGCGGGATACATGTGGTCACCGAGACCAAGACGACGACCAGTCTCCTTCGCAATTGCAAGCTGGTCACCGGTAACCATCTTCACCTTCACGCCGAGAGCAAGAGCATCATCGATGGTCTGCTTGGTGTCTTCACGAGGGGGATCGAAGATGGCAAGAAGGCCAATGAGCTCGAGACCGTTACCTTCACCTTCTGGGTCTTGGCCGTCGAGCTCCTCGTATGCAACAGCGAGGGCACGAAGACCACGCGTAGCGAATTCCTCGACATCAGCTTCAAGTCTATTCTCAAGCTCCTCGGTCTTGTTGCGCGAGCAAAGTTCGATGATGATACCAGTCATACCCTTGGTAACGCGCTTCAACATGCCGGACGACTCCTCACGGTAAGTGATCTCCGTGCGTTTGTCAACGGGGTTGAAGGGCTTGAAGTCGAGGAGTTTAATTCCAGCACGAGCACGTGAAACATCACCGAGAGCCTGAACAACAGCTGAATCAATGGCATCCTGGTTCTCGGTACGAGAAGCGTAGGCAGCAAGGAGCATGACATCATCGGCAGAGAAGGGGCCGTATGTGCGAATGGTGGCCCTATCGATGGTAAGTTTGTTGGTGGTCAACGTACCCGTCTTGTCGGAGCAAAGGATGGTAACACCGGCCAACTCTTCGATGGCGGTGATACGGGTAACAATGGCTTTGTGCTTAGCCAATTGTTGGGCACCCACAGCAAGAGTGACGGATAAGACAGTTGGCATGGCAATGGGGATACCACCGATCAAGAGCACCAATATATTGTTGAGACCACGACGGTAGCTGTAGCGGAAGCCCGCATAGAGTACGAGAATCTCTGCGATCACAAAGATGCCGATCGATACCAAGCAGAACGAGCCAATCTGGGCAAGAATCTTCTGCAAATGACCCGTAGTGTCATCGTCTTGGCCCACGAGAGAAGCAGCCCGTCCGAAGAAAGTGTTGGCGCCAGTGGAAATTACGACACCTTCCGCCTCACCCTGCTTACACGTCGAACCCCTGGGAGTAGATTGTAGAGTTTAATGCCAAGCACTGCAGTAAACCAAAGATGACGTACGAGAAGCACTGATCACCCAACTTCTTGCTCTGAGGAAGAGACTCGCCCGTAAGGGCAGCCTGGTCGATGGAGACGTTGATGGCTTCCGTCAAACGACAGTCTGCGGGAACAATGTCACCGATCTTGAAAGAGATCATATCACCGGGAACGAGTCCTGAAGATTCGATTTCCAACCAGGAGCCGTTACGTCTGACTTTTGCTTTGGGAGCGAGGGAATCCATAAGTGCCTTGACGGCATTACCAGCGTTACGCTCTTCGTAGAAACCGATGGCGGAGTTGATGAAAAGGAGAAGAACGATACCGATGAAATCCTCCCAGTCTGGTGGTTGATCATTACCGTTTGATAATACAATGGCAACAAGTGCAGCTCCCTCCATGACCCAGGATAAGGGATTCCACATGAAACTCAAGAACTATGGAAGAGGTAAATGGAAGCGCTGCAGGAGTGTGCAGCATAACATGCCTGTAAGAACGCATTTTGTTCTTCCTGCTCAAGCTTGTTGGGACCGAAGAGTTCGATACGACGCTGTGCCTCTTCATCATTGAGACCATCCTCGCTACATTGAAGGAGCTTGAAGACATCCTCAATAACGATGGTCTCGAGGTCGACCTTTTCTTTATCGTAGAGGTCTTCCGCTTTCAACTCAATCTAACGACCAGGTAAGAAAGTAATATTAAGTGCAAGCACGGCGACTACTCACCAATGCCATGTCGACATTTGCATCTGGGGTAGAAATGGGCTCACATAAGATCAGGGAGCACGGCCAGAGGGTAAAGACCTACGAGTTGGTTTCTCTTCGTCATGGCCGAATTCCTTGTACTCTCTTTTCTTCTTTTCTTCTGGAGAGGGTGAGCGGACAACAGGCGACTCTTCGCCTTGTGGACCGGGCTCCTTGGCCACGTTTGACGCGGACATGGAAAACGATGGAGAGGGGGGAGGAGGGGAAAGCCCTACAGAAAATATCTATAGTGTCTTGGGCACTTTTGGAACGAGAATTGACGGGTGTGTCAAGGAGGGCGAGGATGAAGGAGTGGGAGAGTGTCAGCCCCGTCGATGAACGGACTTTATATATTTGGGAGGAAAAATCAGAGTTGATCGAACGACCAAAATAAAACCAAATACGGAGGTTCCAACCTAATTTAGTCAGAATCGTAATGATTATTTTGAGATTCACAAATCTCGGCAACTGTCGTGCTGACACAGGCTAACACTGCCGTTCCGTATCCTTCCTTGTCCCGAACCGTGGATATCGAGGGTTCAAGCTAACTCCTGAACTCCTCACAGAGACCCTGCAGTCCTGCGTTCTATCACCGTACAGTAGTCGTTTTGAAGATGCCAAGACTCTGGGCCCCGTCGTTGCCGTATCACATAACGTTAATTTGTGGACCAAGCCCAACTTCTTACGATGCCAACCAATTATCCTGTTCTACTTCGAAGCGCCAAGTTTGCACTACGTGTAATAGTCTTGGACTCTTGGCTGCGAACAAGTTTCGGTTCACGACCCAGTGGCATAAGGCAACGTGTTCGCTATAAGTACGGTCGCAATCTGAGAGCAACAATCAGAGCCGACAAGGCAGCTTTTGAAGCCAGTATTAATTACCTGGTGCGTATTTAAGTTAACCTCATCAACCCCTCGCAACGCCTTCTTTTGACGAGAACAGAACATGATCGTGATGTCGACCAAACCAAATCATAGAGATTGATCCATGGTCAACCTCATAATGAAATGACGAGTGGACTTGTTGCACTATTCTGCCAAAAGTGTGCAATTTGCCCTTGGACTACACCTCAACCGCAACAGGAGCTCGTCGATCATCGATCGCGACAGAAAATGTTCACGCAGGACTGTCGGCAATCTTGATTGTCCCATTTCGGAATGTAAACATGAGAGTAACTTTTAGCTCCCCCAATGCCGATCGGTCCGACTCCTCAGAATATGAGCCCTTTTTGCTGGACGTTGCGGTAAGGCTGGCGCCGCTGCATTGGTACAGGGAACTCCGCAGCCCAACGTGATGGGCGCCGACTGCAAGGTACGAAAGGGGGGTTCCAGCACTGTGTAGCTATCTTGCTTATCCGAATGCCCCTCAACCTATTCTATCTTCTAGTACATAGTTGGACCTAGGTTACACGATATTATAAAGCTTTTTCACCTCTTGTTTGTCTTTCCGATGCCGATCGGACCGACGATATTGAGTTGTTTTTGCTGTGGGTTGCGGATCCAGTTATGGTGGTAATCCGTATTATGTGGTACAATATTACTGCTACATTTGTTTGTTTCAGTGTTTCAGCGGAAAGTTTGAACTATGTTTGCTTCCGCAACATTGTAACCTCATTCACATCCATTTCCGTAAGTCATTTTCCCTAGATCTTGTCCTTATTAAAGCCACCTGCCGCATTCCGCACAAGGGGAACTTTGAAGTCACACAGTGTGGCATTCAGCCTAGCCGTCTATCGGCCGTCAGCTGCAGTAAGTGGTTCAAAGGTCGATCGTGCATGAAACCCGCGGCCTCCAAAATTTTAATAACTCTTTAGACTGCTAATTTAAGAGTTCAGCCTATCATTAATCAGGCTTACTTCCATGTTCAGGAGACCCATCCCAATTGTTTGCAGCTGTTCTTCGGCGTTAATAAAGATATGGGGCAATATTATTATTCACCGGCATCCGGGGAGCCGTCTGCAACTCTGCTGCCGTTCGGACATGAGTTTGGCGAACGTGGATGCCCTAACCAAATACTAATACATACTGTAAACTCGTGCTGTAGCCGATTTGAAGCGTAGGAAATCCACTCCCGACATCAACAACTCGGTTGAGTTCTCTATCCCCGCCCTCACTGCATTGCCCCAAGACTCACACAGGTATACATCAAACACAATCAGTATGCTCTGCTTCATATCAGATACTACGACAGCGACGGTGACGGAGGGAACTTTCCGGGCGTCGTTCACAGAACTAGGCCAGTGGTCAAAAATAAAACGCTGTTTGGTTTGCAATGTCCGATCAGATGCCGCGAATTTCTAGGTATGTGACTCTTGTGGAGCAACTTGAACCCTTTTGATCTTTTGATCTTCAGGAGTTCATGGGCTGATCACTTGCCCGCTTATGATGTCTTTTTTCTGGACTAGCCTAGCGTCCTGCAATCATAACTGTAATATGGGTCGACATATCAAAAAAAAAAATGGTCACACGACTAAGGTTTTTCCTGTGCTTTGTGCTCATGATCGCACCAAAACAATTGTACATTTGATCACACAAGTAACGACATCCATCAAACGCGCAGTCCCTTTCAAGTTCCCTTGATCTTGTTCGAACCTTGGTTCAAACTTCAGGGCTGTGGAAGAAGACCATATATGGACTGAGCGTGAACCGGTCCGCAGTTTGAGTACACCCGGTTTCATAACTTGATGCAGTATGTAGTAAGTCCTTCCATGTTTAGAGCTTAGCTGAAGTTGATACCGGCGAGCAAAGTGTGGAACAGTTTCGTCATCGCTTTATCGCGGGGAAGCACAGTGCTAGACTCCGGCGGAATCACTGTACCGGGTGCCAGCACTTAGGAACTCTTACCAGTGGGTAACGGTGGCCTAGACGAGCCGGTTACACCAGTTGTTAGGCATCGGCCGAAGTCGGGCACTCTGGTGGCGCCTTATGGTTGGCAGCGGTACTGGTTCCACTGCCCTAGGGCACGTAGACATTTGCCAGTGGCTACACGTCCTTTAGAGTTGGTCCCTAAACCGAGCGCGCGGGCGCAAATAAATGATCATAATGCACAACCGCCATGAAAGGAAACGAGGAAGATATTCTAGACCTCAAGTGAGTCCGAGTCCGGTATTCGGATGCTGCTAAGAAACCTCTCATTAGATCCCAACTGATGAAATTGCATCATGTTAAGAACTGTATGTAATGTTCAGCGCTTTCAGTTTTAAGTAAGAGCTAATTATAATATTAGTGCCTGGCACGAATAGTCATGCAGGGTGGGGGCCTTAACTAGCCTGAAGTATGCGGGGTAATCAGGTTGCACCAACACCTCACGGCACTCAGAACCCTTTGGTTCCTCACCCAACCTAAATGTGCAATATTGTTAGACCCGGAACTCTCAAGTCAAGTGTCTTCAACAGCCATAAGCGCCCGGTAATGCCGATGTAGGCCCACCTTGAGCCCCGCCACCAGCGCTTATCTTGACAGACACGAGAATCTTTGATGAACCAACCATGTATTCATAGCCACGAGGAGGTGGGCCTTAGTTTTTTATATGCCAGGATACCCCTGCGCACAATACGTTTTGACACATCGCCACGGAGAGATAACCCTTGACGGTGACCTTTCTATGTGTGGTTGAGAGGTTGCATCATCGATCGCCACTATTAAGGGTCGTGATGCTGGTTTCCAGTATATTGATTAAATTCATATAGTCTATCTACCTTACATGGCCGATCAAGCTGCATGCGCTTGCATGCAGGAGCTCAGGTATGTAAGTGCGTTTAGACCAGGGTTTTTGGTTTTCTCGCTCATCCGTCTACGAAGGCGTATTGCTATCGGCGGACACTGTCGCTGGACTCAATTTTACTCAATATCTGGTCGACATGATGGCGAATACGACTGCTACGGTGCTACCCGTGAATGTTCAGCTGGTCTATCAACAGTGACAGATGTCCGATGTCGAATGCTTCTAATGCGACAGCGATCAGCTACTCAGGGTACATCTCCGTCTCGAGAGCTTTCGAGGGTCCAAATTTTCGCAAGATTCCAGCGCATGGCTACTACCGAATTATGCACTATTTTCGCAGCACCCCTTTGGAGCACTGTGCAGGCTTGATGACATCATGTCTGCGATAACTGATGGGTCACCAGCACTTGCTAGTTATTTACTCTCACCCTCCCCAATTCTCGTCGGATTAATCCAGCACGGCCGGCTGAAGCTGTATTTCCATGCACACTTCCCCTCTCTTGTCGTCCTTTCGGACAATAACTCCTGGTGCCTGGATTAATCGACTACACTCATGCGTCAATCGCGTCTGCGACCTCCATGGGATCCTTGGGTAGTTGTCACCTATATCCTGGCTGCAGCCAACATTGTGACCTAAACCTTCAAGCTGACAATGATCGTCGAATGGCTGCAAATATCTGCGAAATGTGATATTCAAGTTGATCGCTTATACACCTGACACTCAGGCCCAGTGAAAACCTACAGTTGGCGGAGCGTGAGATAACGTGAGCCGTGGTGATCACCACCAGTCACGATCTCCACTGTAGAAAATGAGCGAATATCAACACAGGCCACAGAAATCTGAGGTGGGAGATCGTGGCAGGCCGTGGTGGATGGTGGTCACGTTTGCTCACGCCAGACCACGTCAGACTACGACTTATTGCATATGCTTAAAACGTGGGAGGACGTGGTACAGCGTGGTCTGTGGTAGGATACAAAACGATGCAATTGATCCAATGTGCGGACATACAGAATGGTAGTAGGATATAATGCAATAATGTACAATCCAACAGGGTGCAGAACAGCATGGTATGTGCGGGATACTGGCAGCGAGAAAATGCGAGCGCCGAGAGCAAATGAGAATATGCAAGTGATAGCGAGAGCGAGAGCAAATGAAAACCATGCCATGCAAGCAACAGCAAACGAAAATACTGTGCGATGATGCGAGTGCCGAGAACAAACGAGAATGTGCAAGTGAGAGTGAGAGCAGACAAAAACCATGACATGCAAGCGACAGCAAATGAAAATACAGTGCGATGATCCGAATGAGAGCGAGACGAGAGCAGGGGAGTTATGTGCTGGGACCGTTAGCTGCGAATTCGGCAGCGTTTGCCTTAGCCTACAGTCAAATAAGATTATGATATCATCGAAGAAAGAAAGACTTACAGTGTCGGCAAGCTTCGAGCGAGTGACATAGGGCTCTCTCTGTTAGGGAGTGAGGCCATTCCAGTGTGCTGTGAACTCTGCGACAGTGCCCGTCTTGCGTTGGGCTTGCCATTCGATACCACAGAGATTTCGTGCTGTTGTCGATCCCGAACTTGGCTTGAAAAGGTTGTTTGGGTTTGTCGGACCTCTCTTTTTCTTGCCAGACTGGACGGGAACTTCTCCCGCCAGTGTAGACGTAGCAGCCTGAGTGGACGGTGAAATGCCCGGAGGCACACCCTCGAGCGAAGCATTGCTCAGCGCTGCTGCAAGAAATGTGAGTGTCGAGGAGCCTGGTAGTGGGGCAGAATCAGAGGATGGTGAGGTAGCCTGAGATTCACCAGAGGATGGAGGCACAGAGTCCGAGCTGGAGTCAGTACTAACTTGGATGTGTATAGGCTGCGATCTTGGAAGCATGAGGTCTACAGAAGTATGGGGAGACACTGGTGGCGTGTCACTGGCAGCGTCTCGTGTGCTAGTAGTCGTATTGTTGAACATGCTAAGAAACTAACCAAAATCTTCGTGAGTCTCATGTCCTAAAATATATTGTTGCGACTTACCTGTAAAGCTGGTCGCGAAGCTGGAACAGGCTTCATAGTAGGCCCGGGAGTTGGAGCAGAAGTATTCTCCATAGTTCTGGCGTCTGATACCTTCTGTTTCTTGACATGCTCGCTTTGTATTGTCAGGGATGTCGGACGCTTTGATGAAGAAGTCGCCAGTGTGAGAGAAGGCTCGTGTCCCCTTTGTATTGGGACCTCGGAACTCTCCATGTCGTCTCCATGTCCCATAAGGTACGTCGTGCAACTGGCTCTTGCAGAATCGCTCACAGTCGCATTGATATGTCTTGGTGTCGCGTCCAGAGGAGTGTGGAGTCTTGGGTGCCTTGGGCATAGTGTATCGACGAAGGTATGTCTTGCTGACACGACACACTGACAGAACACAGGTCACAGATAGGTTTTGTGACCTGCGCTTTGCCTGTGTTTCGTGTGTTACAGTAAAACGAGCAAAATGCGATAAAGGCGATAAACGAGTTTGTGAAAAATGAAAAAGTCACATGACATGCAACTCAAACTCGATAAAGGCTACATTCCTATTTTGAGTGGGCAGATTTCACGTTCTGTCACGGTCTGTCGCGTCTGTCCAGGTTTCTCGAATTTGCCTCACGTCTGACCACCATCAGCCACGCTCAGTCAACTGCAGGTTTTCACTGGGACTCAGGGTCCGAGATAAGCTGCTCGAATTAGGGGACATATTTGAAATCAATCCCGCGATATTCATAAATGTGTCTTGGGATATGTATCACTGATCAGCTGTCCGTGGAACTTTCCTCGCCGTGTCTCGGGCGTTACGAACAGCTTGTGATCATGCCGACCGATATGCTCGCACAGGAACAGCAATTGGTCACTCGCATAAGAATGTCACCTCCATCCGCTCAGAGAGCTCTGATAATTACTGCGACGAAGGGGGATGTAATTTCTCCAGACCAATTCAGCCCGGCACTGCGAGACCACTGATAATATCAGCAGTGTTAATGTGACATCAATGACACCTAGGTCCTAGGGGCCAGAGGGACCTGAAGTCGAGTCTGTGACAGGTTGGCAGAGCAGCGCATAACTTAGCATAATAACAAGTAGTATGCACATACTGAGGGGCATGTCAACTTGCGTAGACAAACCCAGGAAGATAGTCGTTCCTTCAACTTGCTCCTCCTTCAATGGGCCTGGCCATGGTTTTCGACACCCAGAACAATAATTGTTTATGCCTACAACCCCATGGTTGTGCCAGTTGTCAATTAGCGGATTTAAAGGGGACTAGTAGTAACTTGCGAGCGAAGCCTATGGCACGCAATTATTTCCATGAGCAGAATCTGCATACATATATATTGACCATGGTTCTTCCATACCCTAGCAAATTAAGAACTGTCCCCCAAAGGTGCTCCTCGATTGTGCAGCAGTGCTAACTTCTGCATTATCGTGATCCAACAAACACGCTACCAATATCAACACGGATGGATACCTGTTCCGAAAGCTAGCAGTCTCCATCTTCATCGAGTCTTCTTGCTGCGCAGACCGACATTCGTGGCGATGGTAATGGGACTTACATTTGGATGAGACGAGGATGTGGTGAAGCCTAAGGACGGGAAAGAACGGGAATTTCTAGACATCTCATCTATAGCTTGAGGGGTCGATTCGAAGCTAGAAAAACACTATGAAAGAAAGCATACCCCAGATACTTTGAGCATCCGCAGTGGTCGTCGAATTTAGACCGTCGGCAAGAACATAACATTCATTTGTCACACATGGACCATGAAAATGAACGCGGATCTGAAGGTGGATAGTACTTACCTCCTTGTCCTGCTTCCAGAGTAAAACAAGACTATTCTGGTCTTTCTTGACGAAAGGTCTATGTTATCATGATATTCACAGACTAGTGGACATCGGGGATGGGAGCGGGCGTGGATACTTCTTTTCTCATGGCATTAACCAGACTAGGATGATAAATAATGCACTAGTGCTGGCAGAGCCTGCCGCAGAGGAACACTTGATTATAAGCATAATCACGGATGATCATACTATAGCCGGTTTAACAGTGTGAACGTCCCTATGGTACACAATGACGTAATGATAAATCTTTCATATGTCAGCCGGTTGTTCCGGGCACGACGTGGTTTATAATTTCTCATTACTCAGGGCATTCTCAGACTCTCAGTTGATTCTTTTCATTCGTTTTCGCTTACTGCAGTCACCTCCCATAGCTTCAGATAGCCTCCCATCCGAACCGCAGAATTGAAAGCCGTAGATCCTTGGAGACTTGATATTATTTGTGTGAGAGACCGTAAGTCCTTCGATGATTGGCGGGCTGGCGGAAATGGCACCATATGTGGATGCACTTGTTTTCGTTCTCGATCCATTTGTACCATAGGTTGCAAATCTCGATGCAGTTGTGTTGAGGACTTTATACTGTGCATATGCTAAAGACAACGTGGTTATAGAACGTGTTCACTCGGTGTACATACAGCCAACGTGTCAAATATGGCACCTGAATTAACATTCACGACGCTCGAAGAAATCGACGAGGTGCGAGGCTTGGAATCCACATTGCTGTCTTGTAGCTCACGGAACGCGCTCTAGATTTACTCCACTCTCAACAAGACCTTCCGGTCAGGCAAAACTAAACCCATTGCATTCAGAAAGGTCCAGATCCTGCAACTAGGTTACCTTCTGCAGGACAACATTGAACGTTTCAGGGAGGCCTTGGCCATTGACCTTGGGAGACCTCCGCTAGAAGCTTCATTGTAAGCACTGCTTTGGTTACCGTGCATGAAACTCACTTAAGTGCACCCCAGCCTCGAGCTCGACTCAACTATAAGTGACTGTAAGATCGCTTATGACCGGGTGGACAAGTGGGCTCGAACAGAAAAGGCACCTTTCAATATCAAATTTGCTGCTTTCCGTCCAGCTATTCGCAAGGAACCAAAGGGTGTCGTGTTGTCCATTAGCCCATTCAACTACCCCATATGGCTTGCTCTCGGTCCTATCGTATGTTCATTTTCGTCTTTTATAGCGCTCACTTCCATTTCATTGTTTCTCTTCCAAGATTGGAGCAATTGCCGCCGGCAACTGTGTCGTTCTCAAACCGTCTGAACTGTGCCCCGCCATAAGTGGCCTCATCGCGGAACTAATTCCAAAGTATTTGGACAATGATGTCGTTCGAGTCGTGTTGGGTGCTGTTCCGGAGACCAGCAAGGTGTGTTATTCATTTCTGTTAGGTATGGACTGCATACTCATTAGGTCATCTAGCTCATGGAATACCAATGGGGCCACGGTATGTGCAATTTACTGTTTTTGTTGTCGAAATTATGATGCGAGACAACTAGTCCTGTACACCGGGAGCGGGCGAGTAGCAAAGCTTATAGGCGTAGCTGCTGCGAAGACTCTTTCCCCTATCAGTCTTGAGGTAAATCCATGCTTTCAGTGTGATGTGCTGGCGCCAATATCTTCCTAGCTCGGAGGGAAGTCCCCTGTTGTTATCGACCCTAAATGTGACTTCAAGATTGCTGCACGCCGTATCCTGTGGGGCAAGTGCGCTAATGCGGGTCAGACCTGCGTCGCACCAGACTATGTTCTTGTCCCGCACTCTTCAGAAGACGCGTTCGTAAAGGCCCTCAAAGATGCGTGCGTACTTCATCACACCCTTATATACGTCATGCTCAATATGTATCCTACTGTGCCCGCAGACACGATGAGTTCTATCCTTCTGGTGCTACCACCACTCCGGATATTTCTCGTATCATCAATCCTGCGCACTTCCATCGTCTTAAGAAATTGCTCGACAGCACTTCCGGCACCATCGCCTTTGGCGGGCAGACCGATGAGTCACAAAAATTTATAGCCCCTACCGTGGTCAAGGGTGTCAAAGATGAAGATTCACTAATGAGCGAGTGCGTATATATCTGTCTGTCGGAGTATTTCCAAGCAACGTTTGACTGGTTGCAAAGAGAGCTATTCGGGCCGATCCTGCCTATCATGCCTGTGGATGATGTCGATGCAGCAATTGCATACATCAATGCTCAGTGAGTTATGCTTCTATTTACATGTTAACATCAGACTGAATTCTCCCAGCGATCATCCGCTCGCTTTGTACTGTTTCTCGCCAGATGCAGCCTTCAAAAACAAGGGTGCGTTTTACTTTCGATTGTCTATCAAGTCATCGTCGTTGACATTCTTGGTCAGTGTTTGACAATACTCAAAGTGGCTCAGCCATTGCCAATGATGTGATGATACACTGCGCTAGTATGTCTCACGATGTTTCCAATGAGGATAGCCCACTGATAGTGCTATAGCTGATGGATTGCCATTCGGGGGTATTGGCCCCAGCGGATGTCAGTTCATCCTTCTCTCAATCAAGTTATCACTAATCACATCTAATTAGCTGGGTATCACACACGAACTTTCTCCTTCGACATGTTCACGCACCTACGCGCCACTCTTGACTCCCCCGGATGGTTCGTCCTTTTCTTCTAATTTCGTCCGCCCGCTCACTTCGTGACATCTTATAGGATTGACAATATCATAGGAGGAAGGTTTCCCCCTTATAGCGTAAGTTTTGATGGTTTATATTCCTCGGCACTCCCCTCACGATAAGTTCCAGCCCGGGAAATTAGCTTCCCTCAAACGTTTCCGCGTAAAACTCCCGCCCCGTCCCATTTCAGCAAATGGCCACGTACGTATTTGCAATATTTGGCACTTGGAGCTTGGCTTATTGAACAGGCCCTTTAAGGGGTTAATCGAACGGAGGCGCAACACCAAATGGCTCTTCCTATTGGTCAGTCTGGCAGTTGTCAGCGTTGGTTACACACGTACTGCAGATGTTGGTGAGTGGGTGAGGTGGTTGAAGGGGTTGATCAAGGTATAGGCTTATTTTCTAATTTATTCCTGTCTGTTTGTGTTTGGGAAGGGCTACTCATCGTTATGCACATTTTTTCTACTCTTTCTTCCTTTTGTAATGGATAGTTATTAGGCGTCTCTTGCTATTAATCTTGTTCATCTGATAAGGTCCATGAGGATCAAATTAACCATCCGTTTTACTTGTTGAAAGCTTGCCAGCCACTATTTTGGAGACAAATTCCTCATACATCCCTGTCCAAGCTGGACCATCTCTGCTGTAAAGAAATCAATGGTCTCGTCTTTCTCAGATGCACACTTTCAAATGACTCTTTAGGTGTTGGCTCAAAAAATTGGATCTATACAACATGATCTGTAGCATAATAAAGACTACCTTCGCACATGCCTGGGGGGGACTCGACTCGGACGGGTGTGTATCACCACGCGTCACTTCCTGTGTTTGAGAAGGACTACTCAACGCTATGCAGATCTTTTCTACTCATTCTTTCTTTTGTAATCGATGGTTATCAGGCGGCTCTTGTTGTCGATGTCATTCTTCTGAGAAGGTTCTCGAGGATCAAATAATCATCCGTCTTGCTTCCACATACCACCCTCAAAGCTCACATCCTGTCTAAACTTGCGGCCACCTCTGCTGTAAAGAAATCATCGTCTTTCTTAGATACATACTTCTAAGTGACTCTCTAGGCGTTGGCTCAAGCCATTAGATCCATACAACATGATCTATTGCATACTAAAGACTGCCTTCGCATAGGGGGTAGGGACTCGACTTGGACGGGAGTGTATCACTACGCGTCACTTCCTCCATCGTTGTCCCTCACCTTCAGATTCCGAAGTGTTTAAATGTGACTGCAAGGGGAATTGAGGGCGTCTGCGAGGGTTCCCGGGCCAGTACGGGCCAAAACTCATGCTCCATTCGTGTGTTCTGCGCTGCCTCTGGCTCTGGACAATTTCTGGTGCTACGGCTCGCAAGGTGTTCAATTCGTCCAGCGATAACTTTGACAGAGGCGATGACGCTAATAGTAGCATGTCTGAAGGTGTGTAGATAATAGGTCCTGTATGACGTGACGAACATGAGGTATGTGCCACCCGATGGGTAAAGGCTAGAGGATAATACTCACTGCTATCATGAGGCAAGGGCGACAATGAGTGTGCTGGTAACGAAGCCTTTGTTGAGCTAGCCGAACCCGGTGAAGGTTCCCGCCGGTGTACAGGGATGTAGAGTTTGGAAGATGACGACATTACTGAGGTGGCGAGAGAGGCGGGTTACTAGAGAAGACTTGGTAGATGAGGACACGAGAGATGAGTTGATCATGTTTCTGGCTTGAAGGAAGTGTTATATATACTCACAGGAGCAACCTGTGGACCTGCCCCTGCATGGACCCATTGTCAGTTGGTTATTGTATGTTAGCGTGGCGTGAAGCGGTGGTGGTGGTGGCTCATCTACTTCAAGGTGGACCACCGCATAAGTGATCTGTGAAGGCCAATGAGAAGGTCTGGAAGGTCGTAAGAAACATGTTTGAATTGCCTTAAATGGTCTCAGCGCGGTAGCCTATGCGGTCACATGATTTGACAATCAACACTCTAACCAACTTCCCCTATTAGTATTTGTCCATCGCAGGAGCCACAACTAGCAAACCAGTGAAACTTGAAGACACCACGTCGGCACGAAAAACTTTTCAAAGTAAAAGTGATGAATATTGAGTGACATTAAATGCTAGTGAGACTGAGAGGGGAGACAACAGCCAATAAATGTATGGTTGTACGTGTAAAGATGAGTGCAAGGTCATGCAGATAGCGGGGATGGCTTTTGAGTGGTGATGAAAGCGGTGCGAGCAAGAACTACATGCCTACGCATCCACGAAGTTCTTCACGTTGTCCAACCACCTTACGTATTCCTGCGAGGGAAAGCGATGAGGTCCTGCAAACAATGGACAGGCAAACGACCACTAACCTTCTGCTCTTTAAATTCTGAATATTCAGGAACAAACGTGGCAAGGTTTTCATTGATACCCCGCTCCTGTAACCACTTCTCGATCTCCTCCTGGACAGAAACGTCGAGGGTGTCAAACTGAGGGCCGATGTACAAGCCCCGGCGTTTCCAGTCAGCCTCAGCGGTAAGCTCGGTACCAAGCTGAGCATCAGGATAGTAGGACATGTTGTCAATGATGAACGCGCCCTCCTGGCACATAGTGTCAATGTTGATGGACCCCTTGGCATTACCCTACATCCAAATATAAGCACAAGCGCAAAAAATGTTTCACATGAGGCTATCTACCTTCGTGATGGAGAACGAAGCACGGATAGGGTACGAGTGGGGAGGTTGCTCCTCTCCACCTTCACCTTCTTCCTGCTCGTATTCCGGCTCTTCCTCAGCGTTTTGAATGTCGGCAATAGAGAACATCATACGAATACTATAAAACATGTCAGTATATGTCAAGGAGTATAAAATTTTACCCACGTCTCATTGCCAAACTTCCGTACGAGAGTGACCTCGTCGTTACCAGCAACATCCTGTATCTGCGTGCAAGGTCTGAGGAACAAGCCCACCATCTACTCGGCATAACACATACCTCCCAGATACCCTGATCCTTGAATGTCTTCAAGAACTCAGGCTCTCCTGGCACGTCAGCAACAGCCTCTTTCTCGTACTTAAGTTCCTCGGCAAGTTTTTGTGAGAGGACGACGTCAGCTATTGCCACCCAAAAAGAGTGAGTACTGGTTCATTGAAAAAAGAACAAAGCTCACTCGAACCCTCCGAAAAACGACACGTAGATGCTGAGAAAGCTCTTGCAGCAGCCCGTGGAGCAAGCTGTACGGTCGCAAGGCGCAAGGGGCCAGAGCGAGCCGCAGGACGAGCAACAAGCCCGTGATGAAGATGCAGCAACCTGACGAAGGGCACGGAGAACAGACATGTTGCGTGAGGAAGGCAAAGTACAGAAGATGGTGAAGAGGAAGCTTAGAAGGACACAACCGGTTTCTGAGTTTTGAAGTCACTCAAAATTTCGAGCATTGTTTGGCAACGCCTTTTGAAATAAACAAACACCCGGACATAGCCGGTAACTTTATGTAAACAAGTTATTCAGGGAAGATCTTCTCCGAGTCGCCTACATTTTTTCTTTATTTGATGCCCTTCCGCTTCTCTTATATTTTGGCGCTCACTCTATCGTTCTAGGGCCTTATGACACAATTTATTTGCACAGACTGACGAGCTGAGGAACACGAATCCGTGAATGTCAACTTATGTGTTGTGGCGGACCGCAGTCACGTTCGAGTTGCGATGAACCCTTGAATTTCAGACAAGCATGAAAACCTTGCCGCAGCAAGCAAGGTAATTTTCATGTTGACAAACCCTCTTCCCCTGCCTATTATAACCGATCATCGCTTCTGAAAATCAATTTATGTAAGTAACCATGTTGCTTTATATCCTACAATAATAAATACCACCCAATCATATCATACATAATTGAAAGCAGGAAGATGGGAAGCATAGGATGACAGACAGGGCATATACGTACAACGAGCAGAAACCGTAATTCCAAAGGGCAAGAAGAAAAAAGTCGGCGGAATAGACAGAAAATTCAGGGACGTTGTGGGTAGCCAATCATCAACGTACGGGGGGTTCGAGAATGACAGATACTTTGCCTCCGGCGGCTTTTTGACCATAAACAGGATCGCGTCACACGATCTACACCCTCTCCACACATTATCATCCTCATCGAGACCTTGTTGGTGGTCAAAGAGCGTCGGAGTCTCTGAAAGTTTTCAGAAGTACGTAGGAGGCAAAACAGAATCACATCGAACATGCATTTGAAACTGAACAACGAGAAAGCAAAGATCGCAAAAAAAAAGGAGAAAACAGCAGCGCGAAAGCAGGGAACTGTATGCAGCAAGAGATTCAGTGATATTCATGCGTCACCAATCTCAGCTGGGCTGCCATGTCCAGGTTCTGAAGCCTGGTCGCTCCCTCCCGTCGTTCCACTAGAAGTTGAAGATTCTTGCACGACAGCGGCGACCTTAGTCTTCTTCGCTTTCGGCTGTCCATCTTTCCCCACTCTAGATCTCTTCTTTGAATTTGTCTTCGGAGCAGGCGGCGGTATTTCTTCGACATCAGGATCATGATCTATAGGCGGGCCAGATGTCCTTTGAAGCTCAGCCTGAGCTGGATCCATGGCGGGCGGCGGCACGCCAGGAGGGCCATAATATGGCGGTCCATAGTATCCAGGAGGAGGCATATAGTAAGGCATCATCGGAGGAGGTACGCCAGAATTTGGGGACCCTTCCACGGGCGCCTGACCTTCCGAGGGTGGTACAAAACCAGGAGGGGGAGGATAGAAATATGGGGGCGGATAATATCCCCCCTCTGGTGGTGGTGGCGGAGGTGGAAAGGTTGGCATTGACGAGGGTGCAGGAGTTGCAGTCGCAGAACCCTGTGCTACACCGTTCGGCGGGTGCCAAGTTGGATCTCCGTTTGCTTCATTTGGAGTAGACGAGAAAGCTATCAATCCTGCCGATGAGTAAACAAATACAGATTGATGATTGTAACGTACTCTCGAAACTGGGATTATGAGTAGGTGAGGTAGCAGTATCGCTGCCGCCGGACTTGTTCTTGCGCTTATAGGGTCCCCGCTTAATTCCCTTCTGTCGCTCCTTCCGCACACCATCAACGCACGTTTCTGGGATACCATATTTGACACATCGTTCACATGGACGATGCTCGTCACAACGCTTGCAGGCATTCGCGCAGTTGGTACACTGACATAATAAGTTAATTAATTTAGAAAATGGGCGCAAAAAATGTACGTCAACTTACCGCCATCTTGACCTGCTTACGCTTAACGCGCTGAAAGTTAGTTTGCGGAGGGGGTGCATAAGGCGGAAATCCTACGAGTCTAACGTAAGAAAGAACAACAGAGAACGGCGCCACGAAACTGGACCTACCAGGAGGAGGAAATGGATACATCATCCCTGGAGGCGGGTAATGATAGATGTACGGGGGTGCTGGGTGCGGCCCGCCGTTTGGCTCAGGATGGCTCGGATCATAGTAGACCGGAAAAGGTGGCGAGTAGGCACCGTATGCTTGGTATGGTGGCATGTGATGTTCCTGTGCTACAGCACCAGCATTCTTGGCTTGATCGCTTGCCATTGAGGTTGAAAACTTTGCCCAGCGCTCCTCACAGAAATTTGTTCTCTATGGGTAAGCGAATAGTCACGGACCTGTAGAACGGGAACCATGTTGAGTGTTTGATCGAGCCGGTATTTTGTGAAGCAGACAGATAATAGGCTCCAGTAGAGGAGACGGATGGATGGGTGGAAGGAAAGGGAAGAAAGTTGTTGCTCACTCCGCTCGAAATTGCTTAGTTTTCCGATCGTCGCCGCTCAGAATACGCCTCCTACGCTCCGGTGCTTCAAATTATTTGATCTGGCGCTATCGGTTTGATACCAAATTCGATATCGCAAAGGTCTTGAAGAGTATGACGAGGAAAAGGGTAGTTTTTGAGTATAAATGATGGAGTGAAGGCACAACTGTGAACGTGGGACTTGAATAAAAGTTATAAAACGCGAAAACGTGACTTTAAGTGATGCCGTGCGCCTTTTTCCTCATCCTCCAAACTTCATGATGTCGAGCTCTACGATGAGCAGACCTTCGTATGAAAAGAGCGATACCTGCGAATTCGTGGGCCATAATTGTCCATCAAAGTTGAGTTTGACAGCGCACGCATGATTCTGTCTCTTTCTCCGACCCAAAGATCGTTGACTCCGCTACAAACGTTACAACCCTCCCACACTTTCCTATACGAGTCGGTGGTCTAAATATCTTTATAATTTCTGGTCCATCGCACTTATCGTTATAAGACTAACTATGCAAGTCTTTTTAGGTCTTTTATCGTGTTGATAGCTTGTGCCGTCCTTGTTAATCAGCGCTGTAACGCTTTATAGCCATCCCAAAAGGAGTTGCACTCTCAAAATATCCTAATGTTCCTTCTCTTTCCTTTGACTCCCCTCTCTTCTTCCACTGCTACCGGTAAGCAAGTATTACTCATTTTTTTTCATTCTAATAACGTCCAGTTGTTCAATAGTAGCAATGACATTACTTACACGGGACAACAAGTGCGGGCAATAATTTATTGTCCCCGACCTACCTCGGCAAATCAAAAATTATCCTCTTCGGTGCTCCGCGAATTCATACTCCCATCACTTCTTCGAACCTCGACCGGCGCCGCACGATAACAACAGCGCGTACGTTGACTTACCTATGCATGATGTTCTGTCGGCCTTTGTCCCGCATTCGTCACGATCTTCCACGTATTATAGTTGGCCCAGACCATCCAGACAAGGGGAAGCTTTGATATTCAATGTTCCCGATTCGTGATTATTAGCCAACCCTGTACGTGCGATAGTCCACAATCAGACAATCCCATTGTGCAAGATTTGTGAATGCATTTACTTATCATGATCTAAGTTCGGCATTCGGTGTTCTTAGACTTTATGTGGAGTTAATTTCTCCTAAGGACCGCAATACAGGCTCCAGGTCGATATTTCTATCTTCGCGCGCAGTTTAGGTTTAGTCACTATCCATCGCTCTTCAACATTCTCGGCTTTTCGATGACTGGATGCTACTTCAGATGGTTAATCTCTGTTGCAAGGACAATCTAGCCTCAGGGAATTGTCAGCCAAAATAACGGATGTCTGCGGTCACTCAGAAAGCACCAAGCAACCTTTGGATTAGCAGGCGCAATTGCTTCCCTTGAAATAGGGAACCGATCCTGTCTCCGCCGTGAGATCCACGCTCTCAGTGTTTCAAAGAGGCGCTGCGTTTATATGGGGATGCTGGCTAACGTCCTTCTCTCGGCATATCTGAATTTTGAATTTCATAGATGAATCACAAGCAAGTCAGGTGAGTCGTTCCTCGGAAATAATTCATCCAGGCGCCTGACCCTGTTAGCCTTGGCTAGCCGTGACGCGTGATGTTTGATGTACCGTATTATGATAATTCAGTGTTTGCGCCTTCACCGGTGCACCCCCAAGTGACGCGATATTTTTAGTATGTCTCTTTGTTGGTCACCCCTAAATGCACTTATATCGTATTGGCCGACATATTTTTGCGCCTAGATCTCTCCCGACTTTCGAGCGGAATTCCGTACCGCTCTGGTGCATAGTAACGACACGAACACGATGCTCATGATGTATAATAGTTTGAACCCCATTCGTCATTCATGGATTGTTTCGGGGATGGTTGCGGACTGCTCATTGACCATGTTTTCGCACAATCTAACCGTCCCCTCCCGTTCCTCTAAGGACGCGTAAGCTAGTTGTTACCAAAGACTTTCATCAGGCACTCGCAGTGCACAATGTGTCGAGCAGTTGTGTGATTTTGCTCTTTCGAACCTACGTCGTAACATCAAACTATTATTACCACAACAGGATTCGAAACAAATGATCATGTTCCTACAGGTTCCAGCCTCTTCCCAGCTACACGCCACAAGACTTGAAGAATGCCCTTGTAAGTATCTAATCCTAAGGAACATGAGCCCTATAAGAATGATGAATGACCAGATGCAGATAACTCGGTCACAGATCGGCGTACCGATAGATTTGGAGATAGCCGAGTTGCAAAGCAAGAAGAATAGCACAATTAGGACGTATAGAAGACCAGCGTCCAAGATAATCACGTCCATATTACGAACTTACACTGCAAAGTAAAACATGAGATTTTGCTAACACCGTGGCAGCCAGCAAGGTTGTATTAAGAAAAGTGAGAGTCTTTCTTGATTGCCGATACATGGCATATAGCCGAGTGATCGTGATAACTATGACATCTCAGTCAAAGTCAGTATCATTGGGGTACTGTGACTGAATGGCTCACCACTCATAACTGTTTCAGTCATTAGATCAAACTAAGCCCGTCAACAACCTCACTCAGCCTCTAGAATGGTGCAATTATGTGGACAAAAATGGCAGGCGATAGCACAGAACACTGACAAAGTCTGTTGGCGAGACTCCCGGAAAACTTACTGCATGCCGCCGGTCAGAAGCAAATGAGCAGGGGCACTTGCACAGCATGCCGATGCTAATCGTGAGAGGTGAGTTATTAGTGCCAACGTCTTAACCTTGAAAACATAGACAGAGGATAGAATTCCAACATAGTATACCTATATACCTTTGAAGTTGAGTGAAACTTGTCAACTGCGCCCATGATATAGACCACTTACGCCGATATATAGAACAGTCATGAACTTGAAAGTTTAGCGCTGCCTCTGCCCTGAATCAAACGTGACATCCTTCCTGATGTGGGACCCCGCTCACCTAGACCAGGTCCAGCTGTGAGACCATTCATAGTGAGAATCTGCTTTGGTAACGGTTTAAGCCTTCCTGGCGCTGGAGAATACCAAACGGACATCAATAATGCCCAGAGTCTGTAAGTACTACCTTGCTCACCCCAATCGTACACCAACACAGTAGAGGATATAACTGACACCGCAGTCATATATAGATAGAGGCAGGGGAACATCTGCTCGCCACAAACCCAAGAAATAGCTGTAACCACGATACCAATTTGATTATCGGGTACCAACTGAGACTAGAATCACATTGAAGATATCATATTTGGTATCAGTGAGTGGCGGATAAGTATGACAAATGATACCGATACATGCACCCCTTGCCTCATGCCAGGTCCTCATATCACCACCGCTGCGCGCCCCTCATCTGGATTGTGGGAGGCTACATGTCACAAGCATGCGAAGAAATAGGGTTTGTCATCAACCGTTTTGATCGACAAAGGCAATGTAGAACGCACCGTGTCATACGGACTGATACCCGTCAGCGTTGCATCAATTTACACAGCCAGGTAACGCGCGCGCTTGTTGATTTTGAAGATCCGGATGTGGCTGCATGTGATGCTTGACAGTCTAAATGTGAATGGTATTTGATGCTGTGGATAGTGCAGTAATGGAGGTAAAAGCGAACAGCATATCCAATGGGAGTTGCTGTATACGAGTTACGATGTTGGCGGGTGCTGGCTGGCATGCTGCCACAATCTTGGGTGATCCCTCATGAGTGTGCACAAAGATGGCTACGTTTGGTTTCAATGCTTCTGTTTCCGCGGACTCTGGAGCGGAAATCATGATGGAGGTATCATAGGTGAATAGTAGCCGTGATCTCCCGAGGGTAGCTATGCACGTACTTCAGCAAGAGCATATCGGCATGCGCTGCCTCCCACCACTGTCTCTAAAGGTTCCCCCCCATTTTAACTTTGATGCAACAGTACTAGTACTGTGTCTTAAATTTTAAACTCTGCCTTAAACGCTGAGTTTGAATATATTAGTAATAGTGTATGACGTTATAAGCCAGGGAACTTTAAAATTACACCTTCTCTCTCAACCAGCTCAAAGGCCACGAATGCTCATCACGTACAGATTGCTTCATGCATCCACATTTCTGAGCGGGCTAAGGTCTGAGTATTTTAATCCCCCTCGATCGGCTCTAGCAGAGCCCGGCTGTAATCAGCTGCGCGACGTACCAGAAAGGCAGCTTCATTTTCACATCCCCAAGATCCTGTCATGGCAGAGGAGGGCGAGAATGAGAGGCTTTGAAAGCGTTGTGGGGATCGGGCAAACTTGTGTCCATCGTGTAGCAGTCCTATCGCGCGTGCGCCTGTCACAATGGCGCTCAGGGACATAGAGAAATCTGAGCCAGATACTCAAGTCCCCGGGCCTTTGCTGCGGTACAACATTCCTTACATCTAAATCGCTAGGTGTCATGTACATACATCGCTCCCAGGATCAACCTCAGGGTGGTACATGCAGACTGCAGTCGAGATATCCTCCCATGGACATGGTGGCTACCCGGGCATCTCCGCTCGTATGCTGCCAGCGTCTCCGCTCATCTAGGTGAATAACCGCTTACAGCTGGAGGTGACTACATTACCATGTCGTTACTTTCCTTGCGTATGAGGGATATATGCGATGACACTGGTTTGTCCTTGAGTTCACTTCGTGGCTCGCGTATCCTTCGTGGATCGTGAAACTCGATTCAGACTACTCTTGGGCTGGTTCCATTACCTAATTTTTGTTTCTCGAACTCCTTTGTGGAGTGTCATCTTCCCGATGTCCAGGGTCTATGCTTGCGTCCGAACTGGTTGAGAGGAATGTAATGGAAAGGATGGGAGTAATCTATGTGGTATGCAATATTTGTTCCTAGGTCGACTTCCCGCTTTTAGGTGGCAAAGACAGGCTGTTATTTTCTTGTATCTGTAGCCACCACGTTTCTTTATTGAAGCCCTTCGTAATCGCCAGGAAGCTTCAAGTTCTTTCCATTGCATCTCATTAAGAAACGCGCTGAATCATTCAGTGAAATCAACTCGAGACACAACATCGGGTGCTGGAAGATGTGCAAGGCGTTCCCTGCACACAATTGTCTAGTTCTCGACATATAGCCTTCAGCAAACAAGCATGCACTCACCATCCCATACTTTACCTCGGTCGAGCAGGCCTTTGACTCCCAGCTCGGTGGAACTCCCATACCAAAATTATCACCGTCTACCAAGATTATAGGGGCGATGTTCCCCAATCGTATCTTCGTGAGTCATCATATTTATCATTGACACGACGAAAGCTCTCTTGAGGATCCTAATCTCACGCAGCTATCAATAACACGCACGACGGCGGAAGCTTCGAGAACATTCGTTCAACTTCGAAGGTATCCGTGACCATGCCTGATTACATACCACTCTTCTGAATTATTTTCAAGTTCATGAGATATTTTTTGCTTGATCTGACTGATGCATCGTAGGGATTTCTGCGACTGAATGGTTCGAAGAAACGCATCAAAATGAACTATCGTGATGTGTCGAAGATATCGTCGAACTTGCTGGTATTCTTGTCGAGCACAGAGTCTACTCTCTCGACGTCACCACTTAGCGGCGCTGGCCACCTAAAAGCCATCACCAAAGTCAGCCCAGTTTAGTGGGGACGGTTTTCACAGGCAGTCAAACAAGCTGCCGGAGCCTTATTGTTGAGGCTGTCAGCTCTATTACCGATGCCGAGGAGATCCTTGACAAAAGCCAAGCCGATGTCGTCGGGATTGTGATTGTTGGGGCGTGAGTACGTTCTTCATAATGTTCGATCCCATCTTCGGCGGATTTGCGTCAGACTGGTGTCGCTATTAAGCTAGAGAATAGATCGGGCTACGGACGTGTGGGTCGCGGTCAGAAGAAAATTGACTAGCGACTACAATGACTGGAGTTCTGATGGTGAACAAGATTAATGTCGCATGTACCAGCCATTTAGGACACATGAAGACCTTTGGTCAGATGTGTTCTATCACTCGAACTACTCTAAATTGACGAAAAGCTCTCCATCGTCCTGACAGGATCAGATGCGGCACCAGGGTTACTAAAAGCCTCTTTCAAACGGCAGTATTGAAGATCATGCATATGTACTACTTGTGGGACAAGGTTACTCAGGCATCGGCCTTATCTAGTCCCCGTATGCCAAGCTGAGGCTACCCATAGTGATTTACAAATATGGGAAGTCGAGCTACTCGAGTTCGATCAGGTGATCATTATTAATCACACAAGCCTTCGGCCCGATAACACGTCTATCACTGACGAATACATAACGTAGGGCTCCGATGGCGAAGGTGGCATTTTCTCGCCATTTGTACGACCTTCCACGACCTTCCAGGAGGCCACAAATAGCTGACGCAGCGGTCCAAGTTGATGAGTCACCACTGCTGTTTCCCGCCACCTCATCGGTGACACACAATAACCAACTGCCGAGGGCCCATGCATGCGCAGTTTTCCTCAGGATGTTCCGGTGCATATATAAGACCTTGTTCAAGCAGGGACATGATCAGCACAGTCTCACTCGTCCAGTCATCTACCAAGTCTTCCCGCCTCCCTTGCCATATCAGTGATGTCGTCATCTTCAGGACTCTACATCCCTGTACACCGACGGGCACCTTCACCGAGTTCACAGAGCTCATCAAGCGTCTCTTCTTCACCAGCGCACTCATTGTCACCTTTGCCTCATGATAGTCGTGAGTATCCTCTTGAGTCGTAAATACCTAACACTGACCACGTCACACAGTGCTTATCTACACGCCTTCAGACTTGCTGCTATTAGCATCATCACCTCTATCAAAGTTGTCGAATGAAGAATTGAGTGCCTTGCGAGCTGCAGCACCAGAGATCGTGCAGAGCCGCAGGCAGCGCAGATCACGCGAATGGCACATGAACCATAGCCCGTCCTGGCCCGGGAAGCCCCACAGACGCTCTCAATTCCCCTCGCACTCATATCCAAACACTTCTGAATCAGAGGGGGAGGGACAGGGATACAGGAAGTAGCTTGTTGTAGCAAGACATATACCCCTCCGAGTCAACCAACTTCATCACTCGTCATTCACAGCATACCCCAATATTATTGACAATCACATACACCCCTCATCAATCCTTATGTAAACGAAGACAATGGAACTATATTTCCTTCGCCACCTTGGCATCAATCCCCTTATATGTAAACATTCATCTATTGTCTTCACTCTACAGGACATTCAATGCCAACGTGTTTAATTAGAAGAGACTATAGTAGGCCAGTATGAGTAGTGAAGGTCTCAGCCTTCATGTAGTAGTGGCAACAGATGTATGTATCGTATTCCACCGGTACCCAGATGAAATTTCAAAATTTCACCATTCAGCCGGGTGTCTTGAGTATGAACTCATCGGGGCATCGGAATATAGCATGGATCGACAAAACTAGGGAGCTGTATATAAGGTGAAAATATTCCCAACCTCGTTGACTTCCATGCGGACGACCATCTTTGACTTTCTACCCAGACAGTGTTCGAAGCCGACGCTCTTTTTTCGACTCTCGATCTTTGGTGAAGAAATTTACTGCACGGTGATACCCCTCCTTGAACGTCTCGTCAATGTTGTAGACCGGGTTTGCAACCAAGGTACCATAATCGTCTTCTTCGTCTCCGCTATCCCCCTCTCCATCTTCGCCAGCAAAGAGGAAAATCGGTGTGGGAGCTTTCAGAATGAACGGTTCCAGTAGTTCTTTTGGTGGTAAAAGCTCTTCATCTACGAACCCGGAGAGAGGTGTCGACGGCGAAAGCGGCGCTGCCTGCCGGAGGGCTTGATCGCGCTGTACGAGACCAATGAGCAGCTCCCAGCGAGCATACCAGTTCAGCTCCCAGGTACGAATAGCCTCCCATGTACACGGCGGAGATATTTTTGGAGTTCTAGGCGATAGACATTCTTGATGAGACCCGTTGTCAAGCGTTTGTTTCTCGAAGGGTGGTTCATCGTCAGCAACAAGGGTTACATCCCCATCACCGCATGTCGATGAACCGGTCGACGACTGCAAGCTTCCTGAAGACGCAGAACCTTGTATCTGGTCGGAACTATGGGTTGCCCTTTGATACATGTCGAACACGTAGAGCGTCTTGTGAATGGTCCACAGCGGAAACCTGAAGAAGCACCGGTCGACATTGGCAGAGTATGGATCACGAAGCGCAGAGATATCGCCCACACGAGGGTAGATCGGCGCGTTCGAGTCCTGGACGAAGTCTCTCGATGCATACCCCTCAAAGTCACGCTCCAAGCCAGACAGAGGCACGCGGATTTGCGATGGCAGCCCAGAGACTTCCCGACTGTCCATGAGCGTGATGCCAGTATATGCGCTTCCAGGGTCTTGTGCGCATATAGTGTGGTCTATTCGCCGTTTCACTTCTTTGGCCTGCCATTCCAACCATTCGTCATGGCGCGCTGTCCAGAAAGACTTTTGATGCAACAAAGCACTCCGTGAAAATCCGCGGTGAGGGTAATTCAGACGCTGCGAGTGGGGACGCGACACAGGAGTTGGGGTTTGCACCTTTGTTTCTTGTGGAAGCGTCGCATGGCGAACAGGTTCTGGTGCTAATGGCTCCATGGTGACTGTCTGAAGTGAAGGTGGGAATGGGACGCATTGGGGCTCGTATTCGAAGTCTGTCTGGGAATTGGTGCTGTGGTCATTCACGTGGAGGATTGGTAGACCGATGAGAGGCTCGTCGTCGCCGTCCTCCTCCCTGAATTTCGCGAGTGCTGGGCCGCTACGAAAGAGGTTGCGTGCCCACTTGACCCTCGAAATCGGCAGTTCTGCGTCTGCATCTGATTCAGGGCAACCGACAGCGCCGCCTTCTTCATGAAAGAAGTCAAGTCTACTAGGAGAGCGTGGCGGAGAGATCAAAACATCTGGCTCTTCCGAAGATAGAGAAATTTCTGTGTATGGTTCGTGTCTCGCGTCCGCTAGAAGGTCCGAGGCATCGTGCACGCCAGTGAAATAGGGCATTACTATGTAGCAATTAGGTATGATGATAACAATAGACGCGCAGGGATGGCGGAAAATAGCGGATGTGACGATAGCCTTCGGTTGCGTGATGTTAGCAGTTAGGCTAGCGAAGAAGTGCGATGTCATTCATTTACGGGAACGCGTCGGTAGCAAATAGACATCAACAGACGCGCCAATACGGTCACATGACAGGCGCGTTCTGGAGTGCTGCCAATCATGTACTCTAATTTATGCTAGGCCTATTTATATTGAAGTCTCTGCATCTGGTTTTCTCAGAGCGGTTACCAACTACGCAACCTGCGCAGCAGCAGAAGATCACCAAAGACAGAAATTCACAGGAGGCGGACAAGAAGCGCTTGGGTGAGAATGCCGTTGCTGTAAAGGTTGAAACTAACCAGTACAAGGTGAAGGAGGTTGAGCTGCTTGCCGGTACGTGGTCATGATCGTCGCGATGTAAGTGTTGAATGATGCCTCGCAGTAATGGCAAGGGAAAAATAGGTCCGAGAAGCCGAGACGTTAATTACTGTTTTGAAACACCAACTCGCATCCATTCAACTTGCTAGTCTGTCGAGGAAGAGGTAGAGAAGTATCGTGCTTTAACCGACAATCTAAGATGAGGTGGATTATTTCCCTTCCTGATGCTCGTCGCTGATGTTACTTTTGGCCCAAACAGAGCTGAAATGCCTGCGGAACACGTTTCACAACTAGTGTCCAATTGTGAGCAACCCAACTCGCACCGACTGTAGTCAAAATCCTGACAGTCAAGAGCCCGCGTACCAATCAGGTCGGTCATATAGACACACTAGGAACATCTGTTGAATGATCGTTGTCTTCAAACACTAAGCGTGTTCGCTTCTTAGTTCGAACAGAATCCGCATCTTTCTCTTCCTCTTCCTCTACTTCTTCCATTTCCTCGTTCTGGCTTTCATGGACCTTATCGTCGTCCATCTTCAGCCCCACTTCCCCACTGCGCACCAACCCAACTTTGACTTTCCTCATCTTGTCCCTACACTCAGAGGAGGGCGCTGCATAGCCAGCAACGCAAGAGACCAAGCCTGGCTTCCCTCCTTCACCAAAATCGGGCGCTGGGATGACTTGGGTAATCGTCTGAGTTTCAACACTGTGCACTTCGATTGTGCCATTTGGCAGAAGTGTTGTTAGGTAGGGATAGTCGAGACCTAGGCAGGTTCATCCATGGTAATTAGTCTTAGAACTTGAAAACAAATTGCGAAGTGATAAACAAAATGAAAGTAATTTATGCACCACTGAGAAAGTCGAAAGGTGGTGGAGAATGAGCGAATTCGAGCTAGCAACACGAAAGAGATCCACATAAGATATCACTCACACACAGACAGTGGATACGCTGGCCACTCAAGTGTTCCACGCACGGGATCACCATCGCCCGTGATGAACAAGCCAAGTGTGCTCCCGCCCGTCCAGCTCAGTAAAAGGAACTCAGATGGAGATATGACAACGATATGTGGTTTAATCGTACTGTTAGCCGAGTCAGTAAGAGCCAGTAAGGTGATCAAAGGTAATATCCTATTCCACTTACCCCGCCGTAACCTCGACTTGTGTCACTGGAAGCAATTCAAACATCTGCGCAGTTACAAGATCAATTACACTGTAAATGTCTGCGGTCGCAATGCATAGGTGGCGCCCTGAACGCTGAGCACGGAGGGATCCAGGTCGGAAAGGGATTTCCTAAGGAAGAATAAACGGACATCAGCTTATAAGAAAAAGAAAGATGCGGGTGTGAAGGAACACCAACCCTGGTGAATATCAACTTCTCCTCGCCCAAACTATACATGGCAATAGTACTGCGCTTTATAACACAGAGGTCGATGGCATCAATTTTCCCTCGCTCAGTAGGAAAATTTGCTGATGTGGAAGTGGCTCTAGTGGTAAGCGAGGTCGCGGCGGGGCGCTGAAGGTGGTTGTGGTCGACTGCGAGAGCCTCAACATTGCGGACGGGTTTAGCGTTTGGAACAAGATCAAGCGAAGGGAGGGTGTATATATGGAATTGACGATCTAAAGAAGTATATTAGTACATGCTTAGCGACTGAATATGTAGATATCAGAAGAAAGTAAGGTGTGGCGCGAACAGCATCTCAAATTTTCACAACACGATAAGCTGCACACCCTAGATCAAGCACTCACAGATGAGAGGATAACGCACCACATAATATCAGCACCCTCGCGATGCAAGGTACGAGGATGAGCTCGTCGATCTGCTTGCCCGAAGGGTGGCTCTGTTGCGAGAGCAGAGCGTAAGCGTCTAGCTGGGCTAAGTTAGTGTGGTGTCGAAGGCTTGAGTTGGGAAAGAAGAGAAAAAGAGGAGAGTAATCTAAGAGTGGAAATGATCAAATCTGTAGGGCGATGAATGAGAAGGATGTTGCAGACGTTGGTACCGACCTTGGTGGGATCTGCATCTGGCTGCAGGGCGTAGCGCAGGAGCTCGCCATTCGAGCAGCCAACGTATATTTCGGACCCTGTGCTTGGTGTTAGCACTGGTTCTCGAATGATTCAGGGAGACCAAGGAGGCAACGAAAGAAAATGGTCGTCTAAGCGACCCATGGTCGTTCACGCACCAAAGGCCTGCGCACAAGTAACAGTCCCTGCAATGATTCTAGGGATGAGCGGTTGGAGGAGGTATGGCGGAACTTCAAGTGAATTGACCATGTCGCTGAAGTACTGATTTACTAGCCTGCGCTAGTCAAATGCTAATTACCAGTACTCAGCTGATGAATGAAGTCGATTGATTGGTTGACTACGCCGCCACCTTTTATAATCACACCTTTGATCAGTCACATGTTGACTGGCAACTCTTCATTGCATTTGTCGATGCTTGTGGTCGCTTTGTGATCAAGTCAGTCTATAGTCACCATTGAGCCGCTGCTGTTTTTATCCGCGATATCTTTGTTCTTTCGTTTCTTGGTCGTACAAATATTTAAGCAGAGCGGTCTCGACGGGATAGAGATGTTTTCCAGGCTACTACTCGAGTTCGCTATTGACAACTTAAATTCTGGTTAGTTCTTCGTCCCATAACCAGTGCCGATAATGCTGACACCGAGTCTCAACTTACAAGACAGTGGACAAAGCTGAAAATGAAAGCCAAAGCAGAGTTACTGTCCCTTCCTCCAGAACTCCTCACTTACATTCTGAGCTTCCTTCCTTGGCAAGATATCCTTCGTTGTACATCTGTGAGTTACTATTAACTTTCTAATCGCCGTCGATCCATCGTCTTAAATGGACTCCGATACTGACGATCATCTAGCAGTTATGCAAGGCCCTTCGCCAGACATACATATCCGAGTCATCCTCTGAGCTTCAGTACGCCATTGAACTCGGTAGCCAACGACTACTTCCTGTTTCCAACAATCATATCCCTGTTGCAAAACGCCTACAACTCCTAAGGGAAAACGCTAGTGCATGGTTCAAATTCGATCTCCATTCTTTCGGAACAATCTCTATACCAGAAAAATTCTACAGGTTCACAGCAACGCATATCACTAATGGGCATGCTTGTTTCTGGAACCCAAGCATAGATTCTGTCAGAATCTTTCCAATACTACCTAAACCCTCACAAGAAACCATCGAACGTGATTTCTCTCCAGGTTCGCTTTGTGCTGTTTCCAACATCAGCGACATCGATGTTTTCATGGACCCAGCGCAAAATCTACTCGCCATCGCCTATGCCATCAGTGGTGATAATTATCCATATGATGAGGAGTCCTATATCGAGCTTCTTACCCTGGATGGAGATGGTGTCCACCCGCAAGCTGCTGGACGGACACTGTTTATGTCCGACTTGTGGCTGCCAGGAAGACGTGAGAACTTTGTAAGATGGTGTTCGAAACTCGAGGGTTTTGAGAAGTATATCGCTTTCCTTCGCTTCGCACCACTCTTTGAGCATACAGGCTCGTCAGTCTACTCCAAGTGGTGCTTACATATTTGGGACTGGCAACACTCGACTTCGTCCAATGTGAGTATCAGCCAGAATTAGCTGAAAGACTTGACAGTTGACTCGATTTAGAGCATACTCAGTGGCTCAACTACACTAGATCTAGATTCCGACAGGTCAATCGATTTTTACTTCCTCGGAAACGATAGACTTTTGATTATCAGCGACAATTTAGAGCTCTATTCAATTGAGGACATGTCTCGGTCACCACAGTTGCTGGCGCGCTTCTTGTTTCCTGCATCAGTGTTCAACCTAAAGTGCTGTACTCCGACGAGCGATATTGCATGTAGCTCACACCCGAAGATACAAGCTCAGCAAGTAACATGGGTCTCAGACCCTAAATATCGAGTGCTCTCTCTTGCTTCACATTCTTCAGGTCTCGACTTCGTTATTTCCACCACGATTTTCTTCGATGGCTTTTCTGATTCGGAAGGAATGTCGCCAATAATACCGTGGATATGTTGGGGTCCTTCAAATGTTCGTATTTTTCTGTACGATTTTCCATGCAGACTTGGCGTCAGTGGGAATCGAGCTTTAAATGCATTCCCTGCAGCTGGCGCGACAAACTCGGTTGATCCAGAATACAGGCTACACATGATGGATTTCAGCCCATCAGCTGTTAGGCGTCACCAGCAAGGCCTAGGAAGACTGGTTAATGAGCCATCTACAGTATACAACCGTGAGTCGGGGGAATACTTGACGACATTCATGCCCTATGTCGAAGTCGTGTCGGACAGAACGTTCAGTTATGGCGAGTTCGTTGAGATGTGGTTCGATCAAGACAAGATTTATTTGTTCAAAGAAAATACAGACACTGTAGGTTCCTATATCATTTTCCAAGGAAGTGCGACATACTCATTGTTTATCCCTCATTATTTCTCTAGGAGGAAACGGATCAGCTTGAAGTCATCGAGTTGTAAGAGTAAACGCTGTATGATGTAGCTAGATCGTCGACCTTCCATTTACTTGGAGTCTAGACTTGTGAGACCTCTCGCTGCTCAATATTATCAGTTGTATTCCCAGGTCATTTATCAGTTGAGATCCGCTGCCCTTGCTCATCAGGAGCCTTCCTTACTCCACGCGCTGGCAATACCATGAATTTGAGGTTGTCCTTCGCACCGCTTTCTTCACATGTTCTGCACACAAGGGCTTACTCATATTAGATGGACAAACACTTGAGAGTGTTTATTTACCGGCATTCATGGCCAGGCTCGAGGCAGGGGGCTAGCCATGGAACGTATGAGAAGACCATTAATACTGTTCTGCGCTGCTAGGCAGACGCTTAAAGGTACTCCTCCCCAATTTAGAGTTTCAATAACAAATATGTCAAAGCCACCGTGATCAACGCAGTGACAGTACGTGTATCCGCGGCAGTGCTTTTAGCAGCCAACGTTTGTTGCAACCCGTTCAACAGATACGTGCGGATCTCCCTCGAATACCGAATCCTTGCCACCTTTGCAACCGATACGTTCTGATCTCCCCCAAGCATCGAGTTCTCATGGCAGTAAAAAGCCGTACACCTTAATCACATCAATCAGAGTGATTGATCCAAGGAACTCAACTCAATACAATACATCGACCTTAACTCCTCACCCTCCCGAAAACCCTCCTAATCTCCTCCCCAACCCTCCCAACGCCAACGCCAACACCGACCAAAACACCTACATCAACAACCCAAAGCCCAAAACCGGCACCCAAATACCTAGGCGCAAAGATCTTCCACACCATCAAATGCCTCCTCAATACCGCTGCGCACGCAGCTGCTCCAAACGCCAACACCGCGAAATACAACGATATCGCTAGTGCAGCTCTTAGTGCGTTTGGGCGGGGGCGAGATGGTGAGAGGGGTAGGGGAGGGAGGTTCCAAAGTACGATCAGCGGCACCGCCAGCGCTCCGAGGAAAAAAGATCCAAATGTATTGATGACAACGGAAACGTGTGAAAAGGGGAAGGAAAGCGTCTTCCCAAGGATAAATGCGCTTTTCCACTGGATGGATGAAAACGTCGATTGGTGGCCTGTACTGTGATACATGTGCATCGCTAGGAGCGCTAGGGGTACGATTTCTGAAAATAAGAGGTCGTGGTTCGGATTAGTATCGGCGAGTTGGAGAGATGCATTGGGGGATGTGAACGCGTTATTTAGGCCGTGGACGTCCCGGACGCTGTCGATGATCTCTAGATACGAAAGAAGAGCGATGGATGAGAGTCCAAGGACGATCTGTCCGGAAAGTTGAGTCATAAACCACACGATACTAAAGAAGATGAGCCAGAACATGAGATAAGGGGAGCCGAATGCGTTGGCAAAGCCTAAGACAGTAACTTCAGTCTTTTCCTGCGCACATGCCTCACTCGTTTGGCTTTTTGAAATCGCAAGGCAAGCGGGCGATGTCCACCACACTGACAAACCCCCAATCAACATGGTAGCAGCAGTAGTCCTCGCCAACACGGTCCTTGTCACCCTCAAAACATCACCCATATCACCGAGGACCTGTGCAGAGTCTACCCATTCGAGCATCCAGAACATCGTGCCAGCAATCAAAGACGGCGCGAACAACAGCGGGATGAACGTTGCAGCGAGACCAGAGTCTGATTTCGAGATCTTAAGTATGCGCCGGACGACGAGGGGAATCGCGATAGCAACAGGGAAGGCGAGGAGGAGTGCTGTGAGTGGTGGGGCTGATGATGACTCGGAGGCGTAAAAGGTAACGGTACAGTATGGGTGTTGTTCCTCCCTGCAGACGGTGCTCATAGCCATGAGGCGCACGCATATAGCGAAAAGAGCGGAAAAGCCCAGTATGCGGGAGCGAAGTCGGGAAGTGGGAGCTGTGAAGCCTGTGATGACAGAGGGCACGATGGACGAGATGAGGAAAAAGAGTACAATGTGGTCTTCCCATACCGTAAATGAGTTTGATGCGAAACATAAGGTGTGCAGAATGAGGAAGATAGGGAGTGATTTGATGGCTTTCAAGGTGATCACGGGGCGGGTGGTAGCTATCATGACGAATGATGATGCGATGGCGGCAGCGAAGAGGACGGTCTGGTGCATGGCAACACCGTCCAAATACTTATGCAAGACAATGTGTGCCAGGTATCCTAGGGCAGATCCTACAGCAGAGGCGCTGAACGACCACCAGACTTTGTCGTCCACCCACTTTTCCCACTCGACGTCCGCAACATCTCGGAGTTTGGAGAACAACGCCCAGCCGGCGACGATGCTCAAACCAATGACGGCCAATCCAGCGCCCATGAGGAAAACGTTAAACTGAGCCCAGAGAACACGACAAGCGGATAACGCCAAACGAGTAAAGTTATCAAGCGCAATGAGATGGTCATTCCCGTCCATCGTATGTATGCCATCCCAGGCGAGGGAAAAATCATGCCAGGCAGCATCAAGCTCCTTCCCAGATGAACTAGATCGATAAGCATCAAGATAGCGCCTGATCTGAGCTGCGTTGAGTTCCATGGCTTTCTGTAAAGATGAACCATCGGAATCACGATTGAAAAGTTCTGGAATGACGGTTCCGAGGTTATTGAATGGGATGGGAAGACCGAGGAGTAAGGAGATAGTCGGTACTAAATCTATCTGTTGGACATGGCGATGGGGGACCGGAGTGTCTGGGAATGTGATCACCGGTAGAATGGCCTCTGGAAATGTGTATTCGGGGAGGGAAAGAGGGACCTTGCTATAGATCCAGAGAGCCGACATTGTCTCTAGGATGTTGTCACCGCCGTGATTACCCATCTTGTCCATTCCATGATCCCCAAGCATTATAAGGAGGGTGTCATCGTCCATGGCTGCTACGACATCGCGCAAAAGAGTGTTCATCTGCTCAAGTTTTTCTCTGAGGACGGGATGATCTGGACCGACTCTGTGACCTGCATGGTCGACGCCTAAACCGTGACCAATGGCAAAATGCCATGAGTTTTTATGATGTCGCATCAAGGGTAAAAGATTATCGATGACGCCCTGGTCTACCGTGTGAAGGTCTTCGACGTTGAAAGAATCAAAGGCAAAGGTCATGTTTGGCTGAAAAGCATCCGGGAAAAGGGTGAGCCAAGTGTCATCGCCGGCGAAAGCGATCTTTCCTTTGGATTGTATCAGGGAAACGGAGGGAAAAAAATAATTCAGCACATACCTTTCTGCCCGCAGCATTTAGCTGATGGATGATAGAATCCTCATGGATGGAAAAGCCTCCAAAGTTTTCTCCTGCATCTACAAAGGTGGGTAGAGACCCTGTGGTGATGCCTTTGAGTCGCTGAAGAGTCGTGGTCGGCGGGTCAGAGTGTGCGTTAAATATGAATGATCTGTCGGGATGAGCGGCGGTCAATTCGCGTGGTAGAGTTAGAATGTTGTGATGGAAAGGTGAAACAGGTTCTGGCGGGTGTTCTGTGATGAAATCAAAGCGTAGGGCGTCTATGACGAGCAGGACAGCTCTTTTGTGGGTAGCGAGTGAAGTGCAGGCGTCTACACTTCTGTCGGGGAGTGCGAGTCGATTGAGGAGGAATCCTTTTGTGAATAGATAAATTCCAGCTAGGTGAACACATAGCACCCAAAACAAGATTCGAAATTCACGAGATATCATTGCATATGTTCAAGTTCGTCGAGTACGGTAACATTAACATGTCCGACAGCGGGGTTTTTATAATTTCCCACCTTAGCTCAAACACCCAACTCCGGACCCAGATGATTCTTTTCGCTTACCGAGGCACATGAGCGCAACACTGCCGGGATCCTTCTAGGTAAATCCTTGACCCACTTTCCTGCCGCAAGCATACTTTCAGACAAGTACCCACACTCCGCCCTGAGATTTGGGTCTCCCAACTTGTGACAAGACCACCCGACAAGGACCAGCACAATGAATGCCGTCACACCCACAGGGACTGAAGGTACCGCAGTCGAGTTATGACAACATTCAGTTAAGAATGCAATCACGAAAAATATCATCCTATCAGTTGTGATGAATAACTTGAAACGATAGGGGAGAGTCGAACGTACCCCCACATCAGTAAAGCATACGGTAGGCTGTATATAATTGCAAGCGTTTCGAGGCCGTGCTTGGGGTGCATCATGCTCTGCAGGTGTGCTTGCTAAGCGAATACATTCATTAGAGATGCCACTACACGGGTTGTAACAAGACGCACCACATTATCAACCATGTCTGGACCTTGAGCGTAACTTTGTCTCGCGATATTCACGCCAAGCAGCATGCACCCAAAACTTGAGATCACAGAAACGTAGCTCGCGACCTGCGATAAAGAATGTCCCCCACCGTTATCTACACTCTGAATCGCCAAAAACCCAACATTGACACTCAAGAGCACTGTCGCCTGACCATCGATGTGTCAGCATGATCCAGATATCGAAACTTAACGGGAATGAATTACGAGTAGATTGAAGTCCTGCATCTCGGCGTTCAGCTTTTGAACGAAGGTGCGCCAGTCGAGCTGATTAACTATGGAGTCGACGTAGAGTTTGTGAAGAGAGTGGACGTGCTCATAAGGGGCATTGAAGAGCAAGGGTGCAAGACATTTCATCATAACGGACCGCTCTTCGTAGGAATCACCATGTACAGTCTGGTCTCTGGAGAGCCGCGCGCCTCGCTGCCCATGGTAGTTGAGGTATTGACAATGTCCTGGTGCAGGGGATTGGAAGATATCTTAACTAGAATTGAGTCACATACTAAAATGGTTCATCGTCCTCGCTAATGGTTACGATATCATGAATGTCAATTTACTGCGCGCGAAACACGACTGCTTACCGACGAGACATTTGTCGTGTGCCGACGGAATCCAGTCGTCCTCCACTTGACATGCAATGAGTTTTGCGATCTCAGGAGTTGGCGTGACTTACCATCCACATCTTTGATAAGGTCCAGAGTGTTCTTGAGGACATCCATGCTGAAGGCACAGACTGCCGACACCTCCGAAGTCATGCAATCTGGAACGAATTGAGTTCTCTTATGATGCCCCGATGATAAATAGCTCACCGCTTATCGCAAAACGAATGATCTGCTGCAATTGTCGAAGGACCTCAGAGTGGAGAGCACTTGCGTGCGGAAACAGGTCGATATGCTTCCTACTTGCGTGAGCAGTTACCATGCCTCGACTGATGCAGTAAGTACAATGCATTCGGGCAATGAAGCATACATTGAATGTACTCACAAATTGCTGTAGCGCGTACCAGTACTGAGCCTCCAACTCGATTTCTGCAAGCGTTCATCAGACACGGTCAAGTACGGGTCCACAAAACTGACTCTTATGAGCAAGTTCAGTGACCCCACTGCATTCTCGCAGGATTTCGGCGGCATCAAAGTCCAGCAACCAGAACAGGCACTTGTTCTCATGGTGCACGAAATAGTACTCTCCTATAATGGTTTCTCCGACGTCATGCATAGGTTCCAACACGAGGTCTACGTTCTCCGGGAAAGAAGAATGGTGATAAGCATGACTATAAGCTAGCTTTGCAAGGTCCTCGATTGTCTCAGCAACTCCGTCACGAACGAGGTCCGCCTGCGTTATAACGTGAATTTTCCTTGAACATCCGTCAAAAGTCACCACGCTCTCATAACAGTAATAGAGACGGCCTTCAGGATGAATGTAGGCTTGCCATCCAGGAGGAGCTGATCTCCTAATGTATGCATGAGATACGAAAGTAGCAATATGAAAATGTGTTACCCGATAGGATCTATCATCATGTGTGGGATGTTGAAGTTCCCGATGTCTCTCCGACTGTGTGTCAGTGGTCAGTCATGGTCGATAATCTCCAGCGCTGGCCTACATGATGTTGTTGTTGCCTGGTTTATATCTCTGTGCTTGTAATCCTTCGGCAGGCATGGGTCTGAGCTCCAGACGTCCATTGAAAGACGATATGACACTGTAAGTACTAGATCCATGAATCGGAACAGGTCGACTTGGTTGGTGGACCGTTGGAGGATGGAAGGATACTATTTGCATTGCAGTTTGTAAAAGGATTTCGAGAAGTCGTTCTTGTCCAAGAGAGACGGCAAGTTTTAGGTATATATCTATAAAACTCAGCATCGGCCTTGGAGCCTACATGCTGTATACTTCAAGCTTCGATCGGGTTCCATATCTTGGTTATCTCAAGCTGGATGCAGGAACACTATCATTTTATTGGTGGCGGTCTCTATACATAGTCAGTCGCACTAGCCCTATGGCAGTACTTACTGTACCGTATAAACGCCAACGTGCAGATACGACATGGACCTGCCACCGAAATTGGAAGTTCGGGCCACGTTGTATCAACGTTTCAATGTTCAAGCTAAGACGCAGTACTCCCTGCTCGACCCACATAGTTAGTCAGGTTCGTATGGTGTATACAACCCCGAAGAAATGGACTCGGATGTCGACAACGAAACATACGAGCTACATACATTTCGATCAACCACTCTCTTGCTGTGTATTCCTGTGTACTCTGGTGGCATACACCTGGCCGCGGTGACGAGGACCTGCCACCAAACTTCTGTTGGCGGCCTGAGCATGACCACTCAAAAACCGTGAGCACTATCATGATGTAAGCAATGTCAGCTGTGCGAAATTCTGGACTAGATGATAGATGATCCTAGTCTTTTGTTCGACGAGTCATTGGTGAAGATTGCTGATACTGTCCATGACTGTTTCAAGGCCTGAGACTTCGTGCGTAACTGCATCCAATTTCCTGTCTTTGAGGAGGAGTGGAGACTAGCTCGGGAGTAGGAGGTTTCGAGGTCTGGTACCTCATCACCATGATCAATAGACAAGCGAGTGAATTATTATATCCAGACGCCAGTACAAAACCGAGTATTTACTACAGTGCACGCGAGTGACACCTGAGACCGGCGATAATTTGATCTTTAGACTTTGAGTGTTGGTATGTACTAGTTGTTCAACTCTCGGCGTGACATTGAGATCATGACGGAGATTTAAAAATAGTGGCCGATTTGGTCACGCGTCACGTCAATGCGATTTGAAGCTCTTGACTCGGCTGCTGTTGCCCCATCCGATCTCACGCCAGCCCTAGTCAATTCTCGTCTAAGCAATTAACAAATATTACGATTACCCGGTTCAATGTCGCCTGCACGATATGAGTAAGTGTTAATCCGCCTTGGAAGTTGAGCGAGAAGACATCGATATCGTTTTGCAGCATGATGAACACGTCCAAATGGCAGGGCTACTACCTCCAACTTGAAAGGACAGCTATTCCAGCCAGTAACGGTGTCTTCGCAGAAGGGTAGGCATATCAATTACCATTCAGTTCCTCAGAGTCACAAGACCGTGACTTGTCAGGGTACGTCTTGGCCTTCTGCAGGATGATCACTCTTTTTATACACTTTTCTTGCTCTCGTTTTAGTCACATCGGCAGTATTTAAGCGAAGACCAAGTTCATGACCTCTTCAAGCACGTCCCACCAGCTGCACCGCTCGCAAAGATATCTGAAACATTCCAGTCATCCGAGTATATATGTACACGTCCAGTTCGGCATCTCAGTGGGGTTCCCCTACCGCTTCCAGGCGGGCTCTGCTCATTCATGGTTTGACTATGTCCTCACAATCATGGGAGGGCATTGCTCAGCTGTTAGCAACAGAAGGTCAGGTCTTGCAATATTAGGTGATGATACTCTATCTTAACGGCTAGTCAGGGTTCTTTGTTGTCGCGCCGAATCTCCTTGGGCACGCATGGAGACGAGGCACCGACTATCGTGTTTCCACCCTTGCTGAGGACCTCCGACCGTATTTTGTCATGGACACGTCCTACGACGTGATTATAGGTCATTCTCTTGGGGGCGCGGTGACCTTATCGCTCTTGCCACTCCTGTCCAACACAAAAGAAACAACTGTTATACTCCTCGATCCCGCCCTCGAGCTCACAAAGGAGATAGCTGACAAGTGTGAAAACTGGTTTCTGAAGGAGATTGCGAATCTCAGAACCGCTGACGACCACATGGCTGAGAACCCTGCTTGGTCTCGAGGTGACAGTATGTTAAGAGCGCTGGGAATCTCCATGTGTGATGATACTGTTGTCAAGAGGATATTTGAGGTAATAGTTCTAGCATCGAAATAGGAAGCATTGCTGACTTTTGCTGTGAACAGCATAACAGGCCATGGTCTTTTAGTGGCCTGTTCAAAAACATTTCACCCCAAGTGAATATCACTGTGCTGGCATCAGATCCGGCGCTCGGCGCTATTTGTCATTTGGAGCACGTCCCGTGTGACGTGACGAGATTGCGTGCCAAAGTTTTTATCGGAATTGGTCACTGGATTCAATATGAGAGTTTGAATATCATCATGAATGAAATTCCGCTACGAAGAGCAAAACTATGAGCCGAGTACTTGCAAAGATATATTTTTGTGGTGTAGTTTTCGTTTTCGTTTACGTTCAGTTGATATGTCGCCATTGATATTCTTCTTCAGACTCGATTGCTTGTGTAATGTAGTTTCGCAGCGATTCCAAAACATGACTTCCATTCCCTCACCTAGTCGCACCCGCAAGTTATAGTTCTCTCCGCCCTAAATAGACTAGGACTTTACGGATGGGCCGGACCTGCCATATGTGCAAACTCACCGTTTCAATGGTAGCCCTGATGTACTACTCTCGCATTTAAACAGACACGTCAACCTCACCGGTTTTTTCTCACTGCTTTTTACCGTGGGCTCTGTCAGCTTTTAAGCGCAGAGCGACCGCCAATCCTCTTCGATCTTCTCTGCTGCCAAGTCCTAAAGACATCCAAGTCATCTCAGTGTGCACATGACCATTTCAGCGTCTCAGTGGGGTTCGCCTACCGCTTCTAGGCGGGCTCTTCTCATTCATGGCCTGACCATGTCCTCGCAATCATGGGAGGGGATCGCTCAGCTATTGGTAGCAGATGGTCAGGTTTCCTGTATTATAAAGTGAGCCGTTTTTAACAGGTTGATCAGGATTTTTCGTCGTTGCTCCGAATCTCCTCGGGCATGCATGGAGACAGGGCACCGACTATCGTATTTCTAACATTGCAGAGGACCTCCGACCGTATTTCGCCATGGGCACATCTTACGACGTAATCATCGGTCATTCTCTTGGAGGCCCAGTGGCCTTGTCGCTCTTGCCATTCTTGCCCAAGACGCAAGAGACCACTGTCATACTCCTCGATCCTGCCATCGAGATGACAGAGGAGAAAATAAAAATCAACACACAATTAGTTTTAAACGAGATGGCAAGAATCAGAACTCCCGAAGAGCATATGGCTGAAAATCCTACTTGGTCACGACGTGACTGCATATTAAGAGTGCTGGGAATGGCCATGTACGATCGCGCTGCTATCGAGATACTTCGGGTAATATTTCAGTTTTTGAAATGGCAGGCATTACTGACAGTTTCTGTCCTTTTCTCGAACAGCAAAACACGCCGTGGACTTTCACTGGATTGCTCAAGAACATTCCACCCAACGTTAAGATCACCGTACTGGCATCAGATCCAAAATTCAACCATGTTTTGGATTACGTCCCTCTTGACGGGGAGAACTTGAGTTCCAAAGTTCTCACAGGAATTGGTCACTGGATTCAATACGAGCTTCCGCGTGCTATCATGGATGAAATTCCCTTACCGAGAGCAAAACTGTGAGCCATGTAAAGAAGGGATAGTGTCTTGCGAATTTATCTTTACCTGTAACCGCTGTATCTAAATGTATACTTACTTGCTCTTGATGTTGGCCTCAGATTGCTTAAGATAACGATAAGTGACTAAAACCTGCAGTGTCGCCGCTCTTGCCGTTCTCGCCAAAAGCGAAGGAAACCATACCCCTCGATCCCATCCTGGAGCTCCACAAAAGGGGATGTTAAATTTGGTTTTTGGAAAGATGGTTAAGGTCAGAACTGCCAAAGAGCACAATGCACGTGGCTGACGCATATTAAGAATGCCGGGAGTCTCCATGTGTGATTGCGTCGTCGAGATACGGGTAATATTTCAGGTGTCGAAATTAATAAATTCTGCCCTTGTTTCGAACAGCAAAACGACAGTCTTTCGGTGGGCGGCTCAAGAGCATGCCCACCAACATAAAGATCACCGTAAAGAAGCTTGGCGATAACTGTTATTTGGATCTATCCTTTGCAACATGAAGAGATTCTTACCGGCATTGGTCCCTGGATTCAATTATTACGAGTGTCCGGGTGTTGTGATTCCTCCACCACGAGGAAAACTGTGAGCCCTCCCCAAGAGTCTAGTGTTCTGCAATACGACTTATATTTGCACACTCGTTATCCCGGATTGCATAAGAGAGTAGGGTTCACTGTTAACGAGCACGACGCAATCATATTCAGTACATAGTATCATTGCGTATACATAATTCAAGAAGCTGTGGGAACTCACCCGCCCATGCACCCTAGAGCTATCTTAGGGTTGTGTCTCAGGTTAGATCGCTCATTAGTCCACGAGTCCGCTGACGTCACTCCTAACTGGACTTGATTCGCGTTCCTTAGACCTGTAATGGAACGTTTAATGCATGGCCTAGGTCTTAAGGGGGTGTTTGAAACCTGCCTGAGTGTTCCGACATGAGACCACCCATTGAATTGTGACGTATCCACCCTTCGCCTCCAACATCCTGATAACGACGTTTCCGCTATCGAATTCGTTGATAGAGATATTAGATTGGTGTAGATCAGTTAGCTGGCCTGGGGAGCAGACACCAAGTATGAGACTCGGAGTTTTAAGTGTGGCGTTAGGCTTGGTGTGTTGGAAAGGGAAAGGCCGGGCGGCTGTAGTGCGACGTAATAAGAGGAGCGGCGTGCAGTTACTAATATCCAAATCATGCACTACATGAGCCGTCCCGGTTTCTTAAACAACTTCTTATCACCTGCCATCGTGTCTAGCGCTTGACTCCATCTAACTGTCACTGAAACATTCAACGCGTATTTTGAGACTCGTTCTCTCTTGGAACCAGTCGAAATAAGTAGTGGTACATACTATGGCACAGCGGGGAGCATCTATTCCAAGACCAACCCGTGGACAAAGCCCAACAATTGCTGATGTCCCTACTGCAGAGGCAGAGAAGTGGGTCTCGCAGTGGACACATGTATTGGCTAAGGGTGCGTCTAGGTCCATAGCAGCTCGTTCCATATCTGCTCTGAATTATATTCCGGACCTTAATACTAACATACGATCGTGCAGATTTGATCGATGTGCGCGTAGTTGAAGTAGACGCAGACATGTCCGTCGAGGACGCATGCGATGTGAGTTCAATGTTGGACTTAGTAAGTGCACTAGCGCTGACTCTTTATCTAGCTCCTTCTGCAAGAAGACATCCCGTGTCTCGCTGTCCGCACACTTCCGGATTCGACTCGTACAGGTCCACCTTATCTTGGACTTTTTGATGTGCGTTATTATTTTGTTTTGCGCTCGTCCAACCTGACTCGTATACCCCTCCATTCTGTCCGGATTATCGCCATGCTATGCTATGACACAACTTGGACGATGTGCATGTAGTTTTCAGATGTGAACGCATTCCTCACGCTCGCTGCGACGCGGCACACCATCTCACTCGCAGAGCTTCGTGCTAACTCGCGCGCCGATCAGATTATGAGTGCTGCACGAGAAGGACGTGTACCTGTGCACCTTGTTAGCAGTATGTGTTGAGCATTATTCTCTACATCGATGGCGTGCTTTATGTCTTGTTTATCTTATCCTACGCCACGGATGTTGTGATTTCGTATCTCTTGCATCTTCCTCCTCTACGCTCGTATTGATGCACCTTCACTCGCAGACCTCTCAGAAAAGAATTACCTAGAGACCCTTCCGAACAATGCCAACCTTATTTCGCTGCTTGGAGTGTTTGCGAAGGGGACGCATAGGGGTAAGCGTCCCCGTCCGCCTATTTGTTTCTTTTACTAACACCTATCTCTGCGCGTTGCATTTTGTTCTGTATTATGTAGTGCTTGTCGAAGCCACCCCGCCCACCGCTCCCGCAGAGTCTAATACTGCTCCGGAGGCGACAAGAACACGGACTACCTACCTTGGTGCAGTCTCCGACCGTGCCGTGCTGGCGTACTTCGCCAAGTTTGCCATGCAATCGGACACTGCTGCACACATTCACTCTCCTATGCAGCACCCGCATTCTCCTCGGCTGCCAGCTTCAGTGCAACCTTCCATCCAAATTTCCCAGCCTTCCCAGTCTCCCAAGCCTGTATCAGCCTTAACAGCTTCCCGCCCCACTGCTCCGCTCCAACCCCAACCACAGCCCCCTTCCACTCTCACATTTGCAAGGCTCCTCTCGTGCCCCCTATACTTACTTGCTCTCCCGTCCCTTCAAATGTATACGTCTGTCATAGCTGCTACCAGCTCATCTACAGTGCTTGACGCGATGCGCCTGATGAGCGACGGTGGTGTGAGTAGCGTAGCTGTTGTCGATGATGGCGGGGGAGGATACGGAGCTGGATACGGGTCCTGGGGTGGGCTGACTGGAGCAGTGAGTGTTACTGATATCGGAAAGGTGTGTTTCCCCTTGCTATCGCCGCAGTGCGGAGTTTGATCAAAATTTCTCTCTCTTTTCACGAACGGCATCTGGCTTCAATCTATATGCATTATCACAATATACAAACAGCTCGTCGTTCCTTCGGAGTCCAACCACATTCTCTCCGCGCCTTTACACCAGTTCGTCGCACAGATCAAGGAGTCAGGTGGAAGCACGGATGGAGCAGACCGGTATCCTGGTTCGTGTCTCTCTTTACTTGTATTTGTGATTCTACAACAACGCCTCCTCATGTGCTTCGCGGATACTCGTTTCAGTATTAGAGTAGTTTAACTGATGCATGCCACACAGTGTATGTCGTCCTCCCCACCAGCACACTCTCATATACAATTCAGAAACTGCTTGCAAGTGAGTCACTTTTCTCCGAGTCACAACATGGGATAGACTGATGACTTTATCAGCCAATTCGCACCGACTCTTCGTAATTGACCCGGATTTTGAGCCCAGCTCATCTCCAGGCTCGCTCACGGGCGGCGGATTGTGCGGAATTGTTAGCGTTGTTGACCGTGCGTATTTCATTCCTCGAATATCTCGATCATCTTTAATGCCTAATCATGTAGTTCTTTCTTTTTTCGCACGTATCGCCAACCTTCCAAATGTTGACCCCACGCAACGCATGCGGCACCGACGTGCCTCATCTTCATCTTCATCTTCACACTCGTCTCGCGGAATGATTGTGCGGGACTTGTCACGGTCGCTCGCACAAGCACGGGATCTCTCCCAATCCAGCAGAGATTTTGCGCGCTCAAGATCCGGTAGCAGGACGAGCATAGGTCTCAGCCAAAGCCCGCGAGTCATCCCAACTTTAGATGTTGGCAGTCCGCGCTCCATGCCAAGTTTGGGGCTAGGGGATGTCAGGGAAAGTCCGCGGATGATGCCGACGCTTGGTGCTGGTGACAGAAACTCGTGGGTGGGTTTAGATTTTGGGGAGCTCGTGGGACCGTGGGAGTAATTGTGAGGTCTTTTATTTTGCTTTTACTTTTCGTGCGTTATTCGATGATTTCCGGCAATAACTTAGGGTTTGCTTGCCATGCTTTTTGTACACAAAGATAATCGTCGACAGGGATGTATGTAGGTTTTTCGAGTGATTCCAAGCACCAGTATTGACTGCTGAACTGACCACAAGGCTGAAAGTTGCATGTAAATACTACCGAAATAATCAGATTGTCATACAAAGCTGTGGCTGGTTTACGATCAGCTCAATGTCTTGACGCAAGGTTCTGGTTAGTTTAGAGACTTCTCGTGAAAATGCTTACGACGTAGCACTCACTAGATCCGACTACTTGCGCATTTCGCGTGGACTTTCAGGTTTAGAGTCTAAAAATTGTCACAGCATGCTCGAGGTAGTGCTGCCGTGGTCCGGTTCGGTCCGGTTCAGAGGGTCCTGGACGAGAACCGAGAACCGGACCGTGGTCCGGTTCTGCAAAATCTTCGAACCCCGAACCGGACCACAGAGAACCGTTCTCTGTGGTCCGGTTCGGTTTTTTTCTGGTCCGAACTCGAACCGAACCCGAAAATTTTCAGTGGTGAGCGTGAAAAAAAAATCATTGAAAGACTAGTTTACACATCAAGTAGCTACTCCAATGACATGGCTACATATGACTGTAGCCGCTGATCCAAGAGCTAACTGATTCGATCTATACAAATGGTGAGAATGAAATAAAACACAATAACAACCAATGCTCACCGTCGATGTTAGTGGGTAATGTGAACCTGCGGCGTCTGATCCAGACAAGCAATTTGAAGTAAGCTGCCTTGTAAGGCACGCATCAGTGAGAGTGTTTGCCAGAATTGAAATCATTTTACCTCCGTCGTCAGCGAAGGAAGACATTCAGGACAATGAGAGAGGTACGTGCGGTTTGAGTTGCACCTCCATTCTCAGATGTTGCCGTCACCTTTTTTTATACACAGAACAGGGAGAAAACACCTGCACGTCTCGAGTGAGAGGTGGCGGGTGAGAGACAGCGGGGTGAGAGACAGTGGGTGAGATACAGCTAGCACGCCGAAGAGAGATAGTATCACGGCCACCGGAAAAAATGTGTTCGACAGCAACAGCTGAGCCCGGAATAGCGAGAATATCACGAGCCAGACGTGAGAGGTCATTGAGGTATGTTGGGAGTGGGCAGCGCACCTTGTTCGTCTCCTCGACAACTTTCTTTCTCCCATTCCTCTTCTCCTTTCTCTTTCCCCCGGTGTCTTCCTTTCTCCTTCACCAAAGTGTCATCCGCATTCGCCTTAGCCACGCCAGCATTTGCTGGCGTGTGCTGGGCGCATGCGCTAGACACTGGTTGTTGCTGGAGTGGGGTAGTGGTTGCAGCAAGTGGTGGTGGTGGTGGCGGCACGGTTGACTCAATCAGTAAATAAAATGAAAACGGATATACAAATAACTACCTTGAGGACAGAGTCTTGAGAGTTGATTGATTAGTACTAATCTTCAAAAAGGCTAAAAGTAGCTTAATTAACCAATAGTGCAACTCCTGAAGATGACACTTTGACGTCGACATAGAGACTGACGTCGTCGTAGTTGAAGTCGAAGTCGACAATGGGTTCGGGGTTCGGAATGGTTCGGGAAGGTCGAACCAGAACTGGACCATTTGGGAAGATCTAGAACCGAGAACCGTTTTCCGGTCCGGTTCTGGCTGGCGCGAGAACCATGGACCGAACCGCGGAGAACCGGACCAAAAGTCCGGTTCGAACCATGGTTCTGGACCGGACCATGGCAGCACTAGCTCGAGGAAACATGCTGTATCATACAGCAAGTTCAGAACAGCGGCATTTGATATATCAATACTTCCACTGGATCTACTATTCTTAAGTCAAGCACATTCAGGTTAGATAGAACCACACACCGCCAACGTGTTTTGGGCCACAATATTTCCTGTGAGTCTGGTGAATGTTTATCATTCCTCATCAAGGCTCACGAGGCACGTCCTGACCAGCTTGTCCGATTAGGGGAGGTTCATCTATGTTCAGCAAGAATTCAATATTCAACGAGGATGAGAAGTTAACTTATGTAAGAGACACATTAATGCATGTTTTGATGATGTCTTACTACGTATACGTGAGATAAGGGAAATAGATATGGTACGAATAATCGATAAAGGTTAGCTCAGCTCGTGTAAGTCACATGATATGTTTAACTCCGCGACTCCGACGGAATCAAAAACACTTCATTGTCAGTAACTTAGTACGTAGGGTCCAACGAATATCCTCACACCTGGTCAAGTCCGGTAGAACTTATTATCAAGGCAGAGGTTAGTAAATGGTAATTCTTCAGCGGACATTTGAACACTCAACGTTCAACAGTGATCTGTGTATTGTGATATTGTCAGTCAACAACTATTCCCTAAATATTCCCTAAGATGAGCTCGAGGCGGTACGACAAGTGAGGTACCTCTCGAATACTCCTGCCATTGATACTAATGAGAATGCACAGTCCTCCACCTTACTCACCTTACTCTCCCAGGTGTGTAAGCCTCGTTGACAGGTTGATACTTGATAGGTGACGACAAGCCTTGCAGCTCATCAGAGGCAGACCCTCTGACAGGGACTCGCAAGCCTTATCGTCGTCATCAATCTTCCTATGTCTTTGCACCACTCATCGTTATTGCTTTCTTTATTATCGCAATCATGGCTTTCAATTTCTCCACGAGCCTTTCCAATGACCCCTTGGATCCGGATGTTCGAGAACGCATTCGCAAGAACTGGAACATTGAACTTCGCCGGCACGAGGAAGAAGTTCTCAAGCGCATTGACGTCAAAAAACGCTGGCTTCTGGAAGATAATGACAGGATTCATCTCCGCGAACAATGGCGAACGGAAGATAAACAACACAAGCGTGAGTTGGAGGAGAGACAAAAGCACGAGGAAGAAGAACGTTTAAGATTGAATATGTTTTGGACCGACTTGGCTTCCCACACATGTACGACGTACGCCACTCGAGAGTACACTGCCCGACTTGTGAATGTTCCATCATACTACAACCGCCGCGTGGAGGCTTGCATGGCCACACCGGTAAATATTCATGGGGTTGAATACACACCTAAGTGGTGCGAGGATCATGTGAGTGTTCCTGTGATTATTGGTAGTACAAGCAGCTGATATTCCGAGTTCAGGGTCCAAACAATGTAGTAGGTCATTGGGAAGTCGACCAGCATGAGCCAGATTGCACGTCGTACTGGAACTGGTACAAAGATTTTGTTTGTCAATCCCTCTCGTTGGCATATTTGCAACTTATTGATTGCCGCAGGGTTGTGTTTCACCCGGATCCGGTCAGCGAGTAAGTTTCTCAGACATGAGATAGTGAGCGAAGTTGACGGTATGCAGCGTATTGAACATTACCTCGAGAACCTCCCGTCGGGAGCTGATTGGAAGGAGTTCTGTGCTACCACTCCTGCAAGCTTCCTTGGGATGCATTTCATGGGGTCAGAAATTTGCTTTCAATGGGTTCGTTGCTTAGTCGCATCAATTTGGCACGATTTGTTGATTATTTTCTAGAATGGTGGCACATACGGTCATTGGGTTTTTGATGACGATAGCTGCAAGTAGTCAAGTCACGATGACGCTTCGATGTTGGATGAGGCTTTGGGCTATTTTTGCTGTACCATTCGATATACTGAATGCTTTGCATCACTGTATATATTTTTTGGATCACTAGCATTCGTGAGAGCGTGAAGGATAGGCACTGCTGCCCCCACCGCTGAGGGGGACCGGGAGAAAAAACACCCCAGGATGGGCGTTGCCACTGCGACTACAGGAAGCCTTGAAGTTGTACAGGCTCATGCCATGAGATATTAGAGATATTCAGGATATTGATTTAAACATTGTCAGCACGTATGTCAAATCACTTGACTGAATAATAAGACGAAAACTTTGTATGTCTCCTTGAAATCTACTTCAGAACACCAAATACTTCGATCAATACCTTCATGAAAGTGGTAATAAATAGAAACAGATCCCCCTACTCCTTGTAGAACACTAGACAACCGTTAACTTCACCAAGTATCACACACTACTGCCAGTCGATATATACACATGCTCCTGGAAAGCGATTGAGGTCATACCAGTCGCTGCGTCAGCATCGGCAACGAGTTTAGCGTGGTATTCCCGAATGCCAAGGATCAGGCGTGGTCCCAGCACAAACATCTGCACGATCTCCGAAATCTCAATAAACCCAGAAATAATATTAGCGTTCAGGGAGTTATACTATAGAAACGGTAAATTATGGTAGCGTGCAAAAGTTAAAGACTGACATACCGTTAGTATTGGAGAGAAATCAAGAATGAGCTCAAAGCAAGAAACAACAACAAAACTACCAGGACTGACCCTTCAGCGGAAAAAGGAACAATAATCACAGTATGGACTTACCTCGCAAAGTAAAGCATGTGAGTTGTCATCAATATCGTAAAACAGTCCCGCATAATCCCTCCTGTCGAATGTCGTCGAAATTCACGGAAGTGTTTTACCGCAATCCAGACTGCGAGACATAGTGCGAGGACCTCCCACACGATGACCAGTATCCAAATAATGGACTTCAAAAGTATGAAATCTTCCGTAAAGCCAATCCAACATTCATAGGTGCCAGAGAGAATGAATTGCTCTGGTATTCATTAATGAGCTCCATGCATGTTTGTTTTCATCCACAATTAAACATACCCGCAGAAGCATCTATCGTCATCAGCAAGGTGACCACTCCACTGACAATGTTGACAGCCAGGAAGGTGGCAATAAGAAATTTCTGGATCTTTCTGGATCGTTGATACATGGCATGCAACCGAATGATGATGATGACTTGCAGAATGTTTTAGTTGAATCAATATCACTGAGATCTCGAAGTGCCAAGCTCACCACACAGCATCGCAAGTACCACAATAAACGTCCAATAATGTACGATGGACGTAATCAAGCCTAACCAATCTAATCAGTGACCAGCCTCGGGTAGCGCACACTCCAAATAGACTCACATCTGTGGCAGTATAGCGTGGCAATCATTTAGTAAAGAACCACACTCACTGCTACAGGGCTTCACGTTAATTGCAGGGGAATAGCAGTAGGCATCTATGCAGAAGACTCACTTTATCTGTCAGCCAGATGGTCGGAACACAGTCTGTATGCCGTTGGTCAGAAGAGGCGAAGACAGTGAATGTAATAAGGAGACATACTCAGCATGTACAAGCTGATTATAAGAGATAGACAATTAGCACAACACTGATCATTTAGCCTTCCGAACATACGCAGCATATGAGAATCCAAGGTATCGCACCTAGGATACTTTCAAGTCAGCACAACATGGCAACCGCAACAAACAAGCTACATACACCGAGATACAGAGCTGTCATTGCCGACCAGCGTTGTCTCTGGAATCGTGTATATTTTCATGTGTGTTCCTCTGACACCGTGACCAGACTCTACTCACCCATATGAGTTCCACCTATAGAAGCCATTCTCAATGAGATAGCTGCTCCGGCCATAGCATCGACATACCTCTTGTCCTAATGTAAGTACTGAAAATACTTGTAAGATATCAGCAGTCCTTTAATATTATCATGCTCACCCCAATCATACGTCACTCCAACGAAGGCGGCAACTGCGAAATGGCAGCCAAGGTTTAGATCGAGTCAACTTCGAGGTCCAACTACTCTCCACGAACCTACAAAATAGCTGAAATAACGATATGCATTGATGGTCGGCCACCAAATGGGATCATTTGAGACCATGGTGGTCATATTGGTAGAGAATGGGTGTGGGTGAGAGGCGAACCTGGCGGAGGTAAGACGATGACATTCGCGCTAGTTATACCACCACCCATTGCGTAGATCAGCAAACGAGATCGTGGGATGGTGACCGTATCATAGTAAATGTTGGTCATGAAACATTTACACAAATGAATACTTGAACACCGCATAAGATCAAACAACCTCAAGAACTGATGCTGTCGCCCTGTTTCCGATGCCATTCTCGAAACGTTTTTGCTACACGTGCATCAGTCCAACCACGAAGTACTATGTCATCTGTTTGACACAAGATGATCATGGTGCGATCATGGAAAAGCCTCTCATCTCGCCTCGCCAGCACAGGACCAGGGAGTGGGGGGGTTGTAGTGTACCCTTCGACAGCTCATGCACCTTACGTCAGCATGACCGTCAAAAATAGACGAAACAAATTCATGTACACCTCGAGCTCAGGGAGCCTCGGAAATTGGGCTATAATACCACCAGGATGCCAGAAATAGTGACGGTAATATATTGTGGAGTTGCTACGGTGGTGAGAGGCATCAGGTTTCAAATTTCACCAAACGTCCTGGTTGACAACTTATTGATGAATGATGGAGACTGTTAAGAAACGGCTCTATGAGCGCTTGAGCTGTTCTGTGATGGTACTACGTGAGATAAGGGAAATAGGTATAATCGGAAGTAAGCTTGCGCTCCAGCCCACGGTGTCCATAATACAACTCCGCGACTCCGACGGAATCTGCCCAGAAACACCTGGAATCCTCATTGTCAGTAACAAACGAATATCCTCAAGTCCGGTAGATCCTTATTATCGAGGCACAGGTTAGTAAATATTAATTTTTCAGCGGACATTTGAACATTCAACAGTGATCTGTGTATTGTGATATTGTCAGTCAACAACTATACGCTAAACATTCCCTAAGATGAGCTTGAGGCGGGACGACAAGTGAGGTGCCTCTCGAATACTCCTGTCATTGATACTAATGAGAATGCGCAGTCCTCCACCTTACCATGACAGGTGTGTAAGCCTCGTTGACAGGTTGATACTTGATAGGTGATGACAAGCCTTGCAGGTCATCAGAGGCAGACCCTCTGATAGGACCTCGCAAGCCTTATCGTCGCTATCGATCTCCCTACGTCTATGTGGCACTCATTGTTCTCTTTATTATCGCAATCATGGCTTTCAATTTCTCCACGAGCCTTTCCAATGACCCCTTAGATCCGGATGTTCGAGACCGCATTCGCAAGGACTGGGACATTGAACTTCGCCAGCACCAAAAAGAAGTTCTCGAGCGCATCGACACCCAAAAGCGCTGGCGTTTGGAAGATAATGAAAGGATTAATCTCCGCGAACAATGGGGAACGGAAGTGGAAAGGCACAATCGTGAAGTGGAGGATAGGCTAAAGCGCGACGAAGAACTCAAAAGTCATATGCACGAACAATGGGAAAGAGAAGTGGAAGAACACAAGAAAGAAGTGGAGGAGTTACGGAGGCGCGAAGAGCAAGACAGAATTATTCTCCGCGAAAAATGGAGCAGGGAAGTGGAAGAGCATGAACGTGAAGTGGAGGAGAGACGGAAGCACGAGGAAGAAGAACGCTTAAGATTGAATATGTTTTGGACCGACTTGGCGTCCCACACGTGCACAACATACGCCACTCGGGAGTACACTGCCCGACTTGTGAATGTTCCGTCATACTACAACCGCCGCGTGGAGGCTTGCATGGCCACACCGGTAAAGATCCATGGGGTTGAATACATGCCCAAGTGGTGCGAGGACCATGTAAGTGTTCCTGTGATTCTTGGTAGTACAAGCAGCTGATATTCCGAGTTCAGGGTCCAAACAATGTAGTAGGTCATTGGGAAGTCGACCAGCATGAGCCGGATTGCGCGTCGTACTGGATCCGGTACAAAAATCTTGTTTGTTGATCCCTCTCGTCGGCGTATTTGCAACTTATCCATTGTCGCAGGGCTGTATTTCTCCTGGATCCGGTCAGCGAGTGAGTTTCTCAGACACAATGTAGTGAGCAAAGTTGACGGTATGCAGCGTATCGAACATTATCTCGAGCACCTCCCATCGGGAGCTGATTGGAAGGAGTTCTGTGCTACCACTCCTGCAAGCTTCCTCGGGATGCATTTCATGGGGTCAGAATTTTGCTTCCAAAATGTTCGTTGCTTAGTCGCATCAATTTGGCACGATTTGCTGATTATTTTCTAGAAGGGTGGCACATACGGTCACTGGGTTTTCGATGACGAGAGCTGCAAGTAGTCAAGTCACAACAATGCTTCGATGCTGGATGAGAGTGATATTGTCTTGGAATTTTGATGGGCTATTTTTGCTGTACCATTAGTTGTACTCTATACTTGCATCACTGTACGTCTTTTGGGTCACTTGTATTCGAGGATAGGCACTGCTGCCGTGACCGCCATTTGGGGATACGAACTTCGGAGCACGCACTGACACCACAGAAATTATGACCAACCGGAGAATGTTCCGTCGAGTTATGACCGTCGTTTGGAGGCTTGCATGGCCATATTGACTGATTCACAGGACTCAATTGAATATACACTCAAGTATTGCAAAGATGATCGGATTCCTGTCTGCAGTATGCACCAGTAGTTGATATCGTGTTCCATATGGTGAGGTCATTAACCAAAAGGCCGATCTGCACAGCCGTAGCCATAGTATCAAGTCATACAGACAAATTTCGAAGGCAACACACTAGTTTCGAAAATTATATTCTCCAGCAAAGGTAGAGGTGCGACCTCTTACTGTCAAATTGCAGTGTAAGATAACTTTCGTTGTCTTCATTGTGTACCGAAAGGATATGACCTGTACGACAGCAAACAATTACCATCCCGCAGATTGAAACTCAAAGCCACTCACTGAAATTTACGAACGATCTGTTTGAAAATGAAGATGGTACCATCTGTCCGGGCAGTGATGTGATAGGCAAGTCCAAGGAAACAGCGTATATATACGTTGCATGCATTGAACATGAAGCCACTCCCTGTGTCACACAAAGTTAAGAAAAGCGGCCTAGTAGGTGTCTGACAGGTTTGTTGATATTCAATCCTACAGCGAGACTTTTGCAAGAAGCACTTATGAGATATAATACATGGTTTCGTGATGTCGAGTCTACTAATGTGTTCATCATGGTAAGCGTCAGGGGCAACGATTAGATATCAACTCCGCGACTCCGACTGAATAAACACTTTCCTCTTTCAATAATCAATTGTAGTAAGACTAAGTAACATAGTCCAACTATATCCCGTCAAATCTCCAGTAGATCTGTATGTCCGAGAGAGACGTTAATTCTTCCGCGAACATTTGATATTTAACAGCTATTTGCCAGATATTTACCAACATGTGGCAAAATAACAAGTGAAGTACCATATTGAATACTCTTGTCATCGATGCTGATGAGAATGGGCAGTCCCCCACCCAGGCCCCCACCTTACTATTCTCGGTGTGTAAGCCTCGTTAATAGATTGATACCTGATGGGTGACGAAAAGCCTTGCAGCCCATCAGAGGCAGACCCTCTGATAAGGCCTCGCAGGTCTTATCGTCGCTATCAATCTTCCTGTGTCTATGTAGCAATCGCTCTCTTTTTTATTACATTCACGATTGTCAATTTCTCCATCAGCCTCTCCAAGGACCCCTTAGATCCGGATGTTCGAGAACGCATTCGCAAGGACTGGAACATTGAACTTCGCCGGCACGAGGAAGAAGTTCTCAAGCACATTGAAATCAAAAAACGTTGGCTTCTGGAAGATAAAGAACACGAGCGTGAGGTGGAGGAGAAACGAAAGCACGAAGAAGAAGAACGCTTGAGATTGAATATGTTTTGGACCGATTTGACGTCCCACAGGTGCACATCATACGCCACTCGGGAGTACACTGCCCGACTTGTGAATGTTCCATCATACTACAACCGCCGCGTGGAGGCTTGCATGGCCACACCGGTAACGATCCATGGGGTTGAATACACGCCTAAGTGGTGCGAGGACCATGTGAGTGTTCCTGTGTTTCTTGGTCTACAAGCAGCTGATATTACGTGTGCAGGGTCCAAACAATGTAGTAGGTCATTGGGAAGTCGACCAGCATCAACCGGATTGCGCGCCGTACTGGACCTGGTACAAAGATTTTGTTTGTTGATCCTTCTCGTCGGCATATTTGCAACTTATCCATTGTCGCAGGGCTGTATTTCTCCTGGATCCGGTCAGCGAGTGAGTTTATCAGATATAATGTAGTGAACGAAGTTGACCGTATGCAGCGTATTGAACATTATCTTGAGCATCTCCCATCGGGAGCTGATTGGAAGGAGTTCTGTGCTACCACTCCTGCGAGCTTCCTCGGGATGCATTTCGTGGGGTCAGAATTTTGCTTTCAATGGGTTCGCTGCTTAGTCGCATCAATTTGGCACGATTTGTTGATTATTTTCTAGAATGGTGGCACATACGGTCACTGGGTTTTTGATGACGCGAGCTGTAACTAATCAAGTCACAACGACGTCTCGGTATTGGGTGAGGGTGATATTATCTCGGAAATTTGATGGGCTATTTTTGCTGTACCACATTCATTGTACTTTACACTTGCATCACTGTATGTCTTTTTACTAGGTCACTAGTATTCATGACTTCGAGTATTCCTGAGAGCATGAAGGATAGGCACTGCTGCCGCCACTGGGGGGTCCCAACGGCAGCTGCGAACTTCGACGCAACGCCGCAGGATAGGGTTCATGGAGAGGCTGGATGTCTAGCAAATCAAGGGCCAGCATATGCTGCCGCCTTGTAGACGGACAGGGCACATATCCTAATCTTGAGGTTCCCTGTGGCAGCCGAGCGGCGCCAGAGACAGTAAGAATTGAATATTGAAGCTTAAGCCTTTAACTTTTATCATAACACACGTTACAAAACATTAATATAAGTACTTGTATGCACATTGACGCAATTAATCTAACGAATTAAGCACGAGTATAGTCGAATAGATACTGGCGAAGACAGATATATAAACATAATCCGACACTCTAAATCTTTTACAGGCCACGAGCCTCGAGACGACCCCGGAAGATCTTCTGGAACTGCGGGACGTGGTCAAAGTCCATCAGCGTGTAGTGTTGCCCTGGCACGTCGGTATATGATGGCTCGCCACGGCTGAACCCAGACCATGGCTTGAGCTGGTTGTTGAGCCAGTCTGACTTGCTGCCGCGGAGAGGAATGGCGTAGAAAACGTCCGTGGCAGCTGAAGAAACACGGCATATGAGCAAGTGATAATGAAGTGAGAAATGAAATGACATACAAACTGAGCCTGATGGGTTGTAGTCCTTCCCGCACTCGATCAGGGACCCGGCGATGTCCACCCAGTGGTCGAGCTTCTCAGGAGTCAGCTGGAGCTCGACGAGACGATCAGGGGGAGACAGCTTCCACACAACCTCGAGCTGCTCCTTCCTCGTCATCGGCCTCAGAGCAGGCGCGAGATCATTGGCATCGTGCTTCGACACGAGACCAAGGAAGTACGACAAGTTGAGCATGCCGCCCGTCCAGTCGATCTCGTGCATGCGGTCTGCGATATGAGGAGGGATGTTGATGAGACCGACGAATTTGACTTCTTCGCCCATCGCCTCGAGCCGCTTAGCAACTTCGAACGCGACGACACCACCGTAACTGTAGCCCGCGATGGCGTATGGCCCAGTCGCCTGGGTCTTCTTGACTGCTGCAGCGTAGCACGACACCATCTCGTCCATAGAGGTGAAGAAGGGATGGCCGGGCTCGAAGCCACGAGCACGGAGAGCGTAGAAGGGACGCTCGTTCTGGAAGTATTTTGCAAGGTTGACGAAAATCAGGACCTCTCCGACACCAGGGTGAACCAAGAAGATGGGAGTTTTGTTTCCGGTCAGCTGAAGAGGAACGATAGGGTCGTACTCTTCAGTCTGGCTGTCCTTGGAGAGCAGGGAGTCGACATAGTTAGCGAGGCTGGAGATGACGGGGTGCTTAAGGATCTGGATAGTGGGGATTTCAGGAAGGTCGAAATGTGCCTCTCCCTCGCGCTTAAGCCTGAAAATGATATGCATTAGTGAGAGCTATTTTTGGGCGGGAAGTATATACTGACCTGATGACATCAATGGAGGTACCGCCGAGTTCGAAGAAGTTGTCGCTGGCCGACATCTCGCTTTCCGCGAGGTTGAAGATCCCAGCATATATCTTGGCAAGCGCCTTCTCCGTCTCCGTGGACGGCGCGACGAACGTAGCACCACGTGCCTCGCTCAGAAGCTCTTCCGAGCGAGCGATGTGCTTCGCGAGCTGACCTTGCTTGAAGAGACTGATCAAACGTGCACGAGACAGTTTACCGAGAGTGGTCTTCTCCATCTGGTTCACAGGGATGGGAACGACTAACTGAGGCGGCAGCGTGATCATTTTCACGCAGATGTCCCGAAGGGCCCGGTGAGTGGCGAAGAGCTTTGACGAAGCGTCTGCTCCATCGAGGTCGAAGGTTGGCGAGTAGAAAATGATGAACCCTTCCGTCTCCTGACCAGGAGCACGGTACGGAGCTGCAGCGAGGAACGAGTGAGTCACTCCTTCTACGGTCTGGAGGTGGGTCTCAAGCTCAGGGATACCGTACGAAACACCATGGACGATGATGGTGTCCTTGATACGACCGCTGAGGCGCATGACCCCATTCTCGATGATGCCGACGTCGCCGGTACGGTACCAGCCGCCCTCGACGAAGCTGGAGGACGTAGCCTCTGCATTGTTGTAGTAGCGTACGAAGAGCATCGGTCCGCGAACTTGGAGCTCGCCGCTCTCCCCGTCGGGGCGCAGGGTCGAGCCGTCTGCAGGGTCAACGACACGCATCTCGCAACCATCGATGGGTCTCCCGAGATCAAGGAATTCATGAGCAGGCTCGCTTGTGAGCACATCCACGGGATGGTAAATGCATCCGGCGCTGCAGGATCCCCATCAGTTTCTTTATATACACATATGGTTTCATAAGTCTTACCAAGTTTCTGTCATTCCGAACCCAGGAGAGATCTCGAACGATACAGCGGACGGGTTCTTGCTGAGGTGCTTCATGGTGGCAGCGAACGCTTTCGCGGTCTTGGAAACGACAGCTTCGCCTCCGCTGTTGATGCGCTTGATTGAGGACAGGTCGAAAGTTCCGAAAAGGTCGGTGCGCTTCTCCAGATCGCGCGTGAGCTTGGATAGCAAGAAGTTCGGGGCGAAACTCAGTTCGATCGACTAATAATTCAATGATCAGAGATGCATTTAGCTATGTGTTCATACGGACATACCTTTTCGTCGATCAAACGGAGCAGCCGAAGAGGATCAGCAAGGATAGCAGATGCGTGCACGTGGAGTTGCGAGGCGCCATATAGTAGAGGCGTGATGTGCATTTCCAACGATCCTGCGACGTGATCAAATCCGACCCCTGAAAGTCATGATCAATTTAAGAATAAAGTTTAAACAACGCGTGTCTTACAGTTCAAGACTTGAGATTCGGAAGTCAGGCCGTAACTTTGGCCCTTTGCACGGCATGCAGCAATAATCGTGCGGTGCGTGTGCACGACAGCCTTGGAGAATCCGGTCGACCCTGAGGTCAAGAACAGGATCGCCTCGTCATCTGCCTTGGCTTCGTATGCAACCCAGTCAGCTGAGACGCTGAATGTCTCCGCCGACGCCTTTAATTCGGAGAGCAAGTGTACCTCCAGACCAGAAATGGCGCTGATCTGCTCGGCCCCAAGTTCATTGGTCAACCAAATAGCAGACCCAAACAAGTTCTTGATGTGGGCGACATGGCCCTCCTTGTGCGCCTGTTGCGCGCTAAGTGCAGGCTGCAAGCAAGGCACATAGCCAGCCAGCAAACATGCCCATACAGCAGCCATATTATCTTCGTGCTCCGTCAGGTACACGACGACGACTGAGCCCGTGGGCTTGCCCCACTCTAGCATGGCACGTGCGAGGTTGCGAACATATTGGTTGAAGGTGCTGAAGGTCTTTGTCTGAATGGAGGAGTCATGTGCTGATGAGGTTATGAAACCAAGCTCGTGGGACGGATAACGGTCGACAGCTTGAGCGATGACGTCGTGGAGAGTATTAGGTTGTGGAGAGACGATGGATGTCTTGAGGTTGGTGAAGAATTCAGTGGTTGTGGTAGAAGCGACTGCGATGGGTGCCATTGCGAGATGAGTCTAAGTTCTGAAACTGTATGAGGATAAGATGAGGTGTCTAGGATATTGAATGCGGATCTCCTTGGAGGTCCGAGCTTATATAGTACGAAGTCGGTACCACAATCGAGCAGCACTGCGGTGAGCTTACGCAATGTATTAGCTAGACTCAGATATGTTGTCGTAGGATGCACCGCTCAGACCGCTGGGTGGGACTATTTTCAAGTCAATAATCGCTCGTGAAGTCCTACAATGCGTTAGCATATGTCAGCACAGGACTAGCTCGTAGCAACATGAAAAGTCACCAAGGAGCCTGGGAGAGCTGGGAAGTCGGATGACAATGTGCTCGCAAATATTATTGAGTCCCGTGAGACAAACCGATCGGGAGCTAGGACGATAGCACGAGCTTAGTCTAGTACTGCAGTGTACATAACTGAATGGCCTTGGCCCATGGATCGATATGATGATCGGATCTGCACAGCGTGGTGCATATATCCAGCGTATCACCGCTAGTGACACTGCCAGTTTGGGAACAAG